GGAGAAACGCGTCAGGGAGTAGAGTAAACAGGTGTTCTGACCTTTGGTAAACAAAGTGGGTGGTGAGGGAAGAAGAAGAAGAAAATGGTGTTGTGTTTGTGTTGAAGATATATCTCTCATTTCTTTGTTGACACTTTTGATTCATGACCCCAAACAAACTATATTTTTCTTTCAACACGTGTAATTTACTAGAAGAAAGACTACCTCTTTTATATTATTATGAATAAAAAATAGATAGAGTCTTTAAGAGTATAGTATAATCTTCTATATAGAGTTGTAAAGAGATGTATAGAGTGATAGTATATTTTAGTGAGGTAGGGGTTCAACTAAAGTTGAACCCCTACATAATTATTAATCATATGCATAAAAGTAAGTATAAGAGCTCATCAGGACCCAAAATAGTTTGGGTACGTGTGAGGTCGGGTACCTCATGGGTACCCAAAATTAGTCAGAAATTTTTTGGGTCCGTGTGAACTTTTTTTGGGTACGTGTGAGCTGGAACCCGGTTGGCTTTTGATGTCGACTTCGTGATTTGAAGTCAATAGAGTTGTACATTTTGAATCTCAGATTATGAGAGAGAGATAGATACAGGAAAGAATACTCCACCAGAGACGTCAACTGATTGCTGATCCTACAATGACTGGAGTATTCCGGGGTATTCTGAAGATCCAATACTTGGTTCATGTACAGGGACGGCGAGGGAGATGATGATATGACGGGGAACATCAGAAAACCAGGACGAGAAGAGAAAAACAAGGGATATGCGAGATCAGGAAAAGAAAGGCCCCCTAAACCTCCCAGTAAGAGAAATGAGAAAAAAAAGATAAATGCAAGCGTCAACATAAAAAGCGGAATCACATTTGCGCCGTATTCGCCCTCTCTTCAAAAGCGATCCTTGCACACTATACCAACCCGTCGTACAGTGAAAGGGCGCTGACAATGGTCTCGTCCCGCTTGCTGCCTTCCTTGAACTCTTCGATATCCAAGCTGCCATTCTCATCCTTGTCCATCATCCGGAAGATCTTGCGCACTCGCTTCTCCGGCGTATCTTCGTCCTCTGGAAGCTTCACCATCGATCCCACCTATTGCACAATGTCAGTAATCTTCCAGACACCAACGGAGGCAGCGAGCCCAAGGGCACCCTGAACCCGGGACGTACCATTTTGTAAATCGCCTCGACAATGGCCAGCATCTCGTCGTAAGTGATCTTGCCATCCCCATCGATATCGTACAATTGGAACGCCCAGTCCAGCTTGTCCTCCATCTTGCCGCGCGAGGTGACCGACAGGGCACAGATGAATTCCTTAAAATCAATCATGCCGCTGTTATCCGAATCGAATACCCGGAACACATAGTTGGCGAAGGATGAGGGGTCGCCGAAGGGGAAGAATTGTCGGTAGATTTTCTGAAACTCCTCCTTGGTCAAGGTGCCCGACGGGCAGTCCTTGAGAAATCCTGCATACAGAGAGCACACAGTCAGTATTGTTCACTGCAGAGGGATCGCTTGATATCATGCCAGTCTGCGCATTCCAGGGGATCGACCACGTACCCTTATACCATTGCTGGAGCTCCTTCTTGTCAAAGTGGGTTGCTTTCTGCAGCTCGTCAAGCTGCGAGGGCGAAAGCTTCGACTGTCTGTGAATCTCGAGTCAGCATTCATGCTCGCCAAGGTCAACAATTCTCCACAGTGCCAGGCGAAAGGCCCGGTCACGATGGCATCGCCGTTAAACATCAGAAGAGACATCTCCGAATCCCAGTCGCTTCCGCCCGAGTTCTTGCGACGCGGCGTAGGGTGAGTGAGGGGTAACGGGGGACAGGTCGGACTTACGACTTGCCCATGATCAAACACCCAAAACCGAAACTGGCACAGAGGGTCGAAAGCGCATGCACGGTCGAACACTCGGTGAGATCGTCAGGAACGGCGTGAGCGCAAAAAGGGTGACGGAAATGGGTGACGCGGGGTAGAACGGGGGGGAGGACTGTTGTGGCTGAGGTGAGATGCTGTGGCGTGGCGGGAGAGAAGGGGCTGTGCGAGGGGTCTACGCAAGGGCGTCAGGTCAACAGCGGAGAGGGAGAGAGACTCTGAGAATAGTTCAAGTGCGAGCGAACGTGAAAGTTGAGGTCACTTTGCAGGAGGAAAATAAAGCCGGTTTGGGGATGTGGCAAGGAGGAAGTCCAGACCGTCTGGGGGAAAGCGTTGGCTTGGCATGACACGACTACGCTTGGAAATTACCGCGAAACTCCGGACAGAAACCAGTTGATTATATATATACATTGGATGCCCTCTTCCCCCCAAATAATAAAGACCCTTCTATCTCGTTCCAAACGGAAAAATGGGGAAATAATCAGATGACAAATGCAAAATCATTTCCAGGGCTACCCAGACATGCGAACAAGAGGAAGAAATGGAGGGCCGCGGGCGGGTTGCCCCGGATGAAAAGGACGGCTAAATAAAGCGGGTCCATGATGATACGTTTAGTCCACCTTGATGGAACCGTAGATCCGGTGGATGAATGCCCAACTGGCAAAGAACCCAATGGAGCCTGCAAAAGGGAGTTAGGTTAGTAAATCCTCCAGCTCGGGGAATTCGGAAGCCACATACCAGTCAAAATGAAGACAACAAAGCCAATCAATGCCGAGTAGCCCACGTAGAGCACTGCACCCGTCAGGCCGCCGAAGCTGACGCGGGTGGCCCAGAAGATGAGGGCATTCAGGAAGACGTAGCCACCAGTCATACCCGCACCGGCAAAGGCACGCCAGTGCCACCGGTAGTTCTCGGCGCAAAGCAGGAAGTATACAAGCAGGACAGTGGTGGCTGCAGAAGTGATGATCATCAAACCGTAGCACAAGAACAAGAATCCAAACATGTAGTAAATCTTGTTGGTCCAGAGCGAGGTCATGATGAAGTATAGCTCGACGAAGATGGCGCCGAAGGGAAGAATGCCAGTAAGGAGAATAGACGGGATGGTACGCAGGCTACCAGCCATGGGAGGCACCTGGCGGGGAATCTGGTTGGTCTTGGTTGGTCCCTCGATTGGCTAGAAATACCAGGTTAGTATAAGAAAGAAGCCAGAAACGAACGACTCAAATGAACAACGTGGATCTTCGACATACCGATTGTCTGAACCCAACCCAGCTGCCTACCACACTCAACGGCACACTGATCACGAACCAGATCAAGACCAAGGCAAGCATGGTGCCAAATGGCACGGCACCACTAGAGCCCTTGGCCCAAACGAACAAGTTGAGGAGGAAGAAAGTGCCAAAAATGACACCCGGAAGCAGGAGAGGAGTCATGACGATGTTGCGCCTCCAGGCCTCGCCGCCAAATGCCTTGTACACCCGAGCCGAGACATAGCCTCCAATGGCGCCAAAGAGAGCAGAAATAAGAAGGATGGCAGTGGCCAAGAAACCACGGTTAGCAGGCGAGAGGAGACCGAGGAGGGCGAAAGCTAAAGGCCATGGTCAGATGATCGCGTAGAGAGCCCAAAGATTAGAAAGCAAAACACTTACCAACAGTAACGCCAGTCATCATGAAGAGTTGGGCACCATTACCGAGCAATACACTCAGCAGCAGCGGAGACTTGGGGCACCGGAAGACATCCCCATGCACCAGCTTCCACCCAGAATCCTCTTGGATTCCATCCTCAACTGCGGCCGAAGTACCATCAAGATCATCCAGACTGATCTGGTCCAGCCGGTTGTAGCGAGCAATGTCCTTCTTGAGTGCGCGGACAAGAATCATGCTCACCATTCCCACCAGGAAAACGACAAAGACGGCAGAATTGATGAGGGAGAACCAGTGGATCTTCGGGTCGTACACGTGCAAGTATTTGTCCCAGCGGGTAGCCCAGGCCGTTGGGGATTCCTTCCAGTAGACGCTATATGTCCAGGTGACTGGAGAATCCTCATCTTCATTCAATCTGAGGAGGTTTCCCTGGGTGCCGCACTCAGCAGTGCCATCCTCAAGAATTCGCGAGTCAAGCCGAGACTCGGGCTGCACGAGCACTCCAACCACCCGGTACTTGTCCTTGCCGCTGAAACCCACGCGGTGGTAGTCGATCACGATATCGAAGTGATTATTGAGAACAGATTGGCCATTCTCATCCACATCGCCCAGCGAGAATCCCGGGTTGTAGAACTGGGTGTTGGTGTTGGCGTCGTAGTTCAGCTGCGCCGCTGGCAGTCCGTCCACGAGCCAGTTGATATTATACCCTTGCGAGATTCGACGATTCGTAAACTTGGAGCTGCGTCCGTCAAATACAACCTCCCCGCAGATGGCTTTACATGTCTCATTCTGCGCCATGTGTAGCTCCAGCGGAGAGGTGCGGATCCGGTCGCCGAACAGAATACTTCCCAGTGATTCCCTGACATCTTGAGCACCCCCTTCCGGCCGGCAGAAGTGGAAAGCGGGATGATAGTAGTCGTAGGAGAAGACGGAATGGAGCTGGTCGTCGCGCGACAGTCCAGGCGTCAAGTGGTTGACATTAAGCGGGACGGATTGGCCTTTATCGTAAGATGATGGAGCAACGCCGGGAAGGTAAAAGGCTGATGAGAGCGAAGGAATTGACAGGAGAACCGAGGCGAGGAGAGAGGGGCTTGGTCGGTGAACCGCATGGTGGGCGTGTGAGCGTTCGGCGGATTTGGTCAGATCAGCTTCATGTGTTTTGACGGGTGATTATTATCTGGATTTCGGGGGGCGCGTATGGGTTGGACCACCGATTCCACAATCGGATCAGACCAATTTACAAAGCTCAGCTGGAATGAGCTCGTGGCGGCATGCGTGTGCCTCAATAGAGAAAAGAGAATTTGTGGTTGCGAAAGGACAGAATGGCCCTGAGAGACAATGACGACCGACGAAGCAGCCTTGACTACACGTGACTCGGAACCAGGCACCTTCAAACCGTAGGTACTGGTCACGTGCTGATAAGCACCATCCAAAAAATTTCCAGCAGCCTTGTCGCCGAAGGAACCTTATACTTTTGAAAGCACAACTCGCCATGGCTTCAGCAGAGACTGCGCCGGTACGCGCTCAGACTCTATCTACACTCCTCGAGAGTCTCGGTTCCTGTCTTACCAGCGCCAGCTCTTCCCTCCCGACCGCTCACAAAGATGCGCCCACCGATGTTTCAATCGCGCCGCCCCAAGACGGTATCTCGCTTCTCGATACAAAGAGCGAAATCCTCCTCTCCTACCTGCATAACCTCGTCTTCTTGATTATATTCCAACTACGGCAAAAAAAGTCGGACGAGGCCGAAATTGAGGTCGACAACACTCTTCGGGACGACGTTGTGAACAAATTGGTTGAACTTCGGGTATTCCTTGATCGCGGTGTTCGGCCTTTGGAGGGACGGTTGAAGTATCAGATCGACAAAGTCATCAAGGCAGCAGAGGACTCGGAGCGAACAGAACGCCCTACCAAATCTAAAAAATCGAAGAAGGTCCGCGAGACTGCCAAGTCCGGTAGCGACGAAGAGTCCGAGGACGATGACGAGGCAAGCGACAGTGAGGATGAAGACGAGGAAGAGGATATGGATGAGATGGCATATCGCCCCAATGTTGCGGCACTTGCGAAGGGCAAGGTGGAACAGAAGCAGCCCCAAGCCAAGGCCAAGGCGGCCAGAGAGGAGCCTAGTGATGGCATCTATCGCCCACCGAAGATCATGCCGACTGCCCTTCCCACTACTGAACGTCGTGAGCGCCAGGATCGCCGGCCCCGTCGGTCTAATGTTATCGACGAATTCGTCAGTGCCGAAATGTCCGCTGCACCCATGGCCGAGCCCAGCATCGGTAGCACCATTATTGCTGGTGGACGCCAGACCAAGTCTAAGAAAGACCGCGAGCACGAGGCCGAGCGAACCCGGTACGAAGAGACCAACTTTGTCCGTCTTCCCAAGGAGACCAAGAACGAACTTGCCAAGCGGGGTGGTGGCCGTCGCGATGCCACATATGGTGGCGACGAATGGAAGGGTCTTACCGAGGGAGCCGATCGCATTGAGCGCCTTACCCGCCGGTCGAAGAACAGCGGCTCTGTTCTCGAGAGGAGTCGGAAGCGCAAGAACGAGGATGGACAGCGCAGCGACGGTGTGGCGGTGGGCGACATCTTTGACAAGCGTCGCAAGAAGATTGACAGCTGGAAGCGGTAAAATTGAGGACTTCTTTACAGCTACCTCACTCATTCCTTCCTGTGTCTTTTTTTTTTTCTCTCTTCTTTGTTATGTGACAGGCAACCGAGCCTGTGATCATCCCCCGGAGTTGGTACGGTACAATAGGGCTTGTTATGTATCTAGTTGCCCACTACTACTATGTCTGCATCGGAGCATCCAATTTTATAGAATTGGCTCAACTACGGGTTTCCTTTCCTTGGTGTATACTGTAGGCTCTGTACTGTATACTTTCTCGTAGCGCCGATCGGCCCATCCACACGGGGATGCCGAGTGCTTGGACAAAAATTGCATGGATAGCCATATGTACCAGTTATGGATGGCCAAAGGCAAAATTGCCAATTCCTTTTGACAGGCAACATCATTTTTTTACTTGATTCCAACCCTTGTACGAACGCATGTAAATCTGACGAGTCGTTGCAGCTCCGAATCAAGTCGGCACGTTCACATGTCGGAGTTGGGTATGACGTCATCGCCTAGCAACAGGTCCCCCTGCTCTCAACTGAAACTGTTGGCTCTGGGCCAAACTCTTCTGTCAACATTCAATATTGCTGCTGCAGCTCCCCTAACCATGGAGAATCCAGGTAAGTCGGTCCATATAGTTTAAGATTTAGGCACCATAACTGAGTCGATTCATCTTCAGTCGCCGAGATCCGAACGGTGATCCGTCTTCTCACTCAATCCACACCATCGTTACAAGAAAAGGCCTTGAAGCAGTTCTTCACCTCCAATGCAGCCTTTGTGCATCCATTCTGTCGAGTCCCCAGCTTTAATGGAAGTCGCTGGTGGGTGACCAAGATCTTTCAATGGTACAAGATCATGTCGCCTCGGATTGAAATGGAGATTCACTCCATTGGTCAGTACTTTGGTTTCCATGCCACTAATTCTCAGCCAAGTTAACAATCCATTTCCAGCATTTGATGAGAATAATTTAAAGCTCTATGTCAACATGTCGCAGATCTTCTCCATCTGGCTGGTGCCTTTTCACGTTGCACCAGTGACTCTGACAACGGTCTTGGATCTCACCACAGACGCAGCCCGGAGCAATGCGCCGACGAATGGCGATCACACACGGTACTACATTACCAAGCAAGAGGATCTGTATCAAACTTCCGAGTTTGTGAAATTCCTCCTCCCACATGTGGGCCACTGGCTAGTTCTGGCATGGCACTTGATGGCAACGTTCTTCTGCATTTTGGGTGTGACTTTGCTGTGGCCCATGCTGTGGTTGGAGGAGAATGGCTACCTGCCTACTTGGATTTCGCGAGGAAATCTGGCCTACGATATTGCGGACAGGATCCCCGAGATCAAGAAGGAATAACCATTCGGAAGACGTTGCTTGTTTAGTTTTGCAATAGGATATGATATCAATTTGAACTTTTTGACACTTGTTTTAAATGACTTCATCTCTGACTATCATCATTCGTTATTATTTTAAATGTTTCGCAGATCTAGAGGGTCTTAATACAGGCTCATCATATGTTCATAGTTAAGAAATCAACGCTCGGTTCAAACTTGTATCATGCGTCCCCTGGCATGGTCATTGACCATGTCATCGCGATTGCCCATTCCAAAATTACTCAGCCTTGTCGACTTTGTGCTGTTTTTGAAGCTCCTTGCGGAACAGTTCCTCTTGTTCCACCACCATCAAAGGTAAGGCACGCCCAAGCCCGAAGAACACGAAAAGGGCCCACTTCCATCGGAAAGGATTGACGAGAAGGACAAAGATGTACCAGTAAATGAGTTCCGCGTAGGTGAAAAAGTCAAAGGCCCTCGTGGGCGCGAAACGCTTCATCAGTCTTGTAAAGTCAATCCAAGTCTTCATACGCTGCTCCGTTGGTCGCGTCAAGGGGTCGGTCAAGAACATGATGAGGAAGCGCGTGTAGATGCCAATGTGCATATTACCAACCGTACCGATCGCATTGATGTAGGTGCTGTTGTTGGCGCAGATATCGGGATACTTGGGTGGGAAGACTTGGAGATACCAGTCTGGGGGACTGTATGGCTCTTCGAATACTTCATCCGGGAGGAAATTCAGGGAGGGACGCTTGAATCCAGTTGCCATGACAATGATGTCGCCCTCGATAAGACGTTCCTTGCCAGGGCCACCCTTGGGAACACCCTGAGCCCTGTGGTTGAAAAGCACACCATTCTCCTCCAATGAAATGATATCACCCCGAAGCCAGCGTGCCTTGCCCTCGCGGATCTGATTGAATAGTTCCGAGTTCGCCATGGGGGTCTGGGTAAAGATCCCATCCTCGGTAGGAGCGATATCCTGGAGATCGCGATAGAAGAACTTGCGGAGCAGACCTTCGGGAATCCAGGACAACGAAGTTTCCTGGCCGAAGATGTTGAAGGCCAGTAGGGATTGAACCAGCACGTTTCGGGGGATGATCCATTTGTCGGAGCGCGACAGGACATCGATCTCTGCGGCGCCGGATTTGACGGCAAATTCTAGAGCTTCAATCGCACTGGCACCACTGCCGACAATCAAGATCTTCTTGCCCTTGGCATCTTTCCCATCCAAGTTCGAGGAGTGGAAGATCTGACCCTTGAACTTGTCTTGGTCCGGCAACGTAGGCATCTGAGGATCTCCACAGACACCGACAGCGGTAAGCACACCGTCGAATCGGCCGTATTTTTCCTCGTCGTTGTTGATGATCCATTGACCATCCTTGGTCTTCTTGACCGAGGTGACTCGAGTGTCAAATACCGTTCGTCGCTCAAGGTCGTAGCGTTTCCAAAGCTCGATAATCTGCTCCTTGATTTGTTGCTGCGTGGGATAGGCACTGTCATAGTGCACTGAGGGATGGAATCGGTACATCAAGCTATGCACCTGGAGGGCTGAGGTGGAATTGACTCGCTGTTCAATGTTAATACTGTGTTTGTTTTCCCGTGTTGGAAGTTCAATGAGCCGAGGAGTTGAGACTTACACTCCAGATTCCTCCCAAGCCGCGATCCTGGGATCTAGACTCAAAGATTTGCACATCAAATCCATGGCCCACGCAATGCGCTGCCGATGAAACACCTGTCAGACCTGCACCAATGACCGCAACCCGTTTTGGGGGGAGATTGGATTTGTTCGCGGTTGGAGGAGGCGGCGCTGGTGAAAAGACGTATCTCAGTACAGCTTGCAATATGATGTAGAGCCAAGTAAAGGTCTGCACGAAAGGGTGCCTGATCAAGGCGAGGATTGACGATTGAGATGCTGCCATAGCGAATGGAGTTGACAACGATGCAGCAGAGAGGGATTGGAACGGAAGAAATCCACGACGGAAGTTGGGGATGTTTTGTATCTGGACCAGGAGGGAGTGACGTGATGAGTGGAGCAAATAAATAGCGCTGGCTTCACATGTTCACATGTGACTGTCTGTCAGAATGCTGGTGTGTACGGAGAACAGGAGTCTGGTGTACTCTGGTGGGACGGCACTGGCCATGATGTCATTCGGAGGTCTCAGAGCCTGGTTTTCTGGCCAGACTCTCGGAACTATGAGCTCGGCATGCCGGGCCCTGAGTTTTCCAAATTGGAAGTAGACAATATACTCGAAAAGCTGAATGTATGGACTCCCGACTCCAGTTATATAGTATTCGAATATAATTAAAATAAGAATCGGAAGAGTGATTATCACCAAGAGATGGATTGACGGTTGCACTCTGTGGTCTAAGCTCCGCATTGGCTCATGCTCGTTGAGCTTGTTTTCTACGTGTCGGCGGCCCAGGTGCTTTTTAGACACTTTTCATGTGCTTGAATATCTCTTCCTACATCTCTTTCTACCTATGTAGCTCATCGCGGTGGCCTCTGTTAAGAATACCGATATAACCCCAGTCGCGACAGTAGCTCTGAGTCGGTGAGTAAATTCTTCGACCACAGTACGAGAGGCGTCTTCTCCCATTCGGTGTAGCCAGCGGAGAACCAGAATTCCTTGTGCCTGATGTTGCGTGTGAGTAGCCTAATATTATTTCAGGCTATTAGGTAGTTATGTGGCTAAGTAGGGTCTGCCCTTGAAAGTTGATCAACGCGCTACTTGCTGAAGCAGCTCACTCTATCGGCCACCGTCCTCCGAGCGGTCAACCATGGGCGGTCATTATTCTGCCGGGCGCTTTGTCGCTGGACTCCATTTCATTTCTGTGCAAAGACAAGCTTCTTTCCCTCTCTCACCATACAGAACTTGACCCTCGCGCATGATCGAAGACCGACACTCGAACTACTGTGTCCCCAACATGGTTCCATCCCCGCTCCTCTCCCGATAAACCCCCGATTCCTCCATCTCCGGGCCTTCGCGCGACCTCCGCTCCACGCTCGTCATGGCCCGCCAAGCTCCCATTCTGGATGAGTTTCTAGGCGGCATAGCCGTTCAGATCCAAAATCGCGATGGCGCGAAACTGCAGGATTTTCTGCAGATTGAGCCTCCCCTGTCAGATGCCTACCAGCGCTTGATTCAGGAGCTCCGCGAACGTTATCCCCCGGGCCCTCAGAGCGATTCGGATCTTTTACAACGATGTGAAACACTGGTACCGCGCACCAAGGGTGGTTCATCATGGACAGCGTTCCCGACCTTCATGAAGCTCTACTTCACTTTCCTGCGCGATGTAAATACCGATAATCTGCTTGATACCTACAACCAGCTCAAAGCACTACTGAAGTGAGTCGCGTGGGAGCTTGATCTTCCACCCTGCCCTGTCGATGATCTTTGATATTGTGGCTAATCCGGATCACCGTTTCGCCCATCTATAGTCAATGCGTTATAGCGCTTGGTGACAGCCAGATGGGGGTGATTGTTCTTCCCACTGTCCTCTACCTGTCGAAAGTGTTAGCGAAGCTAGCAATGGGATTAGACCGCCGGCCGGAACTAATCGCCCATATCTTGCGCATCGAAGGAGCAATGGACAATGATGAGAGCACTGAAAAAGTGACATTGGTGGAACAGTCGGCAAATGTAGTACGCGAAGCCTTCATCAAGTGCTTGACAGATCGCACTGGCACCCCGGGACCACAAGGAAAGCCCGAAGGGAAGCGTGTTGGGATCTACCTCATGGCCAACCTCTGCCTTAAACTCCTCTTTCAGGTATGTACCGTATCTATATGGGGGCGTTTTTTTTTTTTGCCAAGCCCACCCCCGAAATTTGAGAGCCACTCGAACTGATTTCGTCCAAATAGTGTGGCAAGTTGCGAAATGCTGAGCAAATGTTTGCGAGCATCACTGCCCAGTCTCCTCCTTTAGCCCATTTTCCTGCCTCGCAGCGTGTGACATACCTCTACTACCTCGGCCGTTACTTATTCTCCAACAACCTCTTCTATCCCGCTCTTATCGCTCTTCAGGCTGCATATGATCAATGTCACCGCCAGGCTATCAGCCAACGACACTTGGTTCTCGCCTATCTGATCCCATGCAACATTATCATGGGCCGATTCCCGTCTCGGAAACTACTACAACGACCCGAGGCAAACGGATTGACCGATCAATTCGAACAGTTGTGCCGATTGATTGTTCGTGGCGATTACATCGCTTTTCGAGAGTATCTCTCCCCAAGTTCGCCCGCTGCCGAGTGGTTTGCCCGCAAGGGAATCTTGCTCACACTCCGCAACCGATGTGAGATTATGGTGTGGCGGTCATTTTGTCGAAAGGTGTTCATTCACAGTGGATTCCATGGGGACCCGCAGGCGCAGGCGCAGCGTGGTCCCCCGCCTTATCTCTACCTCGAGAAATTGACTGTGGCTACCCGGTGGCTCCAGTCACAGCATCGTCAGACTCAACGACCGAACGGAATCAGTCATGCGACACCTGAATTTCACTTTTATGGTTCTCAGATCATTCCCGAGGCAATTGATCCCGACTTCGGTGGTCTCGACAGCTCTGAGAATCCAACAGCACAGCAATTATTAGAAAAGTTTGGCGATTATCTAGCCCCGGACGGATTTTTCGATGAAGGGGGTCATTGGCATGACAACATGCCCGGCCAGTTGATTGATGGCAATCCAGGCGTTGATTATGATGCGTTTGAGTTGGATCCCTATGCCGAGGCCACGGAGGATGGCCCAGAAGCAGATAAACAGTCTCTACTCATGGAAGAGGTCGAATCTATTCTTGCCTCGCTTCTCACCCAGGGACTCATGCGCGGGTACTTGACCCATCGCAATCCCCGTTTCGCTATCCCTGGCGCTCGGTTGCGGGGTGCCTTGCCAACAGGCTTCCCCAACATCTGGGAGACGATCTTTGCTCGTGAGAAAGACGATGATAACGTTCCCGGATGGGTACGACCTCCCCCACCAGGGCCATTGGGCGCCGCTGGTGGTGGCCGAGTGGTGAATCTGTCAGGAGCACGACCAGTTGGCGTACAATAAAGAATTTCGATTGCCAGTCTACTCGACTCATGATATTTGACTTTTTTTTTTTTTACGATACCTACACTCGAGACACAATAACGAAGTGTTTGAAGGATCTGTGGTAACATGCGATCTAATTTATTCTTCCCACAAGTAACAATAAAAGCTGGATGAAAATAGCTTGAGAGTTGAGAAGCCCCGAAAAGAACGACCAGTATGCGATTAATGCAAACGACGAACGCTAGATATACTTGATACCATCATAGGTCAAGTCTTTCCACCTCACAGCTTGGATTTGTTCCACCAGATGTCTGGCCGCCACATCTCATTCAATAATCGGCTGGCGTTGACCATGTCCGGCCGCAGTTGGTCGAGCGAAGAAACTCCCAACATCTTCATCGTGATTTCCACTTCCTCGGCAAGAACTGCAATCACGTTAGCGGAGGGAATTCCGGATCCAAATGACTTCTTGCACGCCGAAATAACATACCGTCGGTGCATTTCTCCACGCCTTCAATACCGTAGGCTGCCATGGCATAAAAGTAGGGCCTACCCACTCCTACAGCAGTTGCCCCGAGGCACAAAGCCTTGAGAACATCGGCACCATCCCGGAGACCGCCATCGACATAAATCTCCAACTTGTCAAACGCCTCCGGGTAGTATGTTCGAGTTTCCAACAGGGTCATTAGTGCACTGGGAGCGGAATGGATCTGTCGGCCACCATGATTGCTCAAAAGGACACCCTGCACACCGTGTTGAACAGCTAACTTTACATCCTCCACGGTCTGGATTCCCTTCAGAACAATCGGTCCGTCCCACTCATCGGTAATCCATGCCAAATCCTCCCAGCTGAGACCGGGATCCAAATATCCCGGCACAGGCCGGCCACCAAATGCAGGACCAAAGGCATTGTCATCCGCAGCCTCTCGGACTGTCTCTCTGGTTCCTTGATCGAGAGCTTCTTGTGCTTGCAAATAGCGATCTGCCGTGCGTTTCCCCAGGGTAGAAGTGTCTACGGTGATCCATAGACTGTGATAGCCGGCCTCCTTGACTCTTCGAATGAGGGATCGAGCTAGATTTCGATCCACGGGGACGTACAATTGGAAAGCCAGCTTGGACGGGCTCTGATTACCAAGTTGGCGCTGCTCGTCGAGGTGGGCCTCCATAATCTCCTCCAATGGCTTACTTGTCGCCGTGCTGACCACCGTGTGTAAGCCCTTTCGGGTAGCTCCTCGCACTAGCAAGGGTTCTGCGCCTGGGTGCGCATTACCCAATGTTCCCATTGCCGAGACGAAGAATGGTTGACCGCCGGGTTGACCCAGGATAGACCGAGTTGGATTCAGTGAACTGACGCTCCTCATGATGCGAGGGCGGAAGTTGATTCGAGACCAGTCGTCTAGATTGGACTGGAGTGACAGACCTGAGGCTGCGCTGCTGGAAGCGTAGACCCATGCTTTGTTTGGGAGGACTGCCTTTGCAGCAGCCTCGAAGTCTTGAGTGGTGACGCAGAGGGCCAGATTGGGGGGTGCTGTCTGATTGTTTGGCATGGTGTGTCGTTTGTGATTATAAGAGCTCGCGTCAAGTATGGAAGCGTTTAGGAAGTATAAAAGAAGACTATACGAGCCGGTGACTTTGAGCAGGTAATCACCGCAGTGCCTCAATGACGAAATGGCTAGCAAAAATAAAATTCGTATAATCTTATAAGATATGAGCCCGAAAAGTATGAGCCTCTTACTGAGAGAAGGAATTGCTATAGATCTACCCTATGATGGCCATATATGTATAGAGCAGTATAAAGGTACTCTGTAAGTATGAAGACAACGTTGAGTCACGCCCGAGTCTTCTCGCACGAGAGGCCTCTGGAAATCAATCTCCGTCCAGACTTCGGGCCGTGGATCAACTCTATTTCTTCAACTTCCCTTACCGGCATCGACTACTGCTCAATTGACTGATCAAGTGACTCAATTGCCTCAATACAGTACCAGTGAAGACCATCGATCGGCGAGAGTTGCCCGTAAGGTTTTATCGGCTATTCACTAGCAACCGATCGGCTGGACGAAGGAGATCTCCAATCTTTAGTCTTGCGACTCTTTGATTGGTGGTAAATCTCATGGCCTTACTCGGACGGCTCCAGAACCGAACGTTGAGATGCCATAAACCGACCATCAAAAACTCGGTCTTTACCCGAGAGCGTGAATCGCAACATGGCAGGCGTGCAATTGTGGGAATCCGGAGGGCATGCTACTCCCCCAAACTACCCCGAGTCGGCCCTTGCCCGAACTGGTCCAGCGATGAAGCAGGCATTTCTGGAGAAGAAGAAGATCTATCGTGGCTTCAAATATCCCGCGTGGTGCCACTCGGACCTCTTATTCTGGAACGTTGATCTCTCTGCATGTCGGCATCTGAAAAGCGACGGCAATTGAAAAGCGACGGCAATTGAACCAACGCCAACGCCAGTACCTGGGCGGCGTTCGTCCAATGGGCTACTCATTCTCGATGAGTAAATGCCTTCCATAGTTACATACTCAACTCTTTTGGATATGGAATGTGGTTCTTTTTGCGGGATTCATGGTCGTGGCCACGCTTTGGTCTTGCTTCTACTTCCTGAGACCAACGGTTTGACGGTTGATCAAATAGATATGATCTTGTATGTGAAGCTCCCACCTTCCTGGATCACAACTTTCTTACAATCGATAGTGGTTATGATCAACCCGGACACCGCGGTATTCCCCACACCCGCATTATGCAGACCCAATTGGCGGCATCAAATGCAGGTGTCGCTGATAATCCGGGTCAAACTGAGCACTTTGAGGTTGTTTAGAATTACCCAGCAATGAATACGGGGTACTGATGCATAGTAAACAGCAAGGGTTGCCGTATCGTGGGATGTATGTCAGGGACATCACCAGTTAACTGTTAGGTTGGAACAAAGACCAGCATTGAGGATTAGCTATCATTTTGCAACTACTAATCCACATTACTGGTTTCTACCCATACGACTCTTCTTTCTAACTGCAGACTACCACGATTAACAAACAAAATACGAATATAATTCAATGTCACACAAAACTGAATATCCAGGAACTCAAGTCACAAAACAAATACGCGCAAGTACAGAAAGTCAGAAAGCCAAACATCTCATCATTCATAATAGTCACCTCGGGGGGAACCATTGAGACCAAGTAATATTTGCAAGCCGCCTGGGCTAGAGTAGTCAATTTCACACGCCTTTGCTTAGAACCTAGAGCAGGTATTGTTAGACATCATTTTAAGACACACATGGAAGAAACATACAGCATCAGCATCTTCTCAGCTTTCATCTGCTCCGGTCTCTTCTCGCCTCGCATCGGCGAGGTGACCTTCGAAGAGGGAGTCGGAGTGGCCATGGAAGTTGGAGTTGCACGCTTCATTGGCATCGACATCGACGAGGACATGGGCATGGAGGTTGAAGTCGCAGGAAGATTGACTTCTTGGTGGTGCTATGCGATAGAAAATTTCATTAGGTTAGTTACCTTGTTGAAGGCTTGCCTGAAGGTCGAATCTAACCTGCTGGTTTCCGCCACGGGGCAAAGCGACGGCGACGGTAGCAAACAGAGCGTACATGATTTCGAAGCGCATAATGAAGTATGTGAAGGATGGATTGGATAAAAAGCAGAAATTGAATGATGTTGACGATATTTGGCGACTTGGTGAAGTTGATCGAGGGACTGAATGAATAATTGAAAATGCGGAGAATATCATGACCTTTTTATATCTGAGTAACTCTCCTTTTTCATTATTAGTTCTGATGATGAAATCATTGCTAGGAAGCAGATCTGCTCACAAGAAGAGCAGATCCATTCATGGGATGTCAAAGAGGAGGGGTGTAAAGTCGGATGATTCACGTCAGACGGAGCTCCAGCTGGTGAGAATAATCTCGCAGGTGCTCTTGCAGGATTAACTCCGCGCCATTTACATTTGCTGGGGGTTAATTCTGATGTCAGTGGAATGCGGGCAAGGAGGGAGCCTCATCCCTGGTGACACACATGTCCTACCGGCCCATCCCTTGATCAGCATGGCTGTTTCGATTGGGCTCATGCATACTGTTGCAAGTACGACTGGGAAAAATTGGAAAAGACTATTGTATTGATATTTAGAGGTGAGTAGATACTATGGTACATTTGGTCTCAATTGTGGGTCTCTCCGCCGGTAATTGTGAGATATCTGCAGGGCACGTCCAGTATATGGCAATCTCCAGGGCTTTAGCTCTTAGCTTTTCTTAACCAGGCTGTACCTCCTCCAACTTGCGCACATAAAACAAATGGAAATGATTAAACCACAACCAGCTAAGCCAATACCCGTGTATAGGGCACCGCGATATCCACGCAGAACATTGCGACCTGCGTCATTGACATGCGACTCCACGGTTCCCGCAAATCCGAGGCCCAGGGAGATGGAGTAGTTGACTGTGGTGGCCACGAGGGATGCAGCCAGCCCTTGATGGTGGCGATGCATCGCATTACTGAGGATGAGTGTTCCAGATGGGAAGGACATATCCCTATAGACAGTTAGGACTTGTGAGCATATGACGAGACAGGGATTTGATGATGGAACACATACATTCCCCAGGAAGTAATCAAGCTCACGACAAAAGCTTGTGCCCAGTAAGTTTGTTGCACGGGCACAGCGGCGAAGATACATAGACCGGCAGCAAAGAAGGCCATGGCACAAAACATGATGACGCTGGGTGGCCAGCGACCTAGTAGGAATCCAGTGACGAGGGCTGCAATGGCACCCGAAGGGGCTGCAGCTGACCATTTGGCGGTGGCGAGCAATGGTGAATCTCCTTTGATGACCTCCATAAACTGGTAAAAGTAGTATATGATGATTCCAAAGCTGGACCATCCGGCGGCGATACACCCGAGGACCCATGCCATGTCGCCTGTGAAGATTGATCGTGGCAACAGCGGGCAGACTGCTCCGCGCTCAATGAATGCGAATGCGCCGAGGCATATGAAACCGACAATGAGGAGCATGTAGGTGTATCGGTTCTTCCAGCCAACGAGTGCAGCCTGATTCCAGGCAAAGTTGATCAGTATAAGACCAGAGATTCCTATAGCAGCTCCTAGTAGATCCAGTCGCTCCCAGAAGGGTATTTCGTCGTTGAACTTGGGCCGCGGAGTATAAGGGATAATCAACCAGCCCGCTATTGCCAAGAGAGCGCACATCATTCCCATCACCCAATATGCCCAGGGCCACCAAACCAATTGGGCGAAGATAGATGAGAATACGCCGCCGACAATAAATCCTCCCGGAGCAGTGGCACCGAAGAGGCTAAAGATCATTTCTTTGCGAAATCCCGGTGGATAAGTCCGGCCCAAGATCGCAATCGCGTTGGGAAGCAGCATTGCTGGCCCGATTCCTTGCAGAGCACGACAGCAGTCAAAAAAGATCTTGTTCGACCAGACACTGAATCCCGCTAGTAGGGACCAAAGGCTAAACCAGCAGAACCCGAGCACGAACAAGCGACGATGGCCATAGACATCCCCGAGTCGTCCTGCGACTAATATGAAAGTCCCCACGGTCAAACTATACGCGGCGGCAAACCAACTCAGCTCGGCTGGGTTGGACGTACCAAAACTGCGGCCGATGATATGTACGGGGGCAATAGACATGTTCAGACCGGCTTGGGTCATGAATTGGGCCATGGATACCACGCTAACGAATGCAATCTCCCGATATATGGATTTTGGCGGTGATATCTGCGACTGTGAGGTCTCTAGTCGAGTCAAGTCCTGGGGATCAGGGTCTCGCTGTGTGGGTGGTTTTTGTAGATCGACTGAATGGCCCCGATCCGAGCCGGTCGATCGAGTGTGGCGAGAGCAGTGATCCATGACTGCAACTAATGGGGAGTGGATGGGTTCTGAAGACAAGTGTCGTCAAGCCATGTAGATGGAGTGCTTCAATGGTCCAGTACTGTATAGATTGATGCTATGCACGACGGGAGTATTGTAGTTTGGAGTTTGCATTAGGGTGTATGTATATCTTGTTTTAACTCCCGTCGGATGCCGACCCGACGGAACAAACTCTGCCATTCTCAGTAGACTCTCTTTTCGTTTTAATAATTTAGATAATCCATATGCTAGTGAGTAATGAAGCTCGTGTCAGTGTGCCGGCACATCACGCACCTCCAGTTCGGGTGCTATCCATCATACGCAGGTATACTCTAAAAATGCCATACGTTGATTATTTTATGGACTAACATCTTAACCTTCGGGCTAATCTCCGTTGATCGGAGCTTAGCTCTCCCGTCATCGTCCACCATCACGGGGGTAGACAGCAACCATTTTACGTGTTCTTCTCCCAGGGTATGCAATGATATTTTATGACAAATCCATCGATCTTGAAACTATCAAGTTTTTCCATATCATTTTTTCAATAGCCCATTCACAGTGAAATTCGCAGACGTATACAAAGACCCGATGATTTTAAATTTTAAGGTTCTTTTTCCAGTCCCGTGGATCTTGAGCCCGGCGCGGCACTTACCTAAGCATCACATGCCACGCCTTTTTTCTCCGCGTCAACTGACTGGCGTCAGACTGGTTCTTATTTTCCAAATCCCCCGAAAACACTCGCGGCTCTTCCAGCGCTGCGTGCTGCCTGCTTCCTGGCCATGCTCACTTTCAGCTTCAAGAGGCTTCTGTGATCAGCTCGAGTTGCTGTTGCTGCTGTGTTGACGATACCGGCAGCCGTGGTCACCCCTCCACTCCTTTCCCCCCACTCTTAGTTCAAACAGTCCCCCATGACGGACGCTCCGCCCATTGTCTTTATCGCCAGGTATGTGGGGATGGCCATGACTATAACTTTGATCTTCAACTGATTAATCTAGGCACGGCGCGCGGCTCGATGCGGCCGACAAGGACTGGCATTTGACCTCTCCTACCCCTTATGACCCCCCTCTGTCGTATGGTGGCTGGATGCAGGCGCGGGCGCTTGGTCTTCGTATTGCCAGTCTCTTACAAGATTCCGAATTCACAGGCAACGACCCTGAGGCTGCATCTCCCCGATTCTCGGCCTTGGATGCCTCGACGACATTGCAACCGACCACGGCAAACTCGGATTCGCACCCCCGATACAATGTCATCGTCCACACCTCCCCATTCCTACGATGCTTACAAACGGCGATCGGTGTGAGTGCAGGCCTCAGTCACTATCGCCCGGGTGGTGAAACGTCTGAGTCGGTGGACCCTCAGCCTGTGTCTCAGTTTCATGCAGGGGAATCTGGGAGTCATGATCTCCGACCGCTTCTGCGTGTCGACGCGTTCCTGGGCGAGTGGTTATCCCCGGATTACTTCGACCAGATTGTCCCGCCACCCGCGTCGGACAGGATGGTCGCTACGGCCAAAGCCGAGCTACTCCGTCGTGCCGAGGGAATCCCTATGGCGCGGGAATCAAGGTCGTCGTCGGGACACTTCCCTGGGGGCTGGGGTAGCCACTCTCACCCAGCACCACCTGATGAGGATGATGACCGCCGACTACCCTCCCGGAGTTCGCCAACGAGCACCACTTCTGGCCAGCAACGCCAGAGGCAGCGGGCCAGCACCTACGACACTCTGCAAGGCCCCGCTCCTCCCAGCGCGACCACTCGAGCCCTCGGCCGCTTGAACACTGATCTCCCCTCCGGTGTAGATGCGGCTTACGTGCCCCCAACTCCCGGGTATGCAGTTTCTCCCTCGGATCCCATCCCAGCTGGCTATGTGGCGCATGCACGGGACGCTTGTACCAGGATCGACTACCAATGGGATAGCATGCGGACCCCGTTCTGGGGCACGGGCGGTGAATATGGCGAAGAGTGGAGTAGCATGCATGAGAGGATACACGCAGGGTTCCAACATATGGTGGATTATTACCGCCAACGGGGGAGTGCCAGCGACCGTTCTAGGGCCATGTCCAACGGTTCCTCGCGCCAGGAGAGTAGTAAGCCTGTCCAGACGGTGCTGATTATCATCACGCACGGAGCGGATTGCAACGCTTTGATTGGCTCTCTCGCCGGGCGCTCTGTGCTGTTGGACATTGCTACTGCGTCGCTCACCATGGCAGTGCGACGAGACCGTGTCAAGAAAAGCACCACGCCAGACTCCGACCGTACGGCTACTTCCCCCGTTGGCTCTTCGCCCTCCTCGCCGAGCAGTCAAGGGGACCGGTCGGTCTCCCATGAGTATACTTTACAACTCATCGCCTCAAGTGACCATTTGCGTGCGGGGGTGAACCCCTCTCAGCTCGCTTCGCTGTCCTCTCCCTCGGCTCCACAATCACTTCCGCCGCCTTCGATCCCGACCTATCGTAATCGCCTCGGCTCTCGTCCATCAGCATCCATCTTGCAAGGCTCCTTTTTAATCGATCCCACGCCAAAGACGGGGCCGAGTTCTCGCAGTTGGTCGATGAATTCTCGTCCGTCCCCCACCCTGACGGGTTCGCGAGGTGGGTCTGGCCTTTGGGGCTCCATTTCGTCGCCGACCGAGGAGGCCGATGAAGATACCGAGGATGACTTTGTCCCCAATTTCGGAGACCCTCGACCCGTGAGTCACGACTCGTCACACTCGGATCTGCTCGTTGACCGGTCGGGCTGGACGAGGCAACTGCCCCAGCGGACGGTCTCCCAGCGCGGGCTGTGGGGCAGTGCTCCGGCCTTGGAGGACCGCGACACGGCCTCGAGACGGCGATGGACAGTGACGGAGCAGAAGCTGTGACCACAACGGTTCAGTAATGACTGTCTTTTCTCCTGTAGCTATTATTATCTCCTTTTGCTCTTCTAGGATACCTCTTTGCATGGCGCTGGGCGTTGTTTCACTGCATCTCTGGCCAGTTTGGCCATTCCAATATCACACTCATTCTTATCTGGTCCTCTTATCTTATCTTCTTATCTTCTTATCTTCTTATCTGCCGCTCTTCTTATCTCCAGGCACTCAGGCATCCAGGCACCAAACTCCGCCACTCTCCACCGCGGTTTCCCCGGATTCCCGCTTTGTTCCGCCCTTGTAAACAGCTGGCTCCCTCTTCTGCCTTTCATCCTCTTCCTCCTCCTCCTCTTCTTCTTGTCGCACCCCAACTTAACCTTATACCAGTTCCATTCCGTCGGGCTTCTATGTCAACCCTCGAATCCGACGGTCTATCCGTCACCTACGCCTCGGACCGCACAGGCGCACCCGATCTGCGCCTGATCCACTTCAATGACGTCTATCACATCGAGTATGATCACTCGCGCCCATCGCTGTTTGCGCAAACCTGAAGACGAGCTAACTGGAGCTTTACAGGTCCGGATCAGCCGAGCCTATCGGTGGTGCCTCCCGATTCCAGTCTCTCGTAAACTATTACCGCTCCGACCCGCGATTTACCGGTCAACCTGACGTTCTCACCTTCTTTTCCGGCGATGCTTTCAACCCCAGCCTCGAAAGCACGGTCACAAAGGGTCGCCATATGGTGCCATTTCTGAATAAAACTGGGATCGACGTTGCGTGTGTGGGAGTGAGTACGGATCGTCAGGGTTTGAATATGGGCTGAGACACTGTGCTGACATGGTCAGAATCATGATCTGGACTTTGGAGTGGCACAATTCCGACATTTGTCGAGTCAGTGTCATTTCCCATGGTTGTTGGCCAACGTTCTTGATCCAGCTCTTGGAGTGGATGTTCCGATCGCCAACTGCGGCAAGATGAGCTTGCTGACCTCCAATGGAATCAAGATCGGTGTGATTGGTCTAGGGGAGAGAGAATGGTATGGCTCCTCGGCAATGTGGTTGATCACTCTGCTACGCGTACTCACCCTTCTCCAGGCTTGGTACGATTAACTCTCTTCCGCCCGACTTGATTTACAAATCAGCTGCCGCAACCGCGAAAGAACTGGCACCGCAACTTCGAGAACAGGGTGCAGAATTGATCGTCGTCGTTTCTCATCAGCGGGAGCCAAATGACAATAAACTGGCCCAAAACCTCACCTCCGGATTAGTTGATATTATTCTTGGTGGGCATGATCACTACTACGCTCATACAGTCGTTAATGGTACCCACGTGCTGCGATCTGGGACCGATTTTAAGCAACTGAGCTACATTGAGGCTTTCCGCAAACCCGGTGCCGGGGCAGGGTGGGATTTCAACATCATACGGCGGGATGTCATGCGATCGATTCCAGAGGATCCGGCGACTGTGGCTATGGTTGATCGACTAACATCCAGCCTCCAGGCGAAGCTGGAAAAGCCAGTAGGTTACACAGTTAGTCCGCTTGATGGTCGATTCTCTACTGTTCGTCAGCGTGAATCTAATTTGGGCAACTTTGTCTGCGACCTAATGCGCTATTACTACGGCGCCGATTGCGCGATGATGGCTGGTGGGACTATTCGTGGTGATCAAATTTACCCACCCGGTATTCTACGGCTTAAAGATCTGCTTAATTGTTTCCCTTTTGAAGACCCGGTTGTTCTGATACGTCTTCCGGGCCAAGCCTTACTGGATGCTTTGGAAAATGGAGTAAGTCAGCTCCCGGCCCTCGAGGGTCGATTCACTCAAGTCTCCAACATTTCCTTTGGCTTCAAACTAGACGCCCCATCTGGCTCACGCATCACATTTGCGCGAGTAGGTGGCCAGCCTATTGACCTGGAACGGGAATATGTTGTTGCCACGCGAGGTTACATGGCACGGGGAAAGGATGGATTTTCATCGCTACTAGTGAAATCTGAAGGTGGTGATGTTGAGGAACTAGTATGTGAAGAGAATGGAGTTCTCATCAGCACTATACTGCGCCAGTACTTCCTCAGCCTCAAGGTCCTCGGCAAATGGCGTCGCTGGAGTCCGAGTCTGCGACGACACTGGGGATTGGTGCACCGTGGTTTGCATACTGGTGGCTGGCTGAAGCCACCTTCTGCAGTGCCGTCGCCAGTGATGGAGAAAGCGCCGGCCCATCGACTGGGTGTACGACCGCCGCTTCAACGCACAGGTCGAGATGCTTATTATTATGGACGTTTCCCTCAGGAAATTGAACCGACCCAAGTTGCCACCAATGGGACGAACAGCGATGCCATGGACTCGGACTCGGACGAGAACCCCGAGATCCTCACGTCACCTAGGCCAACAAGAAACTATGTGACATGCACGGCAAAGTCATCTGCGGACGAAGAACATCGCATGAAACTTGCACGCCGTGTTGTTCGAAAATGGATGCGACACGCCGGCTTAGAGCCCTCGGTCCTCAACACCATGGACGGCGAGGGTGAGTTTATTCCTCCGTGGACGTCTGGTATTTCCCCTCGTCTCGAGGGGCGTATCGTGATCGAGTGAAGACGGACCCCTAGTTCGAGTCTGATATGAGGCTTTCCATGGAAGATTTCTGGACTTTTTAAGTCTTGCATTTTGAGTTTCTTGTTTTGTTGCTGCTGGCCTTCAATTACTCTGCATTTTCGGTTTATATGATCCCCAGGCGTTGTGAATTCTGGTCGGAGGATGGATTGCATCAATTGGCTACGAGATCATGAAGACCACTGTTACACATAGACCAGGGCGCTACAAAGGGCAGATACAGCGAGGTGTCAGATATTTTCGGGTTATATTCTTAGACAGGGTCAATTTGAGCTTCTGTTGATTTCAGATCTCCATCAGGACAGACTTATCCCAAGTAGAACAACATATTGTGCTTTATAGTTTGTGTGAATAGGACTCATGAAGTTCGTTGCATGTTTTCTCGGTACATCTATGGATATTTATGCACATGTTAGCCTCGTCATCTATGCTCTAATACTGTACAGTGTACTCAAGCAGCCACCTCCTCCGCGCCCCATCCACCACCACCGGCAGTCATGATAACCACCCGATCGTGCGTCTTCACCGAAACAGTATTCTTGCCTCCAATATTGATGTGTCGCTCCTCCCCAGTCTCTATATCCTTCGTGATCCACTGATTCAGACCCGGCTGCGCATCCTTGCCGCCCTCCAATCCATACGGACGGTGCACACGACGCTCAGACAAGATGGAGCACTGCATTGGAGCGAGGAACTCGATGTCCCGGACTACTCCCTCTCCACCGGGATTCCTGCCCCGACCACCAGAGCCATCACGCAGCGTGAATTGACGAAGCAGAGTCGGATACCGTTTCTCCAGAATTTCGGGATCCGTAATGCGAGTGTTGGTCATATGAACCTGAACACCTGATTCTCCCTTCCAAGTAGGACCAGCACCGCTGCCGCCTGCAATTGTCTCATAGTACCCAAATCCAGGAGTGATCACCTCTCCAGTTTCGGTGTTAATCTTGGGGTTGATGCCGAAGGTTAGGTTGTTGCAGCAACCCTGCGATGCAGCACAGGCCCGGAAGGCTTTGAGGACAACGTCGGTGATGCGCTGCGAGGTGACCACGTTACCTCCCACGACGGCGGCACTCTTGGTTGGTGACAAGATGCTAGGTGAGGGGACCCGGATGTCAATTGGGGCCAGACAGCCCTGGTTCAGGGGAACATCGGCATTGATCATGCAGCGCAGGCAATAGATGATGGCCGAGTGAGTGATAGCGATGGGTGCGTTCCAACTACCATACACTTCAGGTCCTGTGCCGTCAAAGTCGAAAATGGCAGATCCGTTGGATCCATCAATGGTCACCTTGAGGCGAATCGGTGTCCCGTCGTCCATGTAATCAACCGCTTCGAGCGGCTGGCCACCAAACTTCTGGTGCAGACCCCTGAGGAGGTTGCGAACGGCCGTTTCAGCAGTAGCCTGAATGGCGTACATGTACTTTTGCACGGTGTCGACACCATACTCATTGAAGAGAGTCTGGATGAGGCTGATACCCCGGGTGTTGGCGGCGATTTGGGCCTTGAGATCGGACAGGTTGTCGCTGATGCAGCGGGCACCTGAACAGCCGGGATACTGGGAAGGCTTGGTGACAAGCAACTCGATCAGACGGGCTTCATCGAGAACTCCGTCGCTCACGATTTTGTCACCCTCGATGGCGGCACCTTCCTGCCATAGCTCTGTTGACTTGGGGGGCATGGAACCGGGCAGGATGCCGCCAATATCGGCGTGGTGGCCGCGGGATGCGACATAAAACATGATCTCAGTGCCGCCGGGTCTATCAAATACAGGGGTGATGACCTATCACGTATATATTAGCTCTTATTCAAATTGGCCGCACATTAGGGGGAGACTCTTACCGTGATATCGGGGAGATGGGTGCCACCGCAGCTAGGGTGGTTTGCCACAAGGACATCACCATCCTTCAAATTGCCCAGCCACTTTTGATGCTGGTATCGCACAGCAAATTGCATTGATCCCAAGTGGACAGGAACATGAGGGGCATTCGCAACAAGGCCTCCATCGGGTGAGAACAGGGCACAAGAGAAATCTAGTCGCTCCTTGATGTTGGTAGACACTGAAGTCTTCTGGAGAGTACGTCCCATCTGCTCGGCAATAGACATGAATCTGTGCCCAAAGATACTGAGACGAATTGGATCAACCTCGGAGGATGTCTGAGTCTCGGGTGCTAAGACTGTCTGGTCATCATCCTTCAGAATGTCGATGACAATGCATGTCTCCAGCAGGTTTGCAATAGAGTTAGGGGCCACGACAATGGTCTGTGTCTGATCGATGATAACGGCAGGGCCATAAATACGGCTGTGCTTCTCCAACTGATCCAGCAGATACACGGGGGTATCAATGCGCGTGGGATATCCATCAAAGTAAGCGGAGGTTGTGTTGGCCGGCTGCGTCTTCACATCGTGGAGATCGGCGTCCTTGAGCTGGAGGAGGGGGCTACGCTCAGTGCGGACCTTTGAAGAGGCAATCGTGCGTACACGGATGTCATCAACCAGCACGGCTCGCTCAGAGTTGAAATTGAATTCGCGACGGTGGCGCTCACGGAACTCGGCAAGGAAATCAGAGGATCCCTCTGGTCGCAAGATCATGAGACTGGTGTCAGATCCTTCGTAACGCATGTTGAGGTACTGTTCATGCCGCACCTGACTCGGGGCGAATCCCTGTCCTTGCATCTCGGTTGTTGCAGTCGCAGCCATGTTATCAAATCGTTGAAGCAGACTTGAACGAGAAGAAAGGTAATCTGAAGACACTGGCTCCTGTGACTCTTTGACAACTTCTGCCAGCGCCAGTCCGTATGCAGACAAAACTGATGAATACTTGTGGATGATGATGCGGGAGATGCCCAAAGAGACAGCAACCGAGCAAGCATGTTGGCCACCCGCGCCGCCGAAGCAGGCTAAATGGTGGGAGGCAGTCTCGAAGCCACGAGCCTCGGTGAGATTGCGGATTGGCCGGGCCATTGACTCGTCGGCGACCTTAAGGAACCCCAATGCAACTTCCTCCGGAGTGTACTCTGGTTGGAAGTGGTGCCGACGCTCAACGTTGATCTCTTGAGTCAGCTCAAGGAACTTTCGTGCTGTGATCTCCGTGTCGAGTGGCTGATCCTCGTTGGGACCGAAGATGTGTGGGAAGTACTCGGGTAACAATCGGCCTAGGAACAAGTTGGCGTCCGTCACAGTCAGTGGACCGCCTTTCCGGTAGCATGCGGGGCCAGGATGAGCACTGGCAGACTCAGGCCCAACGTAGAACAAGCCGTTGCGCCATGCGAGAATGGAGCCACCGCCAGCGGCGACTGTGTTGATATCAAGCTGGGGGGACTGGATCAGAACGCCGGCCACTTTAGATCCAAAAACGTGCTCCAAATGCCCATCAAACCGAGACACATCGGTAGATGTGCCACCCATATCGAAGCCAATGACAGGGATCTTCTCAACGGGGTCCCAGCTGGTTGCTGCAAATCCAACCACTCCAGCAGCGGGTCCGGACAGAATAGCCTTCAGGCCGCTGAATTTGCGGAAGTCAACCAGTCCACCATCAGATTGCATGAATTCAAATCGACATGCTTGCTGGCTCTCCAGACCACCTTCAAAGCTGGCTGAGATGGAGTCGATATAAGTCTTGATCACAGGGGTGAGGTAAGCATCAGCAGCGGCAGACATGCCACGAGGTACAATCTTAATCATGGGCTGCAGCTTGGACGATAATGTAACAGAGAATCCCATTCGCTCTGCAATCTCCCCAATCCGGTTTTCATGGTCCGGGTAGGCAAATGAATGTACCAAGGCGACTGAGAGAGACTGATATCCTTGCTCCTTCAGGCGCTGGAGCTCTGTCCGCACCTGGGCCAAATCCAGCTCTTGCACAACGCGAAATTTCTCGCCAGTGATACCTTCCACAATACGAGCACCAGAGAAGCAATTCTCATCAGCGGTAGGGTGACATGGAACCACTCGCTCGTTGACTTCGACGACGTCTTCTGGCAGCACTCCAGGTCGAGCCATGGACAGGTCGAAGATAGCTGGGCGGGACTGGTCACCAATCTTGAGGAGATCTCGAAATCCCTTGGTGGTAAATAGTACTGATCGAGCACCCTTGCGCTCAAGTAATGCATTGGTCGCGACAGTCGTGCCCATTCGGAGGCAGCCGATGCGGTCGAGCTTCAACGGTTGGCCGCGGGGATGTGACTCGCCCGTTGCGAGCTCTAGGATTTGGCGAATACCCTCAGTAGGAGCATCTTGGTAATGTGAAGGGTCCACTGAGAGAAGCTTCAAAATGATATCCGAGCGACCAGGCACAATGGCATGGACATCGGTGAAGGTACCCCCACGATCGATGGAGATGGTGATCTTCCCTGAGTCGGTCATATTGTGTGTGTTACCCACGAACTCGCAGGTTAAGGAGGCAGTGATATGTGACAGGGATCTACCAGAACATAGAGAATGATAGGCTCATATATCCACGAATTCTAATCCGTCGTCCTCAGTGTGCTTCGATTGCGCTCTTCGTCTTGTATTGAAGTCACGTGTCGGGCCGACGGTGGGTGTCAGCGGGAGCGTCGGCCCGATAAGAATCAAGCGATAAGCCACGGAAGACAGAAGGGGTCGAGGGTAATCATCGGAAAGATGTGCGAGGGAGGAACTCTATAGCGGGGGTGTCTTCCGATAAGTCCAAAATCAAATCTGTGCGAAACATGCAACGGCAATTCACGCAGTCCGTTGGCGAAAGACTATACTCTTGGGACTCAATAATGCCAAGAATGTACAGGTAGTTTATGGGCTTGATCAAGGTGATACGAACTTTACAGGTAAATATTGAATGTCTTGGAGAATCAAATAAAATCCATGGATATAGTCATAAAAGTGCTATCTTCTCAGAGTATTCTCAATCCAGTCCGTATCCATGTCAATATCAATCTGATTCAATGCGCCCTCCCACAGTGCTGGATCGTCATCAATATCAATCTGGAAAGAGATATCCTCCAACGAAGGAAACTCGGGAGCTTGTGGCCACTCGTCCACAAGAATCGGAGGCGGGTTAGGCATCGTTGCTTCAATTCCTGGACTCACCGGTTGGTCACTCTTGGGCGTGTCTGGGGCAACTAGACCTGGGCTCAGTTGCTCAACGTCGTTGGGCACAGGCTTGGGATCGATGGCTGCGCGTAGCTCCAGAAGGAGAGAATGCCGAGAGGCTAGATAGGAATTACCCCTGTCGGCCATACTCCGAAGAAGATTGAGAGCTGTCTCCATTGAGCGCATGTTGGCTTCATTGTGAGGGAATGCCGCGTTGACCATAACCAGTAGTAGCGCAGCGGAGAAAATGTAGTCGCCGTCAAGGTAGCCGTACGTAGCTGTAAGATTCAGAAGTCAATAATGAGTTTCTAGCATGCCCTATCCGAATAGGCAGACACATACCAATGAGATTATGTTTGGCGGCAGCGTCCATAATCATCGTGGTGGCCCGAGCAGCCGTGATACAACTGTCGATGACTGCGACAGTATTTGGAGCCAGCCCAGCTTTCCAATCTCCAGCCGAAGTCTTAAGAGCAGCTGTATCGAGTCGTCTTTGGATGATATAGAAGACGAGCGGACGTGCAGTCATATTGACGCACGAGTAAAAGTGCAAGTTGATGGACACAGTCTCTCGGTTGACGTGCGTATCGAGTGTGGTAAAATCAATCCGAAGACCATCTGGAATGGATCGAAGCCAGCTGGCAAGATCGTTGGTGATGCTCTGCACAGACATTATGAGGTTGGAACCGGAGCGAGGCTTTTTTCGATAAATCTCTGCGATGCTCTGTTAAAATAGTGTGAGAATGCTATTGAAGGGGATACTCACCCTCGCCGATTCGTCCTAAGATACGGGAGAGCTGCGTGTAATAAGTCAAGACAATTGATGGCCATGGATCAGAGGTTGATCCATCCTGAGAGAGAAGTCAGCCTCGACTGCCCACAGTGACTATCCGTGCTACATACTAGCGCAGCTGGCCAGGTGATGCCAATATCTTCATCCTGGATGGTAATAGGATTGCCAGATTTTACTGAGAGAACCCTGCGGTTGAGCGTCAGTATAGGTGTCGCTCTCGTTTCAATGAGGCCTCATACCGGTCGAGACTATACACGGACCACCACGCTCTGCGGCGGCGGTTGCGGTCTGTCTCACTGATTCCTGGATCCAAAACCTCTTGGTGAAGCCCTAGAGAGATGGCCATTCGTAGAGCGAGCCCAATCTATCGATCGTTAGCAATCTGCATTCTGACCCTAGATGGCCGTCGAGGGGTGTTCAGCATACATAGATAAAAGCAGCATCTCGTCTGTTAAGGTTCTGCATGTAGTATGCCACGTAGCATAGCACCTCAACAAAGAAAATAGAGCCTTCTTCGTGAATATCTGGTAAAAATCGCAGGGCATGCTTGAAATATTTGAAGCCCGGTGGTCCTTCATCTCCCGACCACTGGTTGACTGAATACATGAGCCCAAAGGCAATGACCAAAAGAGCCTGGCAGTAGGTCAGACAGGTTTCACGATGGGAAAAGTCTTGCGGCTGATGATAGACAAAGTCTAGCCGTTCCTCGAATTGCCTTGGGTGGATCAAAGAGAATATGGTGCCAATGTAAGCGTATTGAACCCAGAAGAGTCGTTTTGCGAATTCAAAGCTTGGTAGTTGTGGTAAAGTACGCGCGATTGGTCGTCGGAGGGACGTGGGATCATCGTAAAGAGGGCGCACATCCCAGGCCAGATTGGTGGAGCCAGGATTGAGGCGCTTGGCCAGATGGGTGGTAGATGATGCACCCACGAAGTCTTCATTTCTTTAGCAAGATTGTTCATGTTACAAATTGATGATTGTTATACATACGATGTTCTCCCGATCGGTTCAGTAACAGATTGTCGGTCCCCTTGTACCACCAGTCATCACGCTCGAGGGGAATCTCGCTTTCCGAGTAACGGGCCCCTGTAGACGGCGCACTCGACGGCGCACTAGGAGAAGTGTACCAATCGCTTTCTGCGATGGATGAGCTGCGCATTGCTCGAAATGGTGATTGCGATTGCGATTGCGATTGCGATTGCGACTGTGACTGTGACTGAGATCGTAATTGGCGGTATTCCCTGGTAGGGCGTCAGGTTTCAAAACATAGATGACTCGTATGAACGTTGTCTCCGAGTGTTCTCACCTCTCTGTAATTGAAACGCGCTTTTCAGCCTCGGAGTATATGCACGTCTCGCCAACGTCCACGCAGGCCGCACAGGGCAGCGGCGGGTTCCCGGCACAGCGAGTTTTTCGGGAGCGACATCGATTGCATCTGTCAAAGGCATTAGTTGGCATTCAATGCCATTTCCTATGAGAACCTGGTCTCGGCTTTTTGACTCAACGCGACTGTGGATCGCCCGTTGGAGCGGTCTTGTGACCGTCGAACGATACCTTTGCCACGGACCATTGCCGGGCAAGTGGATGTGAGTTGAAGTTGATCAGTTGGCAAGTTGATGATTATCAGGGAATATTGTTTCTCGAGTGGTCCAGTTTCGCGTATCGTTCGCCTCCACAATTTGGCTCTTATCAGCCGCCGGGGTATTGGGCAATTTTGAGTTTTCATCGGTCCGACGTGAACTTTGCCCCGCCTCCGCCTGTTTCTTAATTTCTTGTCAGCAATCAAAATTACATCATGCGCTCCTTTTTTTAAGGTGCTTTATGCCGATAGTCAGACGCATGTCATTGCACGACGGCCGATCGCGGCTACCGACCAGAACCCCTTTATTGGGCATCTATTTGACCGCGCTATTGACCGTCCTGACAGGAAAACCTGTCTATACGCATCCTTATTAGGCCACTCAGGCCGATTTGCAACGACCGTAATAATCAACCAACGCTCTCTTGTTGCTTGCTGCCTTTTTAATCCTATTTTTAGTCCTCTTTTGGGCTAACTTTCTTAACCCTTAATCTTCTCTCGTCGTTTATCGCTTACAGGTAGCTTTTAGGATTAATTATCGGGAGAGAGAGCTAGCAACCAGAGAAGGTCTCTAATAATATAATGTTGAGTCAATAAATTTGTAATTTCTTTCATAGTCTACCTTTATAAATAGCAGGAAGTAGTAGATTACTCTAATTATAGTAATCTCAACTAAATCGGGGCGTAAAACAGGCTTATAAACGCAAAATTAGATGCCCCAGCATGTAACCGGGCGAAAATGAGGATATTTGAGATTCTAACAAAGCAGTTGGACTTAGTCAAATTCAGGAATCCGCCTGCTCTTCTACCTTGAGAATACGTTTCTGGTCGGTGGCTGCAATAGCCATTGGATCATTGAAAGTTAACTTTTGAACAGCCAACCGGAGATGTCACGTGACTTATATAGTGTGTGGAGGCATACCAATCGCTGATTAGATTCCTAGTTGTAGAGAAGCAGATGTAATAATCCGATTAAAGATAACCAGGAAGCAGGAAATACGATGAAACAAAAAGGCTCTTGGAGTACCACAGAGTAGCATGGTATCACGGTGACTCGCATCCCAAAAATTTCCACATACATCAGTTTGGTTAGAGACTCACTAGAGACAACCTAAGTGAATATTGGAGACCTCCAGGGCTATAAATGAGGAGGTGCAACATTAAATAATGGGCCTTCAAGGGCTGACTACTGCACAGAGCTGCGAGCTAGGTACGAATCACCTGCATGTGTGGAAAGCATTTCGGTCAACTCTCATGATCGCAGAGCACAAGGGTGAGAGGAACGACTGGCAGATATTAATCTGGGAATGTACAGGATTGTATCAAAAGATAGCAACGCCATTCGGAGGACTGGCCACACCACCAGGCACCTTCAATGGTACACTGCTGAAGAAGAAACTGTAGCGTCCTCGCTGGCGACATTCCCGACTCAGTCGCTCTAAATCGAACAGTTCACCAATGGGAAGCCCCCACCCTGCCAATAGCCATTCGTGCAGAAAGAAATCTGTGCTCTGAGGAGGATATGCTTCAAAACTCGGCATGTCGCCTGCCACGGCCGCAAAACTATTCTCCCAGATCCATTGCAGCATCTCCTCCGATGATTCGACTCCGATCACGGGCGGTGCCTTATGATCCGCTAATTGCTGACACTCTGCTGCGGAGAGTTGCTCGTATGCCCGCGTCCAACCAGTCCGGATGAACAGAATGTCTCCCGGTCGGAAGGTCGTCTTTTGACTCGCAGCCACTTCTTGGAGCACGGAAACCGGGATGGATTGCGTTTGGAAGCAATTCACCGGGTGGTCGTGAGCTTCAGCCCAGCTAGCGTAGTCGAGAAGCACACCTCGTCCGACGATGCCGCCGTTTTCGACCCAGACTGTAATCACGAGGTAAAGATGATGAGAATCCGAATCAGTAAGCTCGGTAAGATGGGCAGGATCAGCGAGTGGCACCACCTCAAGCTACAAGCTGGGGGATCCCTGCATATTGATCAACTACCTACCGTGTATTCCATTGCGCGTCGAGGTCTGAATGTCCTCCAGCGAACAACCGTTGTAGTACGATCCATCCTTAGATCCATAATGACGAAATCCGTCCCATTGAGAGCTGCTCTGGGTGTTAAAGGTCAAGATATCATCATTCACGGGACGTGGAGCCTTGTTCTTGACTGTATGCTCAAAGGCCGATCGTCCAAAGCAGGGGACGGCCATACTGTTCAGAGCCCAGTCGGTCGAAACTCGCACACCCTCGACTATCTCCTTCGCAGCCGCTGCGGTGTTCTCAGGGGTGAGCAGGTTAAGCATGCCCATCTCGTCATGCTCCCCGAAGAGTCCCCAGGCGTTACCGCGTGGGCCGTCCGGGCGAAGAGGCAGGGACTGGAACGTAGGCTTCTGGGTTGGCATTTTTGGGAGGAAGCTTAATACTGCAGCCGTACTATCGAGTCAGTGATGCTGGGAACTGTCTGCAGTAGCCGTAAAGTAGATAATCAAAATTGATTATGTTGATACAAAGGGAATCTGGACAAGTCGCTGTGCTCTTTCTATAGTTCCCATACTCCTGTCTACCCCGCTAACCTGGGGACCGTCCCCCGCTGTGACCTCGGCCACCGGCTGTCGAGACCGATACACTGATTGATTCGGCAAGACGATCTTGTAGCTGCGATGGTGTGAGGTGGTGATTTCAGTTTCTGGCCACAGGATTATCTCGTGAAACATCGCCGGAATCTACATTTTGTCGCTCAATTGGCTCAATTGAGTCAGCTTGGTCTTGGAACGTAGTAGGTGGACATTGAAATGACTGAGAACCTGCCTCCAGAGGTCCAACTTTCATGGCGGCCTCTCGCTGGGAAGTCCGACACGTTGTGTTGTGTTCTCGGGCGAGGTCCGACTGCCACTGGGTGATGGGTTAAGTAGAGACTGTCTGCATAAATGCCCGGAGTAGATAAGATCCGATCCTACTACAGGTAATAATTGAGAGAGGTTTCTTCGATAATTATGCAAAATGAAATACATATTCAACCATGCCCACTGGATGTTCAATGCATCTGATCCATGCATACCACCAGGCTCCCGTCTTATTGTTCTTGTACCTGAAAGTTTGCCTGAGGCCGTCAGGAACAAGCCACAGACACGTGACTCGGTGGCTTTTCTGTCTTTGTGGCGGGGTCCACTTCGCCCACAAGTCATCCCAACGCGACGCGAGCTTGCATCCAATCCCATTCTCGACGGTGGATCGACCCTGAATAAGCCACCGAATGGCCTGCGTTTCTACATCGAATCAGCCCTTGTCGCCGAGACGGTCGATCAATTCTGCTCCGCCGCTGTCGTCATCTTCCCGGCTCTTTTCGGCCCCGGGCGCCACCAGATGATCGGGCTTGGCCCCTCCATCAGGCGTACAGGACATTGCAACCCTACGACTGTGACGGGAGCCACCTGGCCTAGACAGAGGTGGGTAGGTGTGTGCCAATATGTCCGTGTGGAGAGTGGTTTCAAGTTTCAGGTTCTCGCGCAGATGAGACAGGGATGATCAAGCCAGGAAAGGATCGGGGGCTGATGATGGGTCTTTTGGCAAGCATCTTGGCCAATGTGCATACGCATTGCGTTGTCGACCCGCTGACTGCCCTCATCATGGACGAGTCATGTATCGCGCAACCGGAAGATCGAAGGGCCAGGTCCAACGCACAAACTGCAGTACGATCATTGAATGCGCATGCCTGATGGAGACAAGCCCTATGCATGACCGATCCGTGGATGATCATGACCCAGAGCCAGCATAGCCAGCATAGCCAGCATAGCCAGCAAATCCAGCAGGACGACGCATGTCCCGAGGGACCTGTGTACCTGTCTTTTTGCGCCTCCGGCGGGTGGTGTCGCAGGGGAAACGGTTTGCCAGGTCGTGTCTCAGGATGCTGATCCATCTGGTGGAGTCACAGTAAGAGCGGATGACGAACGATATTTGCAGACGCCGCTGGGCCCGCTGTAACGCGCCTCCACTGCCTTCATTGCCCTTCATCGAGCACCGCCTGTGCCTCCAATCAAATTCTGCTGTACCAAAAATATCTTTTACTCCTCTGCTTGTGCATCCAAGCCCCAGGCTTCCAAAAGAATCTCATATACCTATCCTATCTTTAGCCCCGCGAAGCCACCGCACCTTTCATTGTCAGCCCATCTTTCTTTCACTGCGACTCTTTGGACATCGCCCGCCAGTCTTCCTGTGACCTAGACCAGGCAACCCACTTTCAAACGAATCGTCCGGCGTGTCCAGATCACCAGGCACATTGCCAATTTTATTATCCTATTCCGACGTCCTTCTCTCTGTTTAAGCTTCTGGGTTGCTTAAGATCTTCGCATTTTGCCCTTAGCTTCATCTGCTCGTTTCGTATCGGTTGGAAAAGCGATTCACTACATCATCGTCGTCATTTCGATCGTCGCCGAGATTTCATACCTCGATTCGAACTTGACACAATCGGTTATTCTTCAACAATCTGTTGATTGGGGAGCTGTGCATTATGGGTACCCCGATGCCGACGTCTCCCCATTCCCCTCGGGCCCATTCCCCAAACTTATCTCATTCGCCTCAGGCGAGTGAGAGCAGCCTATATTCTCACCAAGGTCCCCCGAATGTGAGTTGCTAGAAAGACCTGAAGAAGCTACTTTAGAATGCGGAGAGAGAGAGAGAGAGAGAGACTGTCGCTGACATAGTTTTTCGGACTAGCACGGATACGGACACGAAGAAAAAAATGACCATGCCGATAGCTCACAGTCCCTTCTCTACCGGAACCAACCGAGCCCCCTCAATGCGCAATTCGATGATCCTTACGCCTCCAGCGACTCTCTGCGACGCTATACTTTGCAAGATCCTGGGGTAACAATTTTCCCCGATGGACCCTACCAGGATCCTACCGCTGCGGCGGGCCTCAATCGCCGGTCGGGTGTGCAGACTCCCGTGTCAGCGACCTCATCGGAGGCTTGGCAGCAACGACAAGCACCTGCCTCGGGTCTGCGCCGCTACGCGACCCGAAAGATTAAACTGGTGCAGGGCTCTGTGCTGAGTGTGGACTATCCGGTGCCTAGTGCCATCCAGAATGCTATCCAGCGGGAGTACCGGGAATCGGAGGAAGGTTTCCCTGAGGAGTTCTCCCATCTGCGCTGTAAGTGCTGTTTGCGATCGCGACGAGAGAAGAGACCATTCGAACTGACCGAATAATAGATACGGCAGCTACTTGCGATCCCGATGAATTTACCCTGCGAAACGGATACAACCTTCGACCAGCCATGTACAATCGACACACCGAGTTGCTGATTGCCATTACCTACTACAACGAAGATAAGGTCCTCACAGCCCGAACGCTACATGGTGTGATGCAGAACATCCGGGACATTGTGAACCTCAAAAAGTCAGAGTTTTGGAATAAGGGTGGTCCGGCCTGGCAGAAGATTGTCGTGACACTGGTTTTCGATGGTATCGATCCTTGCGACAAGAATACCCTGGACTTGCTGGCCACGGTCGGTGTCTACCAGGACGGTATCATGAAGCGATCCGTTGATGGAAGAGAAACGGTTGCACACATCGTAAGCTTCCCCCGCATCAATGTTGGCTTCATGTAGGCCACACCAAAGCCAAGGATGTATTCTTGCCTATGCTAACTCAACTTTGCGTCCAGTTCGAGTACACCACGCAGCTTTCCGTTACCGCTAGCCAGCAGTTGATTCGGCCGCAAGGTACTGAGTCAACTAACCTGCCACCAGTTCAGATGATCTTCTGCTTAAAGCAGAAGAACAGCAAAAAGATCAACTCCCACCGCTGGCTATTCAATGGCTTCTGTCGTATCTTGAATCCCGAGGTTGTCATTCTGATCGATGCCGGTACTAAGCCGGGCAAGAAGTCTCTACTCGCTCTGTGGGAGTCTTTCTATAACGACAAGAATTTGGGCGGATCTTGTGGTGAGATTCACGCTATGCTGGGTAAAGGTTGGAAAAACCTGATGAACCCCCTTGTCGCCGCGCAGAATTTCGAGTATAAGATCTCAAACATTCTCGACAAACCCCTCGAGTCTGCCTTCGGATACGTTAGTGTCTTGCCTGGTGCCTTCTCAGCCTACCGTTATCGTGCGATTATGGGCCGGCCCCTAGAGCAGTACTTCCACGGTGACCACACCCTTTCTAAACAACTTGGTAAGAAGGGTATCGAGGGTATGAATATCTTCAAGAAGAACATGTTCCTTGCTGAAGATCGTATTCTTTGCTTCGAATTGGTTGCTAAGGCCGGGTTCAAGTGGCATTTGACTTACGTCAAGGCCTCTAAAGGTGAAACCGATGTCCCTGAGGGTGCTGCAGAGTTCATTGGTCAGCGTCGTCGCTGGCTGAACGGTTCATTTGCCGCCAGTCTATATGCCATGATGCATTTCGGTCGGATTTATAAGAGTGGACATAACATCATCCGTCTGTTGTTCCTCCATATCCAGATGTTGTACAACTTTGCGGGTCTTGTCATGACTTGGTTCTCTCTCGGTATGTGGATGATTCTGCATCTTTGCCGGTCAATTTGGCCTCATTGGGACCTTCTCTGTTATATTTGGATGGCTGCTAATTGATGATTTACAGCGTCTTTCTGGTTGACTACTTCGGTTATTATGGATCTTGTCGGAACCCCTAGCGATGCCAACAAGCACAAAGGCTGGCCCTTTGGTAATGAAGCTACGCCAATCGTGAATAACTTCTTGAAATACGGCTATGTGTTCTTCCTTATGCTACAGTTCATTCTCGCACTGGGTAACCGACCGAAAGGGTAAGTCATACTCAAACTTATTTCACTTTATATTGTTCGTATATTAACCAAAGTAGTTCTCGCCTGGCTTATACCCTTTCCTTCATTTACTTCAGTATTGTGCAGTGCTATATCCTGGTCTTGTCATTCTACCTGGTTAAGAATGCCTTCACAGGAGGTACCCTGGACTTCGACATGAGCCAGGGTGTTGGCAAGTTCTTTTCATCCTTCTTCAGCTCTTCCGGTGCCGGTATCGTCTTGATTGCTTTGGTGTCCACCTATGGCATCTACTTCCTTGCTAGTTTCCTGTACATGGATCCTTGGCACATGTTCACATCCTCTTGGGCTTACTTTGGTGGCATGACATGCTCAATTAACATCCTGATGGTGTACGCTTTCTGCAACTGGCATGACGTGTCTTGGGGTACCAAGGGATCGGACAAGAGCGAGGCACTGCCAGAGGCTCAGACCAAGAAAGATGATACCAAGTCCAACTTTATTGAAGAAGTGGATAAACCGCAGGCCGACATCGACAGCCAATTTGAGGCGACCGTCAAGCGTGCGCTGGCGCCGTTTGAGGAACCCGAGGAGGAAAGGGAGAAGAGCATGGACGACTCGTATAAGGCCTTCCGTACCAACTTGGTGCTTATTTGGATTTTCAGCAATCTGATCTTGACGCTCTGCATCACTAGCGAAGGCATTGACCGATTCTGTCTGACAGTACGTATCCCCATCCGATTTTCTTTTCTAACTTGAACATGGCTGTGACAAGCAGAAAACTGACCCATTGATCAGAATACCTCGACCACTCGTACAGCCAATTACTTCTCGGCCATTCTGTGGACGACTGCTGGGTTGTCGATTTTCCGTTTTATCGGTTCGCTCTATTTCCTGGGCAAGTCCGGCATCCTTTGCTGCGTGTCCCGACGCTAAGTTGTCTTGGGCGCGGTGGCGGCAGCCACCGAGTCGATCATGTTTTCGTGTATATACTCTCGATAATGGTGTCTTCTTTGGGATAAGTGCGCGATAGAAAATTTGGATAGACGGTCTAGTTCGCGTTCGATTTTTGGGGGTTTCTGCATGACTGCATCATTGGGGCGGCACCTCTGCGTTGGATCATTGGCGATCCACATGTATGATTTGATTCTGCCGCGAGAAACGATTGTTTTTCTTCTTTCTTCAACAACTTGTTTTGACTTGGTGCCATTGGGCAACGAATCATATGTACAAATTTGCAGAATTTTGAAATTTACATGACTATGAACTTTTTCACGCCTACTGTCTTTCATGTGAGTTGTTTTCCCCACCCCCAGTTTCCCTCCACTCTGGGGTATCTGGCTTCTTAATGTGTCAGTCTGGGGGATCGACGAATATCTTATCAAATTACATGAGTTTGGCGGACACCGCGAGGTCAAAAGTGGGCACAAAGTGGGCCATCTCGATGGATTCCATCGTGATACCTCTGGGGAGGTGGGCTGATCGATGCACCTCGAGAAAAGCCCGCAACGACAGGCTGACGAATGACGAAGGGGAACAGACTTCCTGCACGGATGACGCCGCGTGGATCTGCCTGGGTGCTAGTCAACTCACAATCCAGCCCGAGGCTCGATATCTGCAGCCTGATGTACTCTTGTCTTGGCCCGGCCGTGTCTTCAGGCCCGCCATTCCCCTGCTATCCGCGCTCAGACGTTGCATCGGGAAGTCCTCTTCGTGCCTCCACACCCCTGAGGCCCTGAACCATTGTTATTCGGACCACAGGGGCCCGAAATCCCTAAATATCCGATGGCGCCCTTAGAGCCAATGGGGTTTGTTCGCTCGGGCGGAAGATCAGCACCACCAGCGTGCATTGACACGGCAGGCTTGAGGCTTTCTCTCGGCCGTTGATTCTTCAGCAGAACTACAAACCTCATCACTAACAACGGCTATCTTGCCCCGAGAAATGAAATCCAGTACACTGCCCGGCGGGAATGCATCTATACAGTATGAGATATGCACTTTACCGTCATTGCCCGCACCCCCGCATCCTCATGTGCCGATCGCCTGTGACTGGGCGGGTCCCCGAGAAGGAATTGGTATGCTTCTGATTCCATTGATTTGTCGTCGGTCTACTTTTGGATGGAGTCTTATGGAGACATCCACTCCACTAACCATACAGCGCGTGCCATCAGAAAGCATAGTTGTCCCGAAATCCTAAGATATTAGGGAGAATGATGCCATACCCTTACCCGAACTGGTTGTTGGTTCGAGATATCCTTTTGGCCCCTGAGGCATTTTCCTCGGAATTAATTGTCTCCTCTCGCAAGAATGAAACGTGCGATCAAATTATTTAAACGTCGCTTGTGTCCACTGTCGTGGGACTGGCTCTCTTCCTCGCTATCAGCTTTCTCCTTCCTTGATAGTCCTAGCTTTCCACTCTTCCATCCACCCCGTATCCACCCTCAATGTCGCAGTACATTCCCCAGATTTCCTCGCAATCCCTCGAGGACAAAGTGGTCCTGATTACCGGTACGTTCTCCTCTGACACCATTCCCACCTGTCCACTTCGCGCTTTTGACTGTCTCCACTTCAAGACTTTTTTGCTCACTCTTTCGGCCACAGGAGGTGCCAATGGCATTGGCGCCAGTCTGGTGCAACAGTGCCTCGAAAATGGTGCGAACGTCTGCTTTGGTGATCTCGACAACATCAGTGGAGAGCGCCTGCTGAGGAAATCCGTCGAGGAATTCAAATCCGGGGAAGCCAAGTACCCAGCGAGGGCTGTTTTCCAGACCACCGATGTAACCAACTATCAATCAGTGCTGGCCTTGTTTGATCTGGCCTTCAACACCTACAAACGCATTGATCATGTCGTTTCAGCAGCTGGGATTTCAGAGATTGGCAATTGGTTCGACTTTGGACTGACCTTCCAGACAGTCCGCCAGGTATGTGTGATGATTTGGGAATCTCTAAATTACCCAAGCCCAGCATTTCTCGATCCATTTCGTAGGACTGGGAAGATGACCATTTCCCTTATAAACAAAGACCCCGACGCACAAAGTCCTCGACGTAAACCTTCTCGGCTCGATGTACGTCGCCCGCATTGCCTCCGTCTACTTGCGACACAACCGCGGCCCTGGTACCGACCGCTCTATTCTACTATTTTCCTCTGTTTCTGGATTCAAGGAGAGCCCATCTTTATTCATTGATCAGGCATCCAAACATGGTGTGATTGGCCTCATGCGCTCTCTACGCAGCTATATCTCATCTCCGTATAAGCATTATCTCCGGATCAACACCATCTGCCCCTGGATGACTCAGACCGAAACGATGAAACAGATTGAACAGCAATGGAAGCAAGCTAGTCTTCCCACCAACACGACTCGTGAAGTCTCCACTGTAGCCAACGGTATCTTGGCCGACTCGTCTCTGAACGGTACGTCAATGTTCGTCGAAGGTGGACGCGCCTGGGAGATTGAAGGCAACATTGAGCGACTGGAAGCCCAGTGGCTCGGCGAAGCTCCGTCCAAGTCCCTTGCCGCTGGACAGGAGCTACTGGATGACGGTGCCATTTGGACTGCTGCACCCCGCAAGAGGTGTAGCATTTCGAATGGAATCCCCCCGGGCGTTCCTCTTGAGAAGCTCAATGGCATTCAACAGAACGGGGCCCAGAAGAACTCAATGAACGGTGTGACGAATGGTTATACGAACGGAGCGACTAAAGTAACCAATGGACTGGGTAATGGATTCCCCAATGGGCTGACCAATGGTATCACGAACGGAGTACATTGAATGTGCCAAATATGCGTTTACATTTGATACCCATACGTTTTGGTGACCGCAAGACTGGAGAGGGGTTCTTCTTCGTTAGTTGCCCCAAGTGAATACAATTATGCACCGCACTAGGTAGTACAGTAGATCTTACATGAGAAGTCTCTCTGCTTTGAAAAGCACGGGTATGGAATCATGTTAAATATTTGCCTAAATAGAGAACTCTTCCATGTCCAATTCTTCTAAGTAACAAGATCGATCGTCGTCTGGGGGATCACGGCGTGGATCAACTTTGGAAGTCATCATCGACAAAAAAGCCATAGCATTACATAACGGAAAAGATCAGAGCTGAAAGTGGACCAACAAGGCTGTGGGCTCTTCATAGGAGGCTTTATGGTCAAACAAGATGCATTTTGTATAGCAGAGATATGAAAGGAATTGAAAAGTCATGATTATGTCTATATGGTGGTATAACCCGTGAACAAAAGAAACAAAAACACCAGATAGATGCAATAAATGATATCCTTGGAGATCCGAGAATTCCCCCGCCTCTTCAACTAACGTCAGTGAACACCCCCTCCTTCCCAGGTGTCATCTTGACTTCCCCCCCCCCCCCCCCCCCCTTTTATTTCCATTATTTGAAAGATTCGCGGGTGTGCATCCGGTCAATGTTGTATGGATTGGCATCGTAGGTGGGCACCCGCTGAATATGCGAGGTATGAGTGTCGACACGCGAGAGGGAGCGATGGATCGAGAGCACTTCGGCGTCATTTTCTTTTTGTAAAGCGTGCGATGGGGCACCTTCTTCCTCGACTGTCGATGGTACCCGAGTGGCAGCCTCGGCGATGGTCGACTGATCGGCTTGGGACGGCTCCTCCTCCTCAGCGGCCGCATTTTTCTCGGTGTCACCCCGAAGAAGGCTCTGAACGAAGGCTTCCGACTGGGCAGAGAATTTGCAGTACTTGCGAATCGCCAAGCCCTTCTTGTACAGCACAAAGGGGAAGGGCACACATGCCAGGGCCAAGAAGGCCGGGACACATGAGGCCCAGTGGATGCCCAGGTTCTCAAACATGTATGTTGTGAACAAGGGGAAGGCAAACCCGAATAGCGATCGCAGCAGCGAATTGGCAGCCAAAACGGACGCAGCGAAGATGGTGTAGGCATCAATAAGATAGTTGAAGACACTTAGGAATACAAGAACCATACCAAAGCCGAAAGGCACGCCAGCTGCAATACTCGCGAGCCAATGAATATCAGGAGAGTTTGTCCAGGCAAACCAGAAGAGACCGGCGGGGAGGGCAATTGAGGCGATCATACAAGGAGGTAGACGACTCTCTGGGGGTGAGTAGCCGCCGTTCTTCTCCAAAAGTTTGCTGTAACGAGTGTTCTCGGGGACTGAGTAGGCAATCGCGGCAAACATGCCTATCATCACGCCTAGGAAGGCCAGCGCAGAGACCCCCTGGTTCCATCCGCGATGGATTTCGTATACAATCGGGAAGGCACCGAACAGCATATAGAGCGTGCCGTAAATAATCGCGAGGTATATCGAGAGCAAGAGGACGATCGGTTCGCGGAAGAGGAGGATAAACGGACGCGAGAGAGCAGTCTTCATGGCCTCCTTAGGGACGGGACGACCTTGGTCAATATCGAGCTTGCTCAGATACACCTTTCCGGTCAATTTTGAAAGTGTCTTTGCGCGCTGACGAAGGAGAACAGGCGCGTACGTCTCAGGCTTTAAAGCAGCACCAAAGAACCACATCACGCCGCAGAGGATGGTCAACAGACCCATCACCCACTTCCAGCCGGCCTTCATGCCCAAGAAACCACCCACAATCGGTCCAATGACTGGTCCCAAGAAGGGGGCCAGCGCGAAGGCCGACAGGGCCAATCCTCGTTCGCGGGCCAAGAACATATCCGCAATTACTCCTCCAGAGTTGGTGAATGGTGAGGATCCAAAGGCACCTGCCAGGAAGCGGAATATCAAAAGTGTTGCAATGTTCTTCGCCCCTGTGGTTCCGGCACAGAAGATGGTTAAACCACAGTAGGTGCCGATGAACACAACCTGACGACCGAAGAGTTCACTCATCGGGGCCCACAGAAGAGGGCCCAGTGCAAAGCCCAGCACGTACAAGGAGACTCCTAGAGTAGCAACTTCGGTGGTGATCATGAACTGCTCCTCAATCTGCACAATGCCGCCAGTATAGGCCGATGAGACAAGGGCTACGACAAGGGTCTCCATGGCAGCCACCATCGTGATACCCCATTTCATCGGGGTGCTCAGCTGGAGTGGATTGCGAAAATCTTTCGGCATCCATTGCACCACAAAAGGATCTTCATCCGTTCCAGAGCCGGCATAGGGATGGTCAAACACTTCTTGAGTGATGGCTCCCGGCTGAGTGACGAGTCGCCAAAAGGGAATCGACCGAGGTAGATCCGTTGGGCGCTTGGCCTCTGTTGTAGACATATCGGTCGTCATTTGGACCAACTCCTCCGAAAGGAGTCTTTTCGGCAAACCGAGGTCAGCACGGACTGGACAAGGATGGTTTAGGAGGTTATTAAAGTTTATCAATTATCCCTTCCGTGGTCCAAGGAAGGATGAAAGATCTGGGCTGAATAGCGCGGTGATCAATAAAGATAGGTGTCGTGGAGGAGGCGGACAGTGAAATTCGAACCAAAATGCGAGTCCAGGCGAGCCTCGCTGGTTTTGTTCGATCTCGATAGGCACTCATAACGATCTTGCTTGGGCAGGATTACTCAACAGAAGAGGCTTTGCCGGAGGACTTACTATATCGGGCCAGCAATTCTCTTCCAAGTGGGTCGAATGGGGGCCAACATCGTCGGCAAGATGCGCTTCGTCTGGTCCTTGAGATAATGATAAGTACTGTGCAGTACTACTATTAGTTCGTGCAAAAGGATTGGATAAAAAAGGTTCTAACGGATATTGGAATAAGCAAATTGTGCTGTCAACCGGGAAAATCTGTTATACAAAAAATACGTCATATAGAGCTTCTGTCTGCTCTGCACCTGGCAATTTGATAATTCTCTATAGAGTAAATTTGAATCTAGTAGTATCTCTTTACACATCTTCTTAATTTCCCACAATGATAATTGCCACAATTCGGTCATAGACTGCTATCATGACAATCGTACGATAGAACTCGAAGAGAAACACAAAATCGCACCACCCACTCGGCCCGATTAATGATCGGCTATGCCGATTTATGGCTGGAGCATTCTTCACTGTACGACCCTCTGGTTGGTGGCAAGATATCCTGTGGGGGCGAATTACTAGATAGAGCCCGCTTAATTCCCACTTACCGAGGCTATTTCATCAAAACTGCCCGGAAAACCAGGAGGGCCGTTATTATTTTTTTATAATTGTTGGGTCTGGATTTCAAAACACGAATCATTCCGTTCATATTCTAGAACCTAGACAGGGTACTGTGGACCCTGTCCCTTGTCGAACCTCGGCTGTTGAAGGCAAAAGGTATTAAAATCTCCAAGTATGTATGGCCATATACAAACTCGAGTATATACCAGTTGGCGTGCATATTTGCCCCCGAGATGATCCTCTACGATCAGTATGACCTAGTCAATTATCAACAATAGCTCCGAGTAGGCAGTCAATAGAGGAAACGAAGGGAATCCTTTGAATAAGTTGCATGCATGGATTATATTTCATCGCCTTCGGGATTCCTCCGCCCGGGTAATTTGATGCGACCAGTGCCTTCAAAGAAAAAAAAAAATAAAAACAAATCCTGTCAGAACGTAATCGCTGCCCAAGTGGGTCGTGCAGGACTTAATTTCCTTCTTCTCGAGATACCGAGGCTTTTCTGTCATAGTCAAATCAAGAAAATGATAACACCCCGTAGCACTGACATATTAGAGAAGGAGGCGATAGATGATTAAGCTGTAGGTATACCATCATTCATGTAGAGGATGGGATGTGTTCTTCCTTGCAGTGGCCCCTGGATCTCTTCCGTGAGCCTTCACAACAGCTACGTGAACCTCCTCTCTCCCTAAGAGTTCGAATCGTGAATCAAACTTTGAATCCATTATTGTCTCGATTATTCATCAACAGATCAACAGATGGATGACAGACCGACCCACTATACATAGACCTACGAATGATGGTCTTTTGCTGTCCTATTCCAACCTAGTGGATCCTGCTTGAATCATGAAGTCCAAACTTGATACGTTCATTGGTCTATCTCTCATACCTCATTATCATAGTTACCTTCTGTTTCTTATTTTGTTTCCTTTTCTTACAGACACTTCTCAATCTCTCCCACTTCGGCCATCACCTCCTGAACAGCTTTCTTAGCCGGCTCTGCCACGGGCTCATACGGATGGCGGGGCTGGAGCATCTCCTCTGCGCCAGCAATGCCTGCTAATGGGGCCGTGTAATACGCGACCGCATACTTGGTCGATGCGATGCCACTCTTGATGGGACTTTCCGCCAACGCGGCCTGACCCTGCAGCTTCCTGGCCTCCTCGATCTGGCCCTTCTGGTACAAAGCATAGACGCGCGATGCAGTCTTGGGAAATACGTTGGCAAACGCGGCAATGCACCCAGCACTACCAGCGGCAAGACCACCGATGAGGAAATCAGATTGCCCTCCAAAAGTTGCGAATTCCTCGGACTTGAAGGTGGTTGACAACCGAGTGATCTTGCCCACGGAACCGCAGGTGAGCTTGACACCAACGACGTTGGACTGGCCATTGGCGTTGGAGGCAGCAGATTCCCGCACGATAGCAGTGATGGTCTCCGAGTCCATGTCGACTCCGTTACACACGCCAGGGAAATTATAGAGGACCACGGGGATAGGACATTTGGCCGCGACTTCTGAGAAGAACCGCTTCACGACATTCATGTTGGTAGCTTTGCCGAAATACGCCGGGGGAAGCACGAGGACGTAGTTGGCACCGGCCGCAGCAGCATCTTGAGCGAGTTCGAGGGTCTGCTTGGTCGAATGGGCGCCGACGCCGGCCATCAAGGGAAAGTCGGGTCCGACGGCCTTGCGGGCAGTTGCGATGAGCTGGGCGCGTTCCTCACGAGTGAGCAGGAAGGCTTCTGAGTTGGTACCGAGAATTACCAAGCCCGCCAGGCCTGTTTGCGCGAGATAGGCGAAGTATTGGGCCTGCGCAGTCAGGTCGAGGGAGTCTGTGGCATGGTTGAAGTAAGTGACGGCAGGACACCAAACCCCCGACGGGGGAACGTGTGGTTGAGGGGAGACTGCCGTATGAGAGCCCATTTTTGTAGCTTGTTGTTGTTGCTATATCGAATCGCCTCCTGTTGAATGTGACCGGGTAGAGCTGAGGGTAGATAGAGGACGACGAGGAGACGGTGGAAAGAGAATGAAGATGGCCGATTTACTTACTCGGACCCTCTTATAATAACCAAACATCCAAAATACCCCTCCATTCCCCCGCACTCGCAGTGATGAGACGGCGAGGAACCGAAAGAGATCCAAGTATGTGGCTTCGAGCTCTCTGATTGCTCGAGACGCCCATCTCGGCTCGTCATCCCGTTCGACGACCCACCGCCAACTGGACACGCTCGGGACCGCGAGCCGATCGGGTTGTCCTTTGCGCTTTTCCACGAGCGGGGAAGGTCGGACTTCCTCCGATTGCATGATTCTTATTCGCTATTTTGCCTGTCATACTCATGAACCCGGGCTATCGCCAACCAGATGCTTGATTGTTCGGCTGGCGGATGGTTTGCCGGTCGATCGGTCGCGGCCACCGATTTCCTCGACTCCATCCAGGCGCAAACAGACTGCGGATCGCGAGCCGGGAATACGTGATTGTTTTGGAGATTCATTCTGTGATAAGAAAAATAAAAGAAATCCTTAATTGAGATGATACTCTTTCGACCTGTAACGCACCTATTCTTGAGACGTCAGCCCCTTTCCCTTCGCAGAATGACGACTTTAACTACGACAGTCTCGACTCCCTGGACGGAAGAGACCAGGTTCAATAAAACACGATTCATTCCACCTGATGCCATCTTCGCCTTGACGGCTGAATATTTGCAAGATCCCTTTCCCCGAAAGGTCAATCTTGGCCAAGGCACTTACCGTGATGGCGAAGGCAACCCCTGGGTTCTTCCCTCTGTGAATAGGGCTCGTGAGACCCTGTCAGCTCAAGGGCTGAATCATGAATATCTCCCCATCCTGGGACTACAGGCTTTTCGGGAAGCGACGGCCAAAGTGGTACTAGGATCAGAGCTATTGCCCAGCAGGAGGCTAAGGTAGGCACGCTGTATCCTTCGTGCTGGACTGACAGGTAGTTGACGGAATCTGTAGCTCGCAACCTGCCAGAGCCTATCGGGAACGGGCGCTTTGCATCTGGCAGGACTTCTTTTGAGGGTCTGCCAATCTCCATTGCCCAAGATCTACATCCCCGAGCCAACCTGGTCCAATCACCACCAGGTATTCAGCTCACTTGGGTTCTCCTGCGAAAGCTTCAAATACTACGACCACGAAACCAGGGATCTGGATATTGAATCCTACTATTCGACATTGAGGAACGCGGAGCCAAAATCCATCGTGATTCTCCATGCTTGCGCGCACAATCCCACGGGCTGTGATCCGACAAAAGAGCAGTGGCGGGAGATTGCACAATTGATGAAGGCTCGTCAGCTGTTTCCACTCTTTGATGCCGCGTATTTGGGGTTCAACTCGGGCAATTACGATGAAGATGCTTTTGCGATACGACTTTTTGTTGGAGAAATGAAGATGGAGGCTGGGATCTGTATATCTTTTGCCAAAAACATGGGTCTGTATGGTGAGTTGAGAGGAACCTGCTCGCCAGGCGTCTGGTGATGAACAAGAATACTGGGCTGATAATGCGATGATAGGAGAGAGAGTCGGATGCTTCATGTTGGCCACTGATACCAAAGAGGCCGCCGTGAATACCCAATCGATGCTCGAGATGCTCCAGCGATCGGAGGTTTCCAACCCCCCTGCCTTCGGGGCGAAAATCGCGAGCCAGGTGATGGGAATGAAGGACCTGAAGGAGATGTGGTTTGCCGATATGGTGACTATGAGCAGTCGCATCCGATCGATGAGGAAAGCACTCTACGAGCATTTGATATCCTTTGGTAGGGGACTTTGCACCAGTGATTTTTAGTAAAACCAGAAGAGTTAACCCTACCAGGGGCGCCTGGGTCTTGGGACCATCTCATTCGTCAATCGGGGATGTTTGGATTCTTGGGACTGTCCCCAGAGATTGTGTTGAAATTGAAAGGTCAGTCGGAAATGCCTTTTGTCGGGTGTATGTTGCTAGGTTCAAGTATTCAGTTTCTGACTTCTTGTCACAGATGACTACCATGTCTATATGGCAGGTAATTCTCGGATATCGATAGCGGGTTTGAATCCAGGAAATGTGGAATACGTGGCTCGATCAATCACCCAGTGCCTCAAGGATTCTTCATGAACATGTGATACGTGGAACAGCCTCGAGAAGAATAGTAGCCCTAGAGATTCCAGGGACTCAAGTAGCGTGAAAAATGAATACGTGGTATGTGGTGTGCATCGCGATGATGAGCTCCACAGGCTTGTTTACTAGACGGACCGATAATCTTGTGCGGTCCCCATCAAACATGTCTGATTTCGAAGAGGTATCATTCCAAAATTACTTTGCATACTGACAGAAATGTAAACAAAACGAACAGACGCTGGGAGTTTTCCTGATCGCCGAAGCTAAATCATGTGACTCGCATGGCTTGGTTATGGTGTCGACGAAATGACTCATTTCAGGAAGAGAACACTTTTGCATTACTACAATAACTAGTTGGGCACTTGGATTATTCTGTAATTTCCGATGAACCGCATCTCACTTGGCTGTTTAATTCAAACGAGCCTACGTTTGACTCTGAACGAGGGTGACATTTGAACGGTTGAGTAGTCCACTTACAGAACCAACTATGTCAGCCCCCCAATGGTCGATTGAACTCCATCTTGCCAACCAATGCGAGGATGCAGAGGCCCTTCACATCTGGCGCCAAGCCGAAGTGTGCGCCCAGCTCTACCCGGACCATGATGTGGTAGTTCGGTCATTCACCAATGGGGGCATTGTCATCCGAACCTTGCCTGTCTTCACTGGTAAACTCAACCGGGCCGTGGGCTGTGGCAAGGATGGTGACCTAGACCACGACACTTTGAGGGAGTTGGAGTCAATGTTTGCCGTCATCGGGCTTGCTCCAGAGATCCATGTCAGTCCTTTTGCGAGGCCATCCACCTTGCAGTCTCTAATTGCTCAGGGATACGAAGAAAAGGGGCTGCTGAGCACATATTGGTGTCCTCTCAAGGACCCGGCAATTGAATCTACCCCAAATGGCACGTTGGGCATGGGTACCGTGGAGACGCGCTTGGTCGCTGCTCATGAGATGGAAGATTTCATTGAGACCTCTATCGCGGGGTTTCAAAGCAACGGCCGGTCCCGGGAGTTGCTGGGGGCCCTCGCCAGGATTGCGACTCGACGACCAGACACGCAATTATTCGTTGCTGTGGTTAACAACAAGATTGCCGGCTCCGCTGCCTTAGCCAGCATCGAGACCTCCGATGGAAGTGTGGCGCATCTGTATTTGGATAGCACATTGCCAAACTATCGGGGCCGAGGCGTGCAGCAAGCGCTGATCCAGGCCCGTCTCCGCGAGGCACGACGCCGGGGTGTGTCCCTGGCAACGACCATCACCCGCGTTGGGGACGGAAGTGCACGTAATGCGGAGCGGGCAGGTCTGCGGATTGCGTATACGACCACGATCCTCACTCGACCAGAGATCCGAGAGGCGGGCGATGGCTGAATATCATCCCTGCTCAAGAAGAGGAGACCATGGAGATGGCCAGGCTAATTTGGGGTCAGTTCATTCCATTAGCATATAAAAATCTTAATTAGGGTTGGTTAAACCTTATGGACCGCGCTGCCGAAGGAATAATACCGAGCGGCTTGGTCCTGTTTCATCCTCCGGTTTACGGAACTGGTGACAGCAGTTGCTGGGTCATTGTCTGTAGTTTAGCTCTGCCCGTTGATAGAGTGATACTTCCGGTAAGCAAATGGCCATGCAATGAGAGCAAGTATCCAGATACTCCTCAGTTGGGCGTGTATGCATATGACTGCAATCTTCTTTCATCAATCACGAGACTGGAACCACGTCCCGAAGGTAGCTATTCCGAAATCCGGACAACGGCTGTCTCAGCCCATTGCTGGGGTTCGGTCATCCTTCAGGCCCGAATTTTCCAGAACGCGCAGCTAAACTTCCCGCAGGTCGCTCGGTTGGGAGGCATGCAAGGAGGTCCCAGGGGACCTTCATGGGCGGAGAACACGAGGATTCGACACAGCCTATCCCACATATGCGCCTACATCAGATCCATTTGAATGATAGGATGATCAGGCACGAAGGAGTCTTTGGTACCCCGAAGAAACTCAAAAGAAACACCGCGTTGCCCCAGATGATTCGAAAGATCGGCGAAGGCAACAAATCACGCAAGGGGGCTTTCCACACCAAAAGCAAGTGCCCTGGTGCGGGCCGCCCGATTAATCCCAGTGGCGTTGGTGGCGTTCCGCCAGGAGTTGGAGGATTTGCAGGATCTGGCCCTAACGAGTACGGGGGGAAAGACTCGTATTCTGAACCATTCCGAGATAATCATCATCCCAATCATCGCAACAACAAAGTATCATCCCAAGGACCGAAGAGAAAGTCCCTCAAGTCACGTGAAGGTCGGGCCAGTGGCTGTTCCCGGCTGATCACGTGACTGTCCAACAAAGTTTTCCATTTGGATTCTGCCAGATTTCTCCGCCCAGTCCCTCCGTTGCTCATTGGCGGATCACCTGACGAAGGGCTTCTTCTGACTTTCTCGGCGCCATCCGAACGGCAGGGATCTCTCGCTTGTGGCTGGCTCAGGCGGCTCACCGAAAGCTTGGGACGAAGGCATAGACTTTTGCATCTTGATATCATGGAAAATCTCTGTGATATCTCAGATGCTACAGTCCGCATTCCCGCCTGCGATGGGGACGGGTTTCCTCGACTTCCCCGGCTTCTGCTGCTCCCCGCATTATGCCCCCTTGTCCACCGCGGGGACTGTCTCCATCCGATGACATCCAGAAGCCCCCATGTCACATTTCTTTTACCTAAGAACCAAACCTTCTTATCACCCGAATCTGCCGCTGGGGCGCATCGGGGCGCATCGGGGCGCAGACTATGTCTCGCCCAGAGGCCAGACGGTGGATCTCCAGGATCCCGAGGGAACCGCTTTCTGCTGCTTGCGGCCATCTCGTTGGGCGGCCGATCAAACCGAGTGGAGCAGCGTTGTACCTCCACGTGTGGACGGTCCTCCAAGGAGCGATCACCAAATGCTGGTTGTCATTGAAAACCCGCATTTCGCCTGTGGGTTTCTCCCCCAGGCCCGCCTGAAATGATGATTCCCCAGAGATAACGCCGGATCCGAGCGCGAAGTCGCTGGCCTGGCGTAGCTTTTCTCTTTATACCGGCTCCATTGCCTCCGTCCTTCATCTGTGACCTCTCCCCTTTTCTCTTCTCCAGTCAATCCGACAAGTCTTCCTCCTCTTCTGCCCTTTCTCCCCCTCTCCCCAAGTCCCATTCCTGGCAAGATGGGCTTCGACGATGTCTCCAGTGGTCAAGACTCCAACAAAATCATGGAGTCTGACGGCCAGAAGAATGCCTACGACGCCCCACCGCCATTCGAGAAGGATATGCTCGGCGAGATGAGCGAGGTGGAGCGCCACGGCATCAAGAAGTTCAGTCGTCTCGGCTGGAAACGACTCACCGTGGTTCTCATCGTCGAGGCCATTGCCCTCGGAAGTCTGTCGATTCCCTCGACGTTTGCCGCCCTGGGGATGGTGGCTGGTGTGATTTCTTGTGTCGGTCTTGGTCTGGTGGCCATCTATACTAGTTATATCGTCGGCCAGGTGAAGCTGGCTTTCCCAGAGGTTGCCAACTACGCCGATGCAGGTCGTCTGATGTGGGGTCGCTTCGGCTATGAACTCATCAATCTGATGCTCGCGTTGCAGTTGATCTTCTTAACGGGATCTCACTGTCTCACCGGAACCATTGCCTTCCAGAACATTACCGAAAGTGGCATCTGCTCGGTCATCTTTGGCGTGGTGTCCGCCATCATCCTGCTTTTGCTGGCTATCCCGCCTAGTTTCACCGAGGTCGCTATTCTCGGCTACGTGGATTTTGTATCGATCGTGTTCGCTATTGGTATCACGATCATCGGCACCGGAGTCCAGGCGACGAACGCTCCCGGTGGCCTCGCTGCTGTGAACTGGTCTGCTTGGCCCAAGCCTGACTTGACCTTTACCGAAGCGTTCATTGCGATTTCCAACATCATTTTCGCCTACAGTTTCGCCATGTGCCAGTTCTCCTTCATGGATGAGATGCACACCCCCGCGATTTCGTCAAGTCGATCTGGACACTGGGTATCACTGAAATTGTGATCTACACTGTGACCGGTGCGACTATCTATGCGTTCGTTGGCCAGGATGTGAAGAGCCCGGCGCTCCTCTCCGCAGGCGGTACCCTGAGTCGAGTGGCCTTTGGCGTGGCCCTTCCCGTGATCTTTATCAGTGGATCGATCAACACGGTGGTCTTTGGGCGCTTGATTCACGGTCGCATCTTTGCCAACTCCCCAATCCGGTTCATCAACACCAAGATGGGCTGGCTCACGTGGCTGGGTGTCATTACCGCAGCCACCATCATCGCCTTCATCATCGCGGAGGTGATTCCATTCTTCAGTGATTTGCTTTCGATCTCGTCTGCCTTGTTCATCTCGGGTTTCAGCTTCTACTTCCCCTCGCTGATGTGGTTCCTTCTCATCCGCAAGGGCAGCTGGACGGAGCCCCGGAATCTGATCCTGACCATCATCAACGGCTTTATTCTGGTGATTGGCCTGATCATTCTGGTGGCCGGTACTTACTCGAGTATCGATGATATTGTAAGTCATGAATGACGAATCTCAATGAACGACGACAGGAGTCTTGATTTGCTAATGGGAATGCGTTCACAGATCATCAACTACAGGACTGGCTCCGTGCGTGGCGTCTTCACATGTGCTCCCTTGGAGTAGACGGACGAGGGCGGGCTCCTCATGAAACTTGTTTCTGTCTAGTGGTGTCCTGGCTGGCCTGCGAGATCCTCCTGGAAGAAGCTGGCATGTGGCAGGTTTGTCATAGGGCATAGAGTCGATAGACGCGCGGAGATACAGCGCAAAATTACGTTTGCATTGTCATGAAAGATGTTCGTTCCGGTATCCTACCAGGCGGACCTTGTATATTTACATACATCATTTATAGCTGCATGGACTTATTACCCAACATTCAACTTCTTTATGATCATGCCCGGACCTACCTAAATTCTAACCTCTTACTCGAGTTAGCTCATGGCATACATAGATATCGCAGGTGCTATGCATCCATGAACTAGGTACCTACTCACGTCCTGACTACCATTTGCACGAGGTTGTCACAGCTTGGTTAGGTACTAGGGTTGCACGCACGCATTGTATGGCTACCTCCTGCCAGATAGAGAGAGAGAGAGAGGGACATAGAGAGAGAGAGGGACATAGAGAGAGAGAGATGATTGCACAAGGGAAGGTTAGACACCAGGATGCAAGCAGAATTTTGTGCAAACCCTATTCAGTAGAGAATTGTATGGAATGTACACAAACTTTTGCGAGAGAGACATTGAGAAAGATCGGGAATAGTTGTTTCCATCGGGCGGATCAGTCTTTGCCGATTCAACTGCCTCCTGCCGTGCGGACGCCGATCGGTACCCAACTCGATGGTGACTTGTTAAGGTTAATTCAAGCCCTTCAGAATAATCTGTGGGCCACGGGCCTTAATGTTAGCGCGAGCCTGCTAGAACCTGGACTCTGTGAGGTGGTGACAACAGTTTTCTACTTTCCATGTTGGAATAATAGACGATACTTGACCATGAACATACGGATGACAGTGAAGTTCTGTCTTGAAAGAACATTCTAAGATCGAACGATTCCACATCAGGAGTCAAGATCCGGCCAGGCTGGATAGCTGGACGTTATCTTCAACTATAGGTAGAAACCCAAGCGCAATCAAGCTGATCATGACGTCGTTCGAACAAGTTTCAACCTTATCGCCAACAAACTTCAACCAAAGTATAAACCCTCGATTCCGCGCAACAGACGGGGTGATCATTTTCATGATGACACACGGCAGGATCAGACGCATTCCCTCATTATGGCCAAGGTGGAACACACCGTAAACACCCTCTCACCAAGGTACGTGAGAAAACGCACTCGAGAGATCTAATTCGTTGGACATGTTTAATTAGTTACGGTATTATTTCGGGGGCCGAGTCTATATAGCTTATGTACCAAGTATTGTGTCCGTTTCAGGCAACCTCGTTGTTTTGATTGCGATTGACGCGGGAGAGCTTAGCACTGGTCCTGCTCGGCCCGAATGTCGGCCACAAAAAGCCAACGATCCAGGCGGCATCCAGTGGCTTAATGGCTTGAGTATGTCACTAGAAACGACCCCCACGTGCTGACTGGCCTTACACGTGCACTGTTGCTTGGTGATACCATTACTCGATCGTAATAAGAGTACTTTGATATGCTTTTCTAGAATTTCTTCAAAGTTTCCATCGTCAAGGACCTTTGTAATGTTGTGATATTTATACTTTCAGCATATAGTAATGGCGTACCCCGACCTCATAAGGCTGTTGCCTAAACTTCCTTTTCTAAATGTTTCTTGTCCTTCTTTTCGACGCCCGTTCTTCAAAGATCCTGTTATGAGATGTACTTTTGTTTAATTGTGGCCTTTTTGGTCCATGTTATCTCGTCCTACGCCCTTGTTGATGGAATTTGGAACCCGAATGCTCCCAGCTCTCTGGGCCGGCGCTCACCAGATGTCAATGGACCACTAGACGACGGGGTTCTAGAAAAGAGAGGTGCTACGACTTGCGGTCCCTCTGCCAATAACGCTGTTTGTGCATCCAACTTCTGCTGTGGACCAAATGTATAGTATTTCCTGCCGAGTGCTACTTGTTTATCTCAAATCCTGATTCTTTCCAGGGAGTCTGTGGGACAGGTCCCTATTACTGCGATGCCCCATCGTGCCATTTCCAATATGGCCCTGCTTGCGATGCCAACCAAACCCCGGCAGGTGTCAATACCACCTCGGTACCCCGGCCAAAATTAGGCAGCACTCCATACGGTGTCAGTATCAGGGACTGCGGCATCCCTGGGAAGGTTGCCCTTACGTTTGATGATGGCCCCTATATTTACACGTCCGCTCTGCTTGACCTCCTCAAGGAAAATGGTGTCAAAGCCACCTTCTTTGTTGTCGGAAACAATGGTGGAAAAGGGCAGATCAATGACCCCAAGACGGGCTACCCTGCTCTCATCCAGCGAATGTATAATGAGGGGCATCAGATCGGGAGCCACACCTGGAGCCATGCAGACTTGTCCACTTTATCCCGCCAGCAGCGGTACGATCAGGTGGTCAAGAACGAGATGGCTCTGACGGATATTCTGGGATTCTTCCCCACGTATCTCCGTCCGCCGTACGAGTCCTGCAATACAGACTGCCTCAGTGACTTGAAAGACCTAGGCTATCATGTTGTAAGTCATATGTTGCCTGAAATCCAGCTTCCTGCAAAGCCTAAGAATACATTTGGGTATAGGCAAACTACGACATCGATACACTCGACTGGCAAGGTGACTATGGGCATAGTCAGAACATCTTTTCGAGTAATCTGAAATCCGTCAGTCCCTCAACCCGCGGATTCATCTCCCTCGCCCACGATATTCACGACGAAACGGTCCACACCTTTACAACCTATATGATCGATACCCTCCGTGCTGCTGGCTACTCCACAGCCCTGTATGGCGAATGTATGAGCGACCCCCCGGCAAATTGGTATCGGAATTCCACTACGGGCCAGCCATTCAATGGCAGCTCCCACAACTCAACATCTAGTTCCACTGCCAAGTCAGTCTCCGGCAGCACCAACTCGACCACAACGGACACCGTCCATACCTCAACTACAGCTACGCCTAGCGCGGTGTCGGGCGGCGAGGGGGCTTTTGGAAGCCGGACGGGCAATACCACTGTCAGTGGCACAAATAGTACGATCGCAAAGAGCCAATCAGCGACGGGAACGGGCACGAAGCTTTCTGGGACGACTGCCAAGGTTGTAGGGGCTGGCGTGGTGTGGGTATTGACGTGCTGGGCGTTCTCGATATGAACGAGAGATTATTGTGGTGACATTCCGCGAGTATTCAGCTTGACAAGTCTGGGTATGGCCAGATCGCTCAGAACTTATCTGCCCGTTGAAGTTATGAAGTGTTGCTTCCAAAGTGACATGGAATTGTTGTCGCCCATCATTTTCTCCAGGTTTGAGCGCATGTTCGTGTGTCGAAGCGGGCTGACGATTAGGTACGGCGGCTAATAAGACCGGCAAGGAGGGAAATTAGTAACGAGAATGATGGAAATAGACTTTTTGAGAGAGTTCCAGGACGATCTTCACAATCGAGCTAAACTTAATGCCGAGGACCACTCTCGGGATTTAGCAGCAAATGCGATTGATTGGCAGACTGGCGGGACTGGGTGGGCGGAACTGGTTTGATTTTGAGTTATCCTCGTGTTTGTATAGAGTTGGGATTTGTTGCTGAATAGATTATTCTCCGTATGGAGTAGTTGTATATTGAGACAGAGACATCTTTGCCAAAAAGATCTTTGCCACCTGAGACTATGGGCATGAACGTGGGGGAAGGAATGGAGAATTCAATAGTCATACTCGGTGCTTTTTGCCGGACAATCGGTCTTTTTGCCGAGATGCAACCTGCATATTTGGCTGAAAATTTGCGATATAAATAATTCCTCAGTCTTGGGTCATATATGAAACTACCCATTCTGGATCAATCCTGTTGGAGGGGTCGCAGTGCCAAGGTTTAATCCGCAGCTCAGTGCCAGAGCTGGACACGCGCCCGTTGGAAGTGATGATTCCTTCTCTAAATCTAGATCTGCCAAACTAGTCACGATTCGACGTTGTCAGGAATGTCTCAACGGGTTCTCTCTCGGTGAAGCTGGAGGCAGCAGTCTTTGTCGTGAGATTCTCTATCGGGCTTTCCCTTTCTGGGGCTGACCGTGGAATGTAACCAGATCTGGACGAGGGGCTGAAGTATTCGGAGGTTGCTTCACTTTGCGCGTGCGGGGGATCTAAACTTGGATGAACTGGGGTCTTTGGGTGGGTGAGGTTGTCCTTCTGGGCTGCAAGATAGCCAGATAGAAAGATCTTTGCGCAGACCGGACCAACAGTCATCCCGAAGGATGTGGATTCAACAGCGTCTAAATGGATGGTTTTGGGAGTGCAGGAGTCAGCGGCCAACGAGGGAGGAAGTGGCCGGAGCTAGCCGATGCAGGTAAGACTTCTAGAAGGAGGCGAAAGGCCGAGCGATTGCATGTTCCATTTCCCATTTGGGAGGGAGTACAAAGTCCTGTACACTACTATACAGTAGTACATAGTCAGACTACTGCTGTAGTATGTATGAAGTACTCCGTGCTGCATGCGCGAGTGCTCCCACGTGTTAGGCGCGTGTAGCGCACGTGTCCGTAGGTGGAGGAGCAGATGGACGGGACTGGGGAATGGGGCTGTCAGTGGTGGGCGGTTGGTTATTCGTGGATGTGGCCCAAATAGATTAACCACTTACTAACTGTAAACAGAGGACTGGTTCAACTGGAGAACCGAAAAAAGAAAATCAATCCATAATTAGGGCCATATCTGCAAGTAAGAATGTTGATAATATTGGTAGTACTACTCTGTTCTCAGTATACTAAGTATAAGTTACTATGCACAATGACAAGGATAATGTACAGTACAAGAAATGAAGATGATTTCTCGAATCTCAGGACCGATAGAAGTGGGGCCATAGCGGATGCACGTGCCTGATCCATTGGCTAGAGTGAGTGTGGAGTTCTGAAACAAGCTTCGGAACCTAAACAAACCACATAGCCCTTGCAGATACAGACGGTTCTGTACAGTAGTATACCTACAGGAGTACGGTATACGGACAGTAACTGGTATACTACGGAGTATTTTTCACTCAATAGTATACCTACAGTAGTGTATTGACAGTAGTATACTTACATACTACAATAGTAAGTATTCTAACAGTAGTATACTTCCCGTTTCCTCCCTACTCCCCACTGCACCTGGGCTGATCTCGCAAATCACTCGCTTAACATGAATAAGTTTATATCCTGATCGGCAGGGGGACCTCGTGAGGATCGGCTTTCAAGTATCCATTCCTCGGTACATACTACTACTGTCTAGACTACTATTCTCCATCTTCCAGGCAGACAAATTTATCACCTCTACAGAATAGTAATCCCATTCCTGAATGATGAGTCTCATGGGCATGTTGTATTCCTCTTCAGCTCGCATCCTTTGGGTAAAAGCCTTGGTTTGATCAATAGTTGCCCCCCCCCCCCCCCTTAAAATGACATCCAATCAGTCCGAATCGCTTAGGGTGGCACCCTTTTCTCGCTCTGCCAGAGGTTCAGCTCGTCAACGTGCTCTCGCAAAGCACCCAACTGGGAGCACGACAACTGTATCAGGGTTTACCCACGCCATCTTGGCATCGGGCGACCGTGGCTAGTACCACTGGCGGGGCTTGGCAAAGCCCTTCGAGATCCTTGGCATCAAGCTGCGATTGGTACAAGGCCGCCTCCGTCTTGGCATGGCTGGCTGCTTTTGTCCATTCAGCACTTCGCAATCCAGCACGATGTAGTCCAATCCGTGCTGGTTCCCTAATCAGTCAACACTCGAACTCTCCCAAATCCAGCGATATCGAAAAAGAAACGGGGAAAAAAAAAAAAAAAAAAAAAAAAAAAACACGCGCCTCCCTCTCCAGCCAAGCTCACGAGGACGAACAAGCCTCCTTAAGCATGCTTCCAAGCCTGCTCCAAGGATGTTCAAGCCTTGACGCCCAGAGAAATTTGCAAAAAGCCAAAAAGTGGAGTGAATGGTAGTAGACCACTGTTTCCCCCCTCTCGTCCTCGCGTGTACGAAGTAGGATGCTCGGTGCATCGTATTTATAAAATGGAGCATCTCCCCAGCTTCTTCCAGAACTTCAGCTCAATTTTTTTTTCTGAGTCTGCACAGAAAAGAAAAGTTAAAACTCCCCTCCATTTCGAAGTTCTCTATCTGACCATTTAGTCCTTCGACATGGCTGGTGCTCTTACATCGGGAGGTAACTCTGCCTTCCGCAATCACAATAACAACTTTGCACATGTGGAGGACCCCATTGAGCGTCGTCGCCTCGCGCTGGCCGAGATTGACAATGCCAAGTTCGGCTGGTACCACGTTCGGGCTATCGTCGTGGCCGGTGTCGGTTTCTTCACCGACTCCTATGACATCTTCGCCATCAACTTGGCCTCCAGCATGCTGGGTGTCGTCTTCTGGCAGGATGCCAAGTCGAGCGCGGGCAAGATCCCTTCCTCGGCCGACACGGCCATCAAGGTCTCAACTTCCGGTGGCACGGTCATTGGCCAGTTGGGTTTCGGTTGGCTCGCGGACCGCATCGGTCGTAAGCGCATGTACGGTATTGAGTTGATCATCATCATCATGGCTACTCTCGCGCAGGCTCTCTCTTCCGACTCTCGTGCTGTCTCTATCGTTGGTATTCTCATCTTCTGGCGTGTCATTATGGGTATCGGTATTGGTGGCGACTATCCTCTTTCTTCTATTATCACTTCCGAGTATGATCCCCTAGTTTCCTATTCGGGAAGTCCCCCATCCGCTAATCAAGTGTGTTGTTATCAGGTTCGCTACGACCAAATGGCGTGGTGCTATGATGGGCTCCGTCTTTGCCATGCAGGGTATCGGTCAGTTCACGGCTGCGCTTGTCGCCCTGATCGTGACTGTCGGCTTCAAGGAGTCCCTGGAGACTGCGAGCTCCGTGGGCAAGTGCTCTGGTGTTTGCCAGCTCGCCGTAGACAAGATGTGGCGTGTTGTCATCGGCTTCGGTGCTGTCCCTGCCTGCGTTGCTCTCTACTATCGTCTGACTATCCCTGAAACCCCCCGTTATACTTTTGATGTTGCTCGTGATATCGTCAAGGCCGATGAGGATGTCCGTGCCTACATGGCTGGCAAGCGTGAGGGCCACCCCGACGAGGTCCGCCGTGCGTCTGCCATCCAGAACCAGACCGCCGAGCTGGTTGCTCCTAAGGCTAGCTGGGCCGATTTCTGGAACCACTACTCCCAGTGGAAGAATGGTCGCGTCCTCCTCGGTACTGCTGGTTCTTGGTTCTTCCTTGATGTTGGTAAGTGCTGCTATTGTCATCGATGCCGCGGATAGGACTGATGCTAATATTGGTTACAGCCTTCTATGGTCTTGGTTTGAACAACTCTATCATTCTCGCGGCTATCGGCTGGACTGGTGGTAGCACCGTCTACGAGTCCTTCCGTCGTAATGCCGTTGGTAACTTGATCCTGATCTGCGCTGGTGCCATTCCTGGCTACTGGGTCACCGTGGCCACCGTGGATACCATTGGCCGTAAGACCATCCAACTGATGGGCTTCATCATCTTGACCATTGTCTTCATCGTGATCGGCTTTGCCTACGACCCTCTGCTCAAGTCCAACAACGGTCTGTTGGGTCTCTACGTCGTCGCCCAGTTCTTCTTCAATTTCGGTCCCAACGCGACCACCTTCATCGTCCCCGGAGAGTGCTTCCCCACCCGCTACCGTTCTACCTCGCACGGTATCTCCGCCGCCACTGGCAAGGTTGGCGCCATCATTGCTCAGTGTGTGTTCGGTCCTCTGGTGCACAAGGGAGCCAAGGACTCGTCGTCCACCCCCTGGCTCAAGCACGTTATGCAGATCTTCGCTCTGTTCATGCTCTGCGGCTGCTTCACCACTCTGCTCATCCCCGAGACCAAGCGCAAGACCCTGGAGGAGCTGTCTGGGGAGGATACTGACACCCTGGTCAACCCTTCTCCCATGATCCAACCTGAGAAGGAGCTCGAGGCTCAAGCCCTGCCCGTCGCCAACAGCGTCTAAACCCAAAAAATCAGGCCATCTTTTTCGATTCCAGGTTGACTTGGATGCCCTTGTGCTCTGGACCTGTAGTTTCAGATTCATTTTCCCTTTTGTATCACGTACCCAATGACTAGTTAGTTAACTTCCACATACCGCAGCTTATTAATTAGACTGAATAGTTAACGTGGACGTGCCGTAAAAGGAAAGTTCCTGAACTGAGTAAAAAGACTAAAAGACTAAGAATAAAGACTAAGCCCTAAATGAACCACGACGAGATCGCATGGTTCATGGTTCATGGTTCATGGTTCATGCCGGTTCATGACGACGGAATTCCCAACGTGTTCATTCTTCGGAGGGCAATTGGCATACTTTTTAAATAGCAGGTCCTCCCCTTTGCCCCCCTTTAGTCTCAATAGTTTGGTTCTATTTTCTTCTTCTTTTTCTTCTTCTTCTTCTTCTTCTTCTTTCCGTCTGTTTCATTCTCCCACCAAACAAACCTCCTCCTCCTCCTCCTCCACTCGGTGTAACCCGCCTTTGGTCTACGTCCCCCACGAACTTTTCGTCGCAAACCACCGCAACACACACCCCTCCAAAAAAAAAACACATTCTACACATTCTACACATTCTCACCAAATCTGTCTACGCCACTACAATCTCCTTTACCTGGGTTTTTTCTCCTCGATTTTTCCACTGGCGATGGCAAACGAGCCCGCGAGCGAAATGCCCGAGCAATCACTCACAGCGCCGGCCACCACCGACTCCAATCCCACTGCAGAAGCCTCAAATCCAATCCCTGAGCTCTCTACCTACATCGCGACTGATCCAGACGAAGTTCTTTCTGCTCACCGTTTGATCGCAGACAGCGTCGCGCAACAACGCCAACTCGCCGCACGAGCCATCATCTTTCACCCGGTTTGGGTCGGAGCCATGCTCGCGGTCTTCGCCATCGTCTACAAGTGGTTATACCATGACTCGTCTGATTTGCCCTTGATCGGAACCACGGGCGCGGGATGCGTGATGGCCGGGTTGACGCTGGTGCGCTTGTGGACGGGTGGATATATCGAACACGCTGAACATGTGGGCACGAGGGCGTGGCTGGAGGGGGCAGAGGAAAGTGGCGGCGACAAGCAGGAGATTCTCGTCACCAAGTTTGGCGAGAAGATCATCGGGGCACTGGTGGTCAAGGGTGTCCAGGAAGGTCGCAAGGTGCACGGAGTGATTCGGGCGTGGACGGTGACGCAGAGGTATCGTGGCAAGGGAGTGGGATCTGGGTTGCTCGAGGAGGCGATGCTGGTTTGTCAGAAGAGACGGTGGAAGGGGCCTGAGTTTGACGAGGAGCATGCGAATGCGAAGAAGTTGTTGCCCTCGCTATTTAACGGGCCGTTTGAGAGACGGGAGCGACGGGCTAGGGGGGCCTTGGAGAACCTGGTGAAAAAGAAGTAGGGAGAGGGAGAAAAGGGATAGGTAGAGTGATGAAGACTAATCCTTGATCAATGATCTATGTAATGGAATGTCTTGGGTCTCTTCATTGCTTCGTTTGGTTCTTGAACAAGAAGTCCCAAGTCCAAGTCATCGCGGAGACTCCGACAGTGCATACGGTCACATGACCATTGAGTTGGTATCGCCGTTGCTGTACGACAAGAAGCATTGGTCTCGTTCGCAATGAGTCTGACCTTTGCTGCACAACTTGTATCTCGGCGAATATCGCAAGGCTAGGGATTTGAAGACGAATAAAATGTCCCATGGCAATCGGCGAACGTCAATTCATTGTTACGTCTTTCTCTGCCTAAACCAGAAAACATGCATAAACGAGGATGCCCTCTTATCGAATTCTCTACCTTGTTGAAACGACACAACTTCCAACAGAATTGTATGCACCGGCAGCCTGAATGCGGCAAGGTTATGGAGCCGGGAACACTCCTTATATATTGAGTCTTACATGGCTTCAATGCCCTCGTGTCTACTTTATATCAAGAAGAGCCTAGATTGGCCACTCTAGGTAATATACAAAAAGCCTAGTGTGCACTGGCAGGGTCAAGCTTCGAAAGCCACCCAAAATGAAAATGAAGAGAGAGACCAAATACATACTAGAAATCTTGACATTGGGTATACAACCTTTTGTTCATTAAAATGGGCGCGAATGGCAAGGAAATTGACCATGCTGACCCCGAATAAATATTCCGAGGATGGGTCGACCAAGAAGATTGGATATTGCAATCCTTCAGCAAATCCATACCCCATATTGAAGTGGGGTACCGTCAGAGGTTATGGGTACAGATCTGCACAACCGGGCATCCCGCAGATGATTCCACAGCTAAGAATAGTCTATTAGGGAGAATTAATCATCTGAACCACTTTCCTCCGATGTTTCCCCGTCAATATTGAGGTCAATGTTGATGAGCAGGTGCGATGCAGTGGTGCCTGTGTAAAGGAGACATCATCTAGATAATTTATTCTGAGAATAAGAACCTTGGACCAACTGTAACAAGCGGGAATTTCCCTGCCTGAAAACACTACACTTGCCCTTCAATTTTCTATCTATCAACATCACAAAAGAGCAAGATCATCAACGACTGCAATTACCAACATATCAAAAACGTTATGATAGCTGTTTCCACGACTGCTTGCGTCCCAGTCCAACACCTTCAATCTGATCGCAATTCACTCTGGCTCAGGGGTGCAGTATGCCAGCTTTAACGCTGCCAAGAGCAGTATATTTGCGGGGCCAGCCTCCCAACATGCTAGCTGTGCGCGCCCAGAGGAACAACTTGCTACTTTCTATCACAACGACGAGGCTCTCTACCTCTACGACCAATCCGCAACTCCCCAAGAACTTTACGTTGATCGTTCAGAAATGGGTATGTCGCGAATAAAAACTATGTGTATACACCAACATCCCCGAGACTAACAAGAACCAGGACAGGGTAAGACTGGATATACCAATATACCACTGGCGCTCAGCCCGCCCCGAAGAATGCCGACCGAGATGGTTGGAAAATCAAGGATGGACACCTTCAGTTCGCTGGCAATGTCCTTATTGCCTGCCCAAACAGCATTGACAATTCCTGGTCTATCTGGGTCTCCGCTGGTGTCTCCAATCTGGGTGGAAATACTGACTGTGTCGGCATTGCTGTTCGTGTGGTGGAGACTTCCAACTCCAGCGGATGCCTGTATACCGAGTAAAGAGAGGAACATGACGGCGGGTTAAACATGGTGGAATGACTGGCTGCACTGAGTTATATACCTCCGAGGGTTTCTGCCTATCATTCTATTAGTATATTCGCTTGCTACCGCGTGGATATACTCTTTGGACAAGATTAACGTCAGCTAGCTCGCGGTTAGAAATGCAAGATTCTATTACAACATAGTCTTTACCTACCAACTCTATTGTTAACTTGAAATTGCCCTTGCTATATAGCCGGTAGTGGTGATTATAGGTATTCGGCGTTGACAAGTCAGAACACTGTGCCCGGATGAGAAGCGTGTGAGCCGTGAACGGCCAGATAGACTTGAAACCATGATAGTTGTCAAAGTGGATATAGTTAATCGCTTAGTATCTCACAAATTTTCAGCAAAATCTTTTTATATTCACGCTGCCCATAAATCACCTTAGGGAACATCGAGCAACACCGGCTCCCGCAACATAAGAGTGAAAAGTTCTTCCCTGCCCTCTCCAAATAGTTCCAAATCCAACACAAGCTCTTCCACTACTTGCCACCCATGCTTACTGTACAGCGACAGGCCGGCAGATGTTGCCTCCAGATAGATACGTGTCTTTACTGTATCTGCAATTTTAATGCCCCACTCCAAAAGTGCAGAGCCTATTCCACGACCGCGATATGCGGGTAAAGTAGCAAGGAAATCGAGAACTAAAGTTTTACTTACAGTCAAGCCATGCCCCATAAAGGAAGAAAGGTATAAACAGGTACCTATATCTCGCTCTGCGGTGTGTCTTCTGCGTGCTGGCCCTAGAAGCTTTCTTGGTGCATAAAAAAGCCCCTCGTTCATAGGGCGAGGTGCATGGTCTAATGGCTGTTCCGTGGCGGCTGCGAGGGCAGCTCCCCTTGCACTGAGGATACAGACAGGGGAAGATACTCCTAGTACTCTTGGAATAAGCCAGCGGGCGTACCCAACCAATTGCCCAGTATTCGAGTCCTCAATTGTAATAACATGCATCTCCGGGTTCGCCATTTGCTTCATGCCATTAAGCGCCTTGAATTTCTTGAGGGTTGCAGGCTCGCATTGAGGGAACACAGCAGATCGAAAGCGATAATTCTTGAAGCTAACGTAGTTGATTTCGCATAAAGCTGGCATGTCAGCCTCGGTTGCGTAGCGGATCTGATACATGACGGTGATGTAGATCCCGTCTTGCTGGCCGAGAGACAAAACAGAAAGCCACAGTAGACCACGGTAATAACATTGCCCCTCGATTGGTTACCGCCCTATGCTGCCAGTCATACTACCAACGGATAATTCAGACTAGGTCTCGGTCTGCTCACTAACGGGGGTAAAAAGTTTTCATGCGTGATAGGCGGGCTTGAGGATATAATGGAATTCTTATACCGTGTGAAGGACAAGGACTAGTGAAATTGAGTAGAGTATACCACCAAACGTCACAAAAACCTTAAAGAAAGAACGCATTAAAGCAAGCAGTAACGCTAAGTCGACTGGCAGAGAATGGAGATAGGGATAAGCACGTGAGCTGGCACATGAGCATCAACGGTAGGATCCTTCAGGCATCAAGGCAACAAGGCAGGCAGGTAAACAAGACAACAAGGCTTTGCTTAGGTAGCCTAAGTAACCAGGCATCCATGTGCTTATTCCCTTCATTAAACGCACCAAACTTTCTGTGTATCTTACGCAGTACATAGAGAATTCACTCACCGCCATGAATGGATGGACCAGAGTCGGCGGTAGACGTTAGCCTAATCTCGCTCAGGATTCGTGGTCGGGCGCTAACTAATCACTCACCTTCTACGGAGTTGTTATAACGTAATTCCCGGCTACCCTGGCCACCCGGTTACCCTAGCCACCCCCAAAACAACATACCAAATGCGCTTTTTCGCAACCTCTATATTTCAACACTCAACACTGATTATCATAGTCTTTGGATACCTTGGTGCTTAAAATATCGTAGTGGATATTTATATCAGGTCGAGTAATATTTCAAGCCATAACAATGTAGGTATATATATCCACATCGTTTGACCAGGGCATATTTTGGTAATCGCCGTATTTAATCATTTCCCGAATAAATTAATTATGCTGCAAACGTTCCTAGTACTATAAGATAATACCATGCTACAAGTCAAGCAGAATTCTCTTCTTGTTGTTGATATATTGTGCCATGAAATATCGCATTTAGTGTGGTGTTTTGGGGTGGCCAAGGTAGCCGGGAATTACGTTAATTAATTATCCGGATTGGGTTGAGTTAATTACCCGCGTAGCTGAATATAAGTGCCGGGAAATATGTTCACGAACCAAGTCCACGACTTTTGCCCTAGGATTTTGGTTGCAGGAAATGACCCAAACCAACCATTGGGTCCATACGTGGGCTGCGATGCCCATGCGCGCTGAAGCAGATAATCTGCCTCCGAAGACGTTCGTAAGTCTTTATCTGGGGGATCTGAGAGTCTTTTAAAAGATAGAATTGACGGATCAACATCTTAAGATCCGGGACACGATAATATTCCCTAATACAACAATTCGGCAAACTGTGAAAATAACACTCGGCACCGACAATTACTTTCGTCTGCGATTATCCAACGCGTTTGGCACCGATGATCTGACTATCAACCAAGTGACGGTGGCCCTGGCACACAATATCTCGGCAGGCAGTAGCAGAATCGAAGCACACACGCTGCGAAACGTTACATTTGATGATGGGTTGGTGGCAACAACAATTGTCGGTGGGGCGCAGGCTCTCTCCGATCCCATCGGGTTCGGGGTCCCTTTGCCGCCAAACACGGTGCTCAGCATCAGTCTCTTTTTGAAAAATGGACAAGATAGCAAAACTGGAATTACCTCGCATCCAGGCAGCCGGACAACATCATTCTGCAGTCTGGGAAATCGTGTGTCGGAAACTGATTTGACTGATCCTTCTGTCCAGCCCGTGGAACATTGGTGAGTCAGGGTTGCATTTTTGAGGAGAACGAATTCTTAATGCTTGGCCTAGGTTCTACATCTCTGGGATTGAAGTTCTGGTACCGCGTGATTCGTGCGCATTCGCCGTTATTGGCGATAGCATAACGGATGGAAGATGCAGTACAACCGATGGCAATGACCGGTAAATTGAACATTTGTCGAGGCCTTATCGATTTTTCCATATTTTGAGACTAACCGTCTCACCTTCCAGTTGGCCCGATCTTTTATTTTCCCGCCTCCAGTCAAACCCGGTCACTGCATCTATCTCCGTACTGAATCAGGCAGCGGGTGGTAACCGAATCCTCGCAGATGGCATAGGTCCCAACGTGCTCAGCCGGCTCGACCGCGATGTCCTTTCTCATTCGGGTGTGAAATACGTACTCATTTTCGAAGGGGTAAATGATATTGGGACCGCCGAAGCCAATGAAGAAAGCCAATTGGTTATTGGTGATCGAATCATTGCCGGATACAGACAGATTGTGACAAGGGTACATGCACGTGGAATTCCTATCTTCGCAGCGACGATCACGCCCTTTGGAAGGAGAAAAGGAGAGGTCGTGGTTGATGCGGAGGCCGAGGGTCTTACAGGGTATTCTCATCCGATGAGGGAGCAGACGAGACAAAGGGTCAATGATTGGATTCGAAAGAGCGGTGTTTTTGACGCCATTGTGGATTTCGATCGAGTTCTGAGAGATGAAGATGACTCTGGGGTGCTGAGAAAGGAGTTTGACTCGGGCGATCGCTTGCACCCTAACAAACAAGCCTTTCAAGCATTAGCGTGCGCTTTTCCAGTGGAAGCTTTTGAGAACCCCTGAGCTTTCCTAATGGGTTGAAACTTTAATGCCGTTGGTCATCTAGTGGGAAAGTAGTGATATATAGACATATTTACTATGAGCGTAGAGAGCTACATACAACCACACAACCGAAGGTATATCTCATGCAACTAAACATACATGAATGGATCACACAGCCAAGTAAGTAACCATCGACCATGCGGGAATCTCAGCCTGGAATGAGCCACCCTTAGCCACCGCGATAGAAGCTAGAGGCTCCAAGTCGTTGTCATTGTTTGTGAGGTAAGGCTTAATTGATGCACCCGATTTGAGACCAGTTATCTGCACCTTGACTTCAACGTTGGAATTACCCTGATTCAGCAGCTGAGTAGCAATACGTCCATCCTTGTTTTCGAAGGAGCTGACAGTGACATTTGCGTGAGAACTGACTGCCGCAATGCGACGAGCACCAGGACGCACGAACTTGCTGAACTGAGCAAACGCCCAAAATCTCTTGGAGGGAATTACCTCATTATTGATGAGGTTGATCAGCCCACTGTTTGTGGTTGAGTTTTCGGCCCCAATCCAGTAGAGGAACCCACTGACTCCAGCATCTCTCAGTGCAACCTGAATGTGATTGGCCCACGTGAGTCCCTCTCCAGGACCCCCATTATTGTAGAAAGTGTAAGGAGTAAAGTCGCCAGTCAGATCGGCCCATTCGGTCAGCCAGGTCTTCTTGTTGGTACTGAGAGGGTAAGTGGGCGCTGAATCGTACCCATGGCCAGTCACGACGTCAAGGTAGTTGATAGCTGGATCAGGACCCGCTTCTAGACCGGCCATCATCGCTTCTTGGTCATCCCAACCGATCCCATCACAACAATTTATCTTCAGATCAAGACCAGACTTCTTGATGGTCTTGGCCAGCAATCGAATGAAATCAGCAGCCTGTGTGCCGTTTGAAAGCATGCCGGCATAGGTGGCTGCAAACTGGGGCTCGTTCAAAAAGCCTAAATGCGTGACATCTACCCCAGACTCTTTGTAAAAGCGCGCGTACTGGACGAGGTAATTGGCATAAGCCTGCATCCAGTCTCCACTCGCACAAGATTCATTGGTCACACCACAGAGGTAGCCACCATTGTTCTCGTCATCGTTTGTTTTCATATAACCCGGGGCCGACCAGGCATCAGCGTAGAGAGTTTGAAGACCACGAGCGTATGCTTGCTGGGCGAGAGGGAACTGGCCGCTATTGTAGCGATCCCAAACATAGTCGGGCTTTGCATTGGGGCCCCCGGGGTTTGTTGGCTCGATAGAGTTCATGAAGTTGCTGTCGGAAGTATTGCTAGAGCCAATTCCATTTCGCAGAATGGTGAAGCCCGCGCCAACTTCCTTGTTGTAGAGAAGATCCAGAACAAGGGACTGATTCACAGCTGGTAAGCCATATTTGCCAAAGATATCTTCAGCACGCTGGAAGGCTTGAGAGGCTCCGAATCCGTCAACTTCTTGGAATTGAGCCTTGGGGTTGACAGACACGGAGATCAGCGATGATGATGATGTGGGCGTTGCTGTGACTCTCGCGACTAGCGCGTTGAGAAGAAAAAGCTTGTCAATCACGGAGAACTTCATTTTGTCTGGAGGAAGTAAAGCGATTGAAATTCAAGAAACTTAATACTGTCCAAGTATTTGGCCGTGGACATGCGTTTGGTTTAAAAATTAGCAAGCCTTCCCCAGGAGCTTTGGAAAATAGCTTCGGGTCAATACAGATTCCATCAAGCATCAAGCAATTTAGCATAATCTGGAAAATAAGCCTGGGTAAACGCCAAATTGACTCTTCCGTCTCAGGCGCTAGCCGGGATTCTTTCTTAGTCTAGTTGCCGTTCGCTTCGACAAACCCACCCCTCACTTCCATGTAAGCGCCCACTGGGTCAAGTTCATTTTGCCTGAACTAAATAGCCGGCTATTGTCAGAAAAAATGGCATTCAACCCCGATTTCCCGTGCGATTATCGCGTGATATTTCGCTTTCCCCATATCTTGGTTAGTCTGGGGAATACGGGGGACGCGGGGAAAGCAACTCTGCTCTCAACTTGCCAAGACCTCGAGCTCCTCCAGTTGATTATTCCTCCCTACCAACGCAACATTATATACGTCAATTCATTTTCCTTTGCAGTTCCCCGATAACGTGTGATGGGCAATAGGTAAGTTGCTGGTAAGCCGCCCATTAGCTGCTACGGTCAGATAATATTATACAGCTTACCCTCGGCCATTATTCCCCAGAAGCCGAATATATGCCCAGACCTTTACAGGCTAAGACATTGGTGGCCCCCCCCCCCCACGCTTCAGCCATTCAGAATAGCCACCAATCACTCTTCTCTGTACCCCCACATCTGAATTCCAGGCTCTTAGAAATGGCACCAATAGGGATGCAACTCGCCTCAGTGGTCACAAGGAGCACTTGGGCTTTATGCAGTCCGGCAAAATTGGCTATCCATCTCAGCAATTCCGAGGTCATCCAGGATATGTTGGTTGCCGCTTTTGTTAGCAAGGGGCGTCTTTCATAAGAAGCGACACCCCATGCACTCCGTGTATATAGAGTTTCGTTGACCTTCATCATATCTCCCTGGACACAAACTGTGATCGGCAAAACCCCAATGTCCACCGCACACGAGCCCAAAGAGGACACTGCTCATCAGGTCATCCATGATGAAGTGGTCGCCCCGGACCACGAACTTGAAGGCTGGGTTGGATTAGCCGAAGATGCCCGCAACGCGACCGCGGAGGAGCATAGACTCGGTTTTTTCGATGCTGTCAAACTGTATCCCAAAGCATGTATGTGGACGATGGTGGTTTCTTTGGTCGTGATCCTCGACGGGTACGACACTGCCTTGATCGGTTCTCTGTTTGGTTTCCCTGCTTTCCAACGGCAGTTTGGCCATGAAACCAGCAAGCCAGGCTCATACCAACTGCAAGCCAAATGGCAGACTGCGCTGGGTCTTGCTAGCCCGCTAGGCAACATCGTCGGCATTTATATCAACGCCTTCTTGACCGAGAGATGGGGCCACAAGAAGACCTGTTTGGGCACATTAGCCTTCTTGACTGGTGTTCTATTCATCCCTTTCTTCGCCAAAAATGTTCAGGTCCTTTTTGTTGGAGAGCTCCTCTGTGGTCTCGCGTGGGGTGTGTTTACCACTCTGGCTCCTGCATACGCCTCCGAAGTAGCGCCCGTCGTCCTGCGTTCCTATCTTGAAACATACGTTGTTCTCTGCTGGGGTATTGGTCAGTTTGTCGCCACCGGTATCTTGGACAGTCTCGTTCATCGTACGGATGAGTGGGCGTGGCGCATCCCTCTTGCGGTGCAGTGGGTTTGGCCCGTGATCATCGTTCCGGTCCTTATCTTTGCGCCCGAGTCTCCCTGGTGGCTGGTCCGCAAAGGTCGTATTGCGGAGGCCGAGAAGTCTATTAAGCGACTTTCGTCTTCCCAGGACCCAGATCACGCCAAGAAGTCAGTGGCACTGATGATTCAGACTACCAATCTGGAAATAGCAATGACGGAGGGGGCCTCATTTATCGATTGCTTCCGTGGAAGCAATGCCTGGCGTACGGAGATTGGTTGCATTGTCTGGACTTCTCAGGTTCTCAGCGGCTTTGCCATTACCTCCTATGCTACTTACTTCTACGAACAAGCCGGCCTGGCTACTGCCGATGCGTACAAAATGAGCGTTGGCCAGAGTGGTCTTCACTTCCTCTGTACGCTGCTATCTGTATTTATCACAGGTAACTACGGTCGTCGGTCTGTCCTCTTTGGTGGCTACATTGGCATGGGCTCATCCATGCTGATCCTGGGTATCATGGCTTGCGTTCACCAGACCTCGGGTTTGGGTTACGGAGAATCTGCTATGTTTCTGCTCTGGTATGTCTTCTACGAGCTTACACTCGGCCCGCTTGCTTTCATCATTGTGGCCGAGATCTCCTCCACTCGCCTACGATCCAAGAGTATTTCTCTCGCGCGCAATGCCTACAACGTTGCAAACGTGTTCAGCTCCACTGTCGCCCCATATGCACTCAATCCAACTGAAGGCAATTGGAAAGGCAAGACAGCATTCCTGGCCTCTGGTTTCACCATTGTCATCACTCTTTGGGCCTACTTCCGCCTCCCGGAGTCTCAAGGACGCACATATGAGGAGCTGGACATCTTATTCTCGAAGAACTTGAAGGCCTGGGAGTTCAAAGATGCACAAATTGACGATGATGCCGCGGAGAATATTACCAAGCAGGAGTAGGGGATCGATCTAGTATCTATCCCATGGACCTGGTCTCTGACTATGATGAAGTTGTTGTTCGGTTCATGTCGCAGTATGATGTAATAGGGAAATGAAATTGTATTGGCGTGCTTCAGACTATGATATTCAAGTAGTGGAAAGCACGAAATGCTTCAACAATGAAATATTCCGTGAAATTTACCGTAGCCGTTCAAAAGTATTTGGGACATACCGCTGTTCTACACCGCCTACCTACAGTAGCCACAGGCGCCCTCGCGCAAGCGGTCGGATCTAGTAAATTCGCTTAAAGTATTCGCTACTTTGTTAATCTAACTAAATCAACACCTCGTCGTGTAGACGAGGTCATTTGATACAAACGATGGTGTCGGCAGCTACGTAGCACCCTACGTCATCAGCGAAGGGGTTATGTGTCTTCTGACAGATAGTGTTAGTACCTCTTGTAGGAGCTATTATGAGTGAAGACCAACACCTGAATAGCACGGTTGATCGATATATATCTAAGAAAGCTAAAGATGTAGCCCATGGTGCATTTTTGGCCTATTGGATATATCACATGACCGTTGCCGTCCTTCTACCCCCCTATACATACCTAAAATGTTGACAGATGGGATACTAGTTATTGAGATATTGAATGAATTAGGTGGTTTAACCGGCAGAAAAATAAGTGGGGCACGTAGCGTGTTCCAAATACTTTTGCACGCTGAATGTAGATGTTGGACGTAATATTTGATACATGTTATTATACCTTCGGCACATCTTCGGAGATGACAGAATCATGGATAAATATGATGACGACAATATGCCAGTGATTGACACCCCCACGCCAGTCGCTGACCCGAAAATCCATAGTGCGCCCAATCAGACCCAACAAATGCGTGGCATAATCTTAGCCTGTAGCGGGTAAATTGGGAAAGTACCAGGATCCGATAAATTCCTGTGTTAACCCCGCGGAGCAGAAAGAACATGAATTTTTGTTGTTCTCAAACTACAATCTGCATCACTTTGCTCAAAAGATGACAATTGAGACCGGCCTCGATGGGTGGCTGCGGTACGCTGCACTTTCTCCGGCATTGAGCAACGCCCAGCAGCGCTATTCGAGCATCATTGTCCTGGACACGGATGAGACGAGTCCTGTTTACACGGCCGCAAAAGAGTTACAAGATGGCCTGAAACGCATCCTGGGCCAGGACATTGAGTTTCACTTCCAATTGACCGGCGGATCTTCATCATCCATAGTTGTCGGCACCCTTGAATCATTCTCTTCGGCGGGTGGCAACACCAAGGACATTCCAGAGCTAAAGGAGGATGGTTTCTGGCTGAACACCCACGCTGACAACAACTGCGTCCATATCGTTGGTCAAAATGAGCGCGGTGCTATATATGGTGCGTTTGAGTACCTCATGCGTCTGGCACAAGGAAACTTTGATCCTGTTGCATCTGCAAGCAACCCGAGTGCCCCTATTCGATGGGTCAACCAGTGGGACAACCTGGATGGAAGTATCGAGCGGGGATATGCAGGCCCATCTATATTCTTCAAAGATGGTGAGGTTGTCAAAGACATGACCCGCATAGCTCAGCTCGCTCGACTCCTCTCGTCGGTCCGGATCAATGCTGTGGTAGTCAACAACGTCAATGCAAACCCCAAGCTTTTCAGCGAGTCGAATCTCGATGGTCTACATCGCATTGCAAATGCCATGCGTCCCTGGGGCGTAAGAATTGGCATCTCGCTATACTTTGATTCGCCCAAGGAGTTTGGTGGGCTACCTACCTCTGACCCTTTGGACCCCGCTGTGAACGACTGGTGGAACGATATCACCGCCAAAGTATACCGGAAGGTTCCCGATCTCGTCGGATACACAATCAAGGCCAATTCAGAGGGCCAGCCAGGACCGCTAACGTACAACCGTACCTTAGCCGATGGCGCCAACATGTTTGCCCGGGCCTTGAAACCCCACGGCGATGGTGTCGTCATGTACCGCGCCTTCGTATACAACCATCACCTCGATGAGTCTGTATGGAAACACGATCGCGCTAATGCAGCGGTCGATTATTTCAAAGATCTTGATGGGAAATTTGACGACAATGTCATTGTTCAGATCAAATGGGGCCCTATTGATTTCCAAGTCCGTGAGCCACCCTCACCTTTATTGGCCAACCTTCGCAAGACCAAAGCCGCCATCGAGTTCCAGGTGGCGCAGGAGTATCTCGGCCAACAGTCTCATTTTGTTTACATGGCTCCTCTCTGGAGAGAAATTCTTGATTTCGACATGAGAATAGATGGTCGTTCCTCCCACATCCGTGATATAGTTTCTGGCGAACGTCTTGGGTGGAACCGCAGCGGCTACACCACTGTCCTTAACATCGGGAGTGATTCAACCTGGATCGGGCATCATCTTTCTATGTCTAACCTGTATGCCTACGGCCGGATTGCCTGGGACCCTCTCTCGGATCCAGTCTCTGTCATTCAAGAATGGACACGTCTCACCTTTGGTCTGGACAAGACCATCGTTGACATCATCGCCAAGATATCAATGGAGTCGTGGCCTACTTATGAGAACTACAGTGGAAACTTGGGCGTCCAGACCCTATGCGACATTATCTACACCCACTACGGTCCTAGCCCTGGCTCCCAGGATGGTAACGGATGGGGTCAATGGACACGCGCAAATGCCCATTCAATCGGCATGGATCGCACGGTCGCTACTGGCTCTGGGAACTCCGGCCAATACCCAGCAGAGGTCGCTGCCAGATATGAGAATATTGAAACCACACCTGATAATCTTCTTCTCTGGTTCCATCACGTTCCGTATACTCATCGTTTGAAGTCCGGCAAGACAGTTATCCAACATTTCTATGACGCACACTATGAAGGTGCGGCGCATGCACAAACTTTCCCCTTGGAATGGGCAAAATTGAAGGGCCTCATTGATGATTATCGTTTTGAGCAAGTTGCATTCAAATTGCAGTACCAGGCCGGCCATTCAATTGTCTGGCGGGACAGTGTCAACTACTTCTATTTCGCGAAATGTGGTATCCCAGATGAGAAAAACCGCGTCGGAAACCACCCATGGCGCATCGAAGCTGAGGATATGCAGCTTTCTGGCTACAAGGTTGTCTCTGTTACACCCGCCGAGGCAGCTTCTGGGGGAAAGCCGTCATTACCGAAACAAACGAGGCACCCGGCACCGCCCAAAAGGAACTCACCTTCCCATCTGGCACATACAATATTGCTGTAAACTACTATGACCATTTGGGTGGACGGGCCAAGTACGAAATTTCCCTTGGGGGAAAGTTGATTGGATCTTGGGTTGGTGACCTGGAAGACAGACTTGGACACGACTTCTCGGAGTACTTGGATGGTCACTCTGCAACCAGGGTTACCTTCCGTGGAATCAAGGTCGAACAAGGCGACTTGCTGAAAATCGTCGGCCAACCTGATGGTAGTGAGCTTGCGCCTCTGGATTATGTTTCCATTTTGCCCGAGGGGACCATTGATTAAGCTGTCTTTCGGGCTACATTGTGTTGCCTCGATGATAAATGATTCTGAGCTCGTTTAGATTAACAATATTGATAGAGGTCTGAGTGAGATCTTTCACCTTTGAATCAGACCCCAAATCGTCGACTTGGCGCGGAAAAGCAGAAATACTGACCTCGTGTCCAGCATTCAAGTACTGCTGAATGGTTCATCTATGTAATGCCTTTGTATATTGCATTGGAATAACCCTGACTCTAGACATGGAATATAGCGACTTATTTTTCTCTCGTCAGCTCCATCATCCCCATAACGGCTGTTTTATCAACATAAGCCGCATTGTTACATCCACATACTAGGTGCGTCTTCCCAGAAGGATATGGGAGATTTAGTGTCCTGTAGACCATATTTTGCAAGAATCCCATTTGCATGAAATTAGAGCCAGAAAATACATTGAAAGCTTGGGGTGGAAACTAATGTTACGGCAGTTGCTCTAAACTCTGGCCACAAGCCTCCCTGCCCGCCATATATTCACAGTACTATGCGCATATTTTTCATTCGACATGAAACTAGGACCAAGAACATGGAAGGATCGGCGGGTTCATCCTGAAAAAATATCGCTTGAAGCAATTCAGAGGATTTAATTGGTTGTTCTCAACTATGTACTCCAGGTTTCAATTTCATGAGTTGTACACCCGACACACTTAAAGGCTATAAACGAAAGTGTACTTCTTATCACCTAACCGTGTATCATCAAGGCGCTCATTTTCAAAGTCGAGCTCTGACCACATCGAGATCTTACGGGCCCGATGGTTATTGACAGCACGCAGTGTGAAGCGATAGGCCGCATACCCAACTAGGGCAAACCCAACGAATCCCAACGTTGCATGGAGAGGAACGAGATATGTCGGCCCGTAGTTCGAACGGAAGAGCTGCGCGCCAATTACGCCTGCGAGGTTACCAACTCCGTTGACCCCAATTACCAGGGCTCGTTTCCCGGGTGCTGAATATGTTGTTAGAATATGGTCTGGAGGAATCACCAAAAGATGTGGGACTAACCTGGAGTATTGCCGCTGAGCCAGGCCATGGTTAAAGATGGAGTAATGTAGCTGCCAGCGAGAAGGACACATAAAGCTACGTAGCGGCCAGTATTTTGGTCCACTGTAATGATGACGATCAATCCTATCATGCTGGTGACGAGCCCTGCAATTGCATGGTAGCCTCTTTCCATGCTGAGGTCATAGTCAGCAACGGATACACGGAAAAGGTCAGTGGCACTGAGCACTCACAAATGATCGGAACTAAAAGTTGCAAGATACAAACCCAGGGCACCACACACAAATGGGGGTACAGACATCTGGTCCACAGTCAGTATGATCAGCATAGGGTTCTAAACCCCCCAAAAAGTCCTAAAGGGATCAGAGGGAGACGATTGCTTACCAAATTGGCCTGGTTTGAGCTGAACCCCATTCCCTCGACGACAACGGGGAGAAAGATACTAAAGGCTTGACTTGGAACACTCGCGCAGATGTTGCAAATCAGAATGGTCCAAAGTTTCCAGTCCTTCGCCGTCTCAACGACATCCCGCATAGTCAATCGCTGCGAGAATACCTCGGTATTGGCCACCCCGTGCTCGCTTAGGACATATCTCTCATTGTCAATGCGCATCCTCTGAGCTGCGAATTCCTTCTCCTCGCGACTGAGAAACCAAGCGGATCCGGGTTGCCTGGGGAGTACAAGAAGGGCAAGGAGGGCGACGAAAATGGTCATTGAACCCTCGATGAGGAACAAATATTGCCAATTATGCAGAGCACCCTGAAGTTTGAAGATACCATATGCTTGTGCGTGTCAGTCTTTTGAACCCTAGACCACGGTAAACTCAGCTTCAGCGAGTAGAGTGAAAGACATACAGATTGCACCCGAAAAGGCACCGGCAATTGCGTATTGGCCATAGAATATACCAATCCGTGTGGCTAAATCGAACCGAGGATAGAAGGTAGACAGGTAGAAGAGTACGGTTGGGTAGAACCCTGCCTCGAATACACCAATTAGGAGTCGGATAGCAATAAGCTGGCCTGTAAAAGTGGTGAGCAGTCTGATGTCTCACGCCTGTCATAACCTTTTCACTGACCTCGACCATGGATAAGAGCGTTGGACAATGTCAAGACTCCCCAGACCGCCTGGGATGAATCTTTGTTAGCCACAGTGATATAGGGAGAGAAGGTCAGAACCAACCATAAGGAAAGGCATCCAGTACTTAGGGCCTATCATCCTTCCAGCGGCCGCAGAAATGGGTTGGAAAATCACAAACGTGATAAAGAACAGAGAAACAGCATCATTGACATCATTACTTGTTACACCAATGTCCTTTGCGAAATCTGGGACCAGGATTCCATAAGTATCTGTCGCGTGATGGAAAATGAAATGAACGGGGAAGAGGGGTTCGCTCGGAATAAAGACGTTTGACGTGCTGACCTTGAGTTTTGGCATTGCCAATATTGCCTCGATCTAGGCCGTTGAACATGTACAACAGGGAAAGCGATGGAAGCAGAATAAAATCCAGCTTTCGGTTAAGGGCACGACTCAGTCGTTTCTCTTCATCAGTCTGGGGATAGTATCCGTCAGGAAGGTTCACCCTGGTCATAGGTACTTCCCTTCCTGCCTTTGAAGTGACATTCTCAAGGGTAGCGGCGGTTGATTTTGTTTCGTTGTAGTGATCCATTTTCCCTCTGTCGTAATCAAGCGCTTTTACTTGAAGAAGAGAAGGAGTGAGAGGGACTGGAGACATCAGCAGGAGGGCCTCATCATATACCTTCTCTTCCCTGGAATCTAGCTGTTCTGGAAGCACAATATTTCAGTTCCGATGTGGAGACCCCGCATTTCGCATCGTATTGTTAGATCATGAAAATCAGACAGTTACAGGGCTCGGATAGTGTTTCCCCAGTTCATCCTCCGGGGTACTGTACCCGACGAGATGAAGTTTGCCACCGGGTTCTGTACCCGGCTATGAAAAGCTCGAAACAGGGGCACGAACTAACCGTTTAAGGTTGTCATCCGACAGGTGTGGGTACAGGGTAGAGTACCCGGGGGCAATGTCAATAACGTGTGGGTGTCCGTAAGATGCGCTTGGCGTGGGGTTCTACGTTGGTGGAACATAGGCCTGTTTTCGAGCACCTAAGAAAATTTATATCTTTGAACCAATTCTCCCTGTAATTGTTGTTTTCGGTGTTCGCAAGTACTGGATGAAGCATCGGCCCAAAGGCGTCATCTCTAAGCCAGGTTCGGGCCACACAGACATTCAAATATACCCAAAGATGGGCTCAGTCGAACCTGTTCGTTCTAGCAAGTCGGGGAGGTGGCTCAAAACGATTGACTGGGGATGTAATGGCACTGCGATGTCGTTCGATCAATTTGGAACTGTGAATCTCCCCAACGGCATGTACTTGGTCAAAGTCTAACAAGCTCTTAGTTCTTGCAATTGGGAGTCTATCATCCAAAACACGGAGTGGTGCTACTTTCGCCTTTCGAACAGTTTGACGGCAGTCGCTTTTATGATCCGGCGTATGTGCGGTCGTATCGCACTCGCCCCTTGAACTATATCGAACGAAGCATGCCGGGATTCGGCGTGCAGATTCAAGGACAGCCTGCCGAGCCAACAGTAGCCACGAAGCACCCGGATAGACTACTTTTGAGCTATCTTACACAGGATGGTGTCCGGGTCCAGAGGACCGTCTCAATTGAAGCCAATGGTAGCGTCAAACAAACAACAGTCTTATCGACATCGGATTCTTCAACACGATCTGTTCCAGTTCAATTAAGTTTCGGAATGAGTCTGAACCGTGCTTCGTACGGCCAGTTGACTGAAGGCGGACCTATTCCCCTTCCGGAATCTTTGAATTTGTTCCGAGTGGCAAAGGATGGTAGCAGCTTCACGATGCATAACCCCAATCTCCAGGCAAACGCCGAGGGCATCCTCATGGCTGACTCGGCAGACTTCGAAGGGATGACATTTCACGATGACTGGCAGACGTTCCGTGACGAACCTGTTCAGTGTCTGGGAACAGCTTGTGTCAGGCTTACGCCGGGTGTTCCAGTCACAATCACACTGTCATTGCGTCTTTACTCCAACTTATCGTCCGGAACACATCTCGGTTGTGAGCAGCCCCTGGATCCCACGTGGAACCTCCAAGATCCGGTGGCTTTTAACATCATTCATGGAAACCTGCAATATGTGCTGGGTAATTGCACAATCCCAATATCAGAGTCCAGCACCTGTGTCATAACGGACCATGTCGCCCTACCTCTCGGTTGGAACAGGGATAACTAGTAAGCTTCATACCCTGGGTTTTGTTGATTGCGGCTGACCTGGAACAGCTGGCAGGTACACTTTCTGATGGAGGTCTTCCGCCATGTGGGACGCATCGCTGATCCTTCCACCGCCAAATTATATCAAGATACAATCCGCAAGGTGGTTAAAGGACATTTGAATTGGGTATTCCACGATGCTAAGCGCCCACAGCGCCTTTGGCACCGGTCATATTTGGCGACAGGGCTTCCCAAAGACGGTCCGATCTTCCAGCTGGATCAACAATGCTATCCTTTGATTGAACTTTGTGATGCTTTAGAGTATATACCGGACTTGAGAGACTTCGTTAAAGACATACTTCTTGACCCGACGATACCAGACATTGTTGCTCTCCTTTCCGAAAAGAGACACTCAAAGTTCGGATTATATCCCACGGATGAAACACCGGGCGATGACCCCGTGGTATTTCCCTTCCATTTCTCTAGCCACGTTCTTGTGTGGTACGTTTTCAGCCGTCTTGCAAGCCTATTGAGAGACACTGGCGACACATGCAGCCTTCAAGCATCGAAACTCGAATATCTCGCCCATGAGACACTCGAGGACACCATCAAGCATTTTGTGGCTGTTAATCCAAAGACCCAGACAGAAATGTTCGCATACCTCACTGACGGATCCGGGAAACATGTCTTCTACCATGATGCAAATGATATCCCGACATTGTTTGCCAAAGAGTGGGGATTCTGCAAGACCTTCAAACTGGAAGATGCCTGGGCGCAGACTTTTCAATTTGCTCTCTCTCCTGGGAATGTTGGCGGTTTTTATGGGAACGGACCATTTGGTGGGCTTGGTAGTGTCCATACTCGTGGCCCTTGGCCGTTGGGTTATTACCAAGAGCTTGTGTTTGCAGAGATGCAAGGGGATCTCGATGCGCGGTCCAAGGCATGGTCGAGGATTAAAGGAGCAAGCTTCTCCGATGGGCTGTTTCCTGAAGCCGTAGATGGACATACCGGACAATGCACGAGCAAGGCATGGTTTAGTTGGCCGGGGTGTATGATCGGGTCGGCGCTTCTTCAGGATCGGGCTGGCCAGGTATTGCGTCATTGAGAAAGATGACAAGATTTAGCAGATCGCACGGGGACATCGCGTACATTCCTAGCTCTGTAAAATTCAATCTATTCGCGAAATCGGCAGATATTTTGTAGTCCTTTCAATGCGTGCCACTGGTAAATCTGCCCTACATTGGAAGGTCAAGAAAGGGTTGGTTTAAAACGTAAAGACTGGGCATAGAGGCTTTGGTTCTGTTCTTGGCAAAACCACCCTTACCACTGATCTCAAAAGGGCCCATCCTCCAGCCAGTGATTGAATTCTTCCAGAACTCTGTCAAAGTCGAGTCCTGGACTTAGACATTCATCCAGCGTAAATCCCATCATCGGAGAAGTTGTTATCTCAAAGGAACCAGTGGACATGTCACAGGAAATTTCAGCACTCGGTGCCAGCGGCGGGAGATTGGTGTTTGTTGATATCCTCCGCGACATCTCTTGCATCAATCTTTCGCACAACTGACGAAAATCTGCTAGCACAGTAGAGCAATCTCGAGCGAAATCATTGCCATTGAAGGCGGCATGCTGAAGGGCGTCAAGGACATGGCCGATCTGCGGACTGGCATTCATTGACGTACCGCTCGGTCGACATAGACAGCCAAGCTCAAGTATTATCGCAGCATTGAACGCATTGTGATAATCGATCATCCCAAAGGCCGACAAACCCGAGCTTACAATCTCGAACAGTCGGTCCGTCAATTTCACATTTTCAGATGCTGCTTCCGTGCAGATCTTGAGGAGATATTGGTCTGGTGGCTCGAACCTGGCAGATTTTGGCAGGAAAGTTCGGGCCACGTTCTGTCGAACGGCTGAAAACATGAGTTGTCGCGTGACAAGTATTCTGGCCTGTTGGATCAATTTAGGCAGTGTAAGTTATTCTCCCAAGCCCAATGCCAAGGGTTGACTCAATTCCCATGAGGTACATACCTGGTTAGATGCCATATGCAAAGTCAGAAGATCCCGAGGCGCTTCCGCTCCCAAGCAACGATCAATACCAAGAGAGGGATGCACTTGCGAGCGCCAGTGATCCAGTTCATCCAGGAAGTGGTGCATATGGGATAAGCCAGGGTGTCTCGAGCCCCGGCCACCGAATCCGTAGATTTTCTCAACTGCACGTCCGAGGATCCGACCGAGGTTTACGTGCAGTGTCAGCCCTGAAGCTGCTGGAAGACCCCTGTCTCCGCGTTAGTGAAGATCAACGTCATATTGCAAAATTTTTCACGCACTGGACCTCTCGCGGAAGGTCAACACTTATATCGTCATCAGATATCATCGACGGTCGACCCAGCAGGCAGCTCAAAAATCTGAGCAGTGGGTAGTCAGCAACGGAGAGCTATCAGCTAATCATCTCTGGATACAGACCTATCTAGTGCGTAGATTGTCCAAAATTCTCGTTTTTCCGTTTCACTCGTTATCCAGTTTTGATGATAGCCATACGTGACGGCAATATGGCCGGCCAGCCGGATATAAGAGTAGGCTGCATCGCGCCTATTGGCACCTAAGAGATAATAGCCCATCATGGCAAGACAAGGAATGTGCATCCGAGTCGCCGACTCCAGTGGCGGCCCAAGTAGGAATCGAGCATGAGCAAAATAAGTGTCCCCGGTCTCTGAGTCCAGAGCCCTAGAGGGAGATTGCTGTGCGGCAAGGGCAAGAGCAGCATTAAGCGTACCCAATTGAATCCGATACTCAGCGGATTCTTTGGCGGCATGTTTGGAATAAACCTGTGCCATGACATCGATTAAGGGACCCCAGTAGAATATACTTACTTCATCCGCACCCAGCATCGTACTGGACAATAAGGACAGACATCTCTGGGTCTCCTCGATCGGTGGCAAATAATATGGGTCCACTATAGGTAGGTGCAAAGGTCGCGAGTCGTGAGTTTGATACCTGCCCAGTAGATTTGAAAAGGAGTCTTGAATCTGCGAGTGGCGAAGAGTGCCATTCTTTCCACAGACAAGTGGTAGGACAGTGCTTGAGAATTCTCGAAGCTGATCCAAAAACGCTGCGCCCGAGGCATTCCCAATGAACCTTCTCTGGCCATCCGGATCTGCTAGAAAGCGGCCTCCGTCCGCCAATTCTTCCAGGTATGGCGCTTGCGGGTCGAAGTCCACTTTCGTCCCCGAATTGCAGGCTTGAGATGTGGTGGTGGCCTGAGTATTGCGTACTCGCCTCATTAACTCCGTGCGTTCTTGAGTGGACGGCACAAGTGCACTGAGACATGCTCGCAAAAAGTTCTCATTTGCTTGTAGGTCATGATATGTTGCCCGAGAGATCGTTATCTTCTCTTCTGAGGCCGACGGGTAGACACAAGTGCGCCCGGTGGACTGGCATGCCTTGCATGGGCTCTCGCCCGTGCACTTCATGCGACGCACGTTGCATGAATTGCATCTACCTCCCAGTGTTAGTGAGATGCATCACACATCGCGCTGCCTTAGGATAGTCGACCCCTTACGCTTTCGAGACCCTTTTCCTCTGTGCCGGTGGCACTTTGTATCGCCGTCGATTCGGGGGCAAGCGCTGCATGACTCAATCCTTGGTAATCAGTAAAGTGTAACTTTGAGGATTGCAGGCGTTGGCAAGATAATTTCACTTCACCAACCCGAGAATTTTTGTCGCCTCCTACGGTCGGCTATTCCCTTTCCATATTCCCCGCTAAGCAGTCGACCGGTTCTTGAATTGATCCGGCTGCGACATGGATGGCTACCCTGGCTAGCACACGCTTAGTAAGCCCTTTTCTCAGGGCCTGTAAGCGGCAAGTCTTATGAAGAGCACGTGATAAGGTTGTTTGTATACATTAGCTCAATGATGCGAAGTGGAAAGGGACAATTTGACAGATATGGTGATCATCAGCAGAAGGTGGCGAGAGGTATTATTATTCACGCCCAAGGTGTCTATCTAATACCTGAGATAGGTTAGGTAGTTACTTTAGACGGATAAATTAATTATTAATTAACTATATGGGCTTCCTTAGCACCTGGAGGTGGAAACCAGGCCCGGCCACTTTAGGTACAGGGTTGATGTGCCCTAAAGAACAGACTATTGTTGTTTCTTTGGAATTTACTCGATGACTATTGTACTTGTAGTAGTATGGACCTGCAGCTTGATCATTTTGTGAGGATTTTCAGGCTATTAGTTTTGTGTTTGTGGAGCACTTTGCAACCAAAACCAACCTGGATGATCATACAACTTCCTGAGTCATAAATCTAGATAACTACCATATAAGGAAACATTCAATGGTGCGTAGAAGTGTACAGTAGGGAATCAATTACTGGGCGTGATCTGCTTTTCGTGGCGGATTCGAGGCCTAGACCAACCTTCGGCCTAGTCTCTCCTAAAATATATTTTCTGCAGGGCGGCAGTGTGGGGCCCGATGCACTATCGAACAAGGCTATAGAGCAACCCACTAGCTTCACTTATTAGGTCTGTATCCATTCTGAACAATACATTAAACTCGCTTACCCACCCTCAGAAAATGGGATTAAGAAGAATAGTGCATTGGTGACTAGTCACCCCAAAATAAAATCCAGATACTGCACCAAAACACTCAAAGTATCAGGGATTCATGAGCTGTCATGTTCTCCACCTTTGAGAACTCGCGTTTCTAGGATCAGTGGACCATATGTCTGAGATGATCCACCGGGATCATTCAACAGGAATTCCCTGGTTTGAGGATAATATTTCAATGAGAGGGACTCACAGATTAGAAGCTGATGTTTACAACAGTACTAATTGGATCTTACATGCCTTAAATAACCTTGCTGCAAATTACGTTTCATCAAGTCTTGTTCATCGCAGACATTCTGAATTAGCTGGGCGGCTTTAGCGCTAGATATTCTCTATACAGTGGTTCGGGTCCCTTTGCGGAGCGGCATATACTGACATATCGGAGTATTTATATCCAAGAAAAACGTAGGGGCGTTCGAAAGTAAATCTGACTAAGAAGTGACCTCAGAATCTATCTATAGAAGTAAGTGCCAAGGGGAATAGTGGATCCATAGGTATAGAAAAGACCCTGCGACAAAAAGAATAAGTGTTCATGTCTTGGCGTGACGCCGAGATACTGATACATGTCAAAGTTTGTCGTCATCCTTTCTTGGATCTTTCTTGGATCTTTCTTGGATCTTCTGATTTCTTATGCTCTATTTCTACACCGTTGTGGGAGATGCTTGAAGAGATAGTTATAGTTCCTCGATAATGTCTAGTCTTGCTCACACTCATACTCATACTCAGGGCAATTTCGGGGATTGTGAATCCATCAGTCCTGTCTAGCTGGAGCAAGCGCAACCTTGCCCACAATAGCATCAATTTCTGCCATGACCTCCGGTGTTAACTTTTCGAGTACCTGCAGTGCTTTCACGTTCTCAACGATTTGTTGCGGGTTCGATGCACCTGTGATCACCGAAGAAACGTGCTCATTTTTGATACACCAAGCTAGTGCTAACTGCGACTGCGTGATCCCGAGTTGATCGGCAATAGGCTGAGATGGAAATAATACGTTAGTCTCCTGAATCATTCTAGATCAAGGAATGAAATCTCGTCGGCGGTGAGAGTATGTTACAGAGACAGCTCTGCTACCACGAACGGTCAAACGCTCGCATCAACACATACCTTGAGCTTGATCACTTTGGCAATCGTCTGTCTCCATTCATCATTACCGTACATCGAATTTCTCACCATATTGCTAAATTTGTCGTTGCTTTCGGCAAAGCGTGATCCTGGGGGAGGTTGATCAGGCGAGTCGTTGTACTTGCCGCTAAGCAAACCCATCTTGATGGGGCTAAAGACGGTCAGGCCGAGGCCAAACCGGCTGTAAAGGCGCTGATATTCTCCCTCAACCCGCTCTCGCGCCAGCAGATTGTATTGTGGCTGCTCAACCACTGGGGGGATCAGGCGCAGCTCACGGGCGATGCCACAGGCCTCGGCAATTTCGTCTGCCGACCACTCAGATGTTCCCCAGTAAAAGGCCCAGCCACGCTCAATGACGTGGTTGAAGGCCCGTACCGTCTCCTCCATGGGAGTAAGCCGGTCGGGCCGGTGGGCGTAGACGATATCGACGTATTCGAGGTTTAGACGCTTCAGGGATGAGCAGAGACCCTCGACGATGTGCTTGCGTGAGAGCCCATGGTTATTGACGAGCACCTCGCCATTGGCACCGCCCCAGTTGAGTTTTGTGCTCACGACAATGTCGTTACGTTTCCACTTGAGCTCCTTAATTGCCTGGCCCATGACGATCTCGGACTGGCCATCTGCGTAGCTGTACCACTGTCAGTTGACCCTTGACATAAGACTCACGATTAAACTCACCTCTCAGCGGTGTCGAAAAAGTTAATACCGCAGTCGTAGGCCTGCTTCATACACGCAATGGTTTTTTCTATTCTAGTGAGTTTTGGAGGTTTGGCGCATCATGGGAATGAAGATTCAAACGAACCATTGTCAACGTGCCCTCCAAATCTAAGACATTCTCATCAGCACTTTGAAGATTACAGGGAGCATCAATCCAGCTTCAACATACGTGAGCCATCCTCCGAGGCCTAGAACCGAGACATGGAGCCCCGAATTTCCCAGCCTGCGGTATTGCATACCCGTGTTCCTAGGTTCAGACCACGCCATATCTGTTTGAGACTCGCTACTGGTAAATAATGATAATAAAGAGATAGTTGAGTACTTTGCTAGGCGAAGCTCTGGAACGACAGTGGAATTGAAGAGGGAAAGGAAAAGGAAAAAGGAAAAAGGGCGACCTCCAGACCTTCAATCGAGACCCCAAACGATTGGTTAAAAAAGGTAAGGTCTGACCGGCCTAAAGCGGTTAGCCCAATGCGGTACCCGGTGAAATTCTCGGAGTCGCGGGGTAATCGTCATAGATTTCCATGATCGGAAGCATGTTATTAGTACTTTTTAGGAAGATTGTTGTAGCTATACAATTTTCTCAACGTGCGGAGCTGGCGGTGTCCAGACCAACTGCGAAATTGTATCAACTTATCGAAGATCCGCTGTCAATTAAAAGGAGCCATGGAGATGGCAGAGGCCCTCGTTGGCTCCGACAAACAGCGGGATAATTGCCTTTTTTCAGCTATTTTGGAGAGATGTCCCTTATACCCGAGGATAGAGGAAGTCGGTGTGAAATCATAGGAGATGTTCGTTAAGATATTATAATCGGGTCCTGTTTGAAATCCCTAAATTTTAGCCCCCACGTAAGACAGTCTTAACAATCTCATACAAATCGCAGTGAGGACGTCTCGCAAAGAAAGCTACGCAGGCGAATCTAAAACTACAGAGGAGAAAATGAAGATGGCGAACTAAGGCTTTGATGTTTCTGTAGAGACCAATGGATCCGACAAAACTTGAGGCCGCTCCATGGTTTTGTATACGACCCATCTACCCTCGTTCCTATCAGGGTTATGCCGTTCACGATACCTTTGCACGATCCCATGCCGTCGCCAGATTGCCCCGGGCATTGAAGATGCTCTCGTAAGTCTGTGGCTGGGTATTGTATGCCTCATCCGTGGCCTTGACTACCAGCACGGCCTCAGAAACAGTCTTGCCATCATCGGGCACCTGCCCCTTATACCTCCAATGCCTCCAGCACCATGCCTTACTCCCACTCACTTTAGCCTCAGCATCTAACAGCTCAGCCTCGTGCCATGTCCTGCCCCCATCCATACTGACATCGACACGGATAATCTCGCGTCCCCCGCCCGAGTACGCATAGCCTTCTGCGCAGATGGACTCCACCTCGCCCCTCTCGCCTCTGGTTGGTTCGACGTGTGTAATTGCTGAAGTGACAGGCATCTCTTGTATGGAGCGAGCGCTTTGCCAGTTCGGATTCTTGATGTCACTGGGGCAGAAGCTCTTATAGTCACGCTGCTGCCACTGGGTGGGCGACTCGTCCGGAGATATTGAGATGTGGGAAAGCCACTTGACACTACGTGCTGCTACCGTGCCCGGGACGATGACTCGCACGGGATAACCGTGGTCTCGCGGCAGCTCGGCGCCGTTCATGTCAAATGCTAAGAGCACATCCCCCCAAGGGTCGAGGGCCTTCCGGATAGGGATGGACGCTCCGTACGCCTCCATGGCTGAGAAGTGGACATGTTGAGCATCGGTTGGCAGCTCCTCGATATTGAGACCAGCATCGGCGAGAACATCAACAAGCCTGACTCCCTCCCACTCAGCAGTGGAAATAGCACCGGCCCTCCACTGCAGGCCGTTTGTCGGCCCCGCACCCTCCGTCATGGACTTGCGGCGATTCCCGGCACACTGCAGTGTAGCCGTTACCTTATGTGTTTGAAACCTCTCCTTGAGTTCCTTGACAGTGTATTTCCTCTCGCTCCCATCAGTCAGTTCGATGGTGACCTTGTGTTGCTCTCCATCTACGGCGGGAACCCAGAAATGGTTTCGGACATAGAATAGCTCGTTCCTGGTAATGAACTCTCTGAGCCCTAACTCGGGCGTCTCTGCGTTTCTTGGACGAGGCGTTAGGGTCACGAGTCGCGCATCACGTCCCGGGTCATGTTGGAAAGGGTCCACGATGGCGTCGTGGGGTACCCGACCATCCTTCAAATCAGCATCGTCTATCTCGCCAATCTTATACTGCTCCAAGATTTCGTAGACGTCTGGCCGTTTATGAATCGTAAAGATGTCCCAGTACGGCTCCAGGCTACCTCCCGAGGCGGCTAAAATGACTTCGCCTCCGGGATGAGCCTCGATCCAATCGGTAATGTCGTAGACCGAAGTTCCCCCTAATAACCCAGGGGTTCTTGGATGACCTGTCGTGCTGTTTGACTTCAGCGAGGCGGAAGGTTCTGATCTTGGTTGCCTTGACCTTCCCGTGACTGTTGTCGTAGGAGTCGTCAGTCAACAATTGCAGCGACCCGGCAGCGACCCCAACAGCGATGGCACTTCTGCTCGCGAGAGCGGCCCACGATATACTGGTCTTGGGATTATTGTGTGCATGATGCGAATAGGATCTGATTTGAAGGTGCGTTGGCAATGGTAGTCGACGAGCATGTCTCGCATGCTGGGCATGGGCGATCCAGCAGCTGCTGTCTAGACATGCCAGCAGTCGGCCGGAGATCGTGTATTTCAGCGACATGATCATGACCGTCCGTGGGAAATTGCAATATCGTCAGCTCTCAGCTGTAGCATCTGTAGCATCTCCTTGAAGTGTCCAAGAAGATGTCCAGCCACCGGCCACATTCCCGAGGCCTATTCGTCTCCATAGATGCTTTCCCCCGTAGATTGGAGCTCGCACCCCCGACATCATTCCAGCTCGGGGAGTACCCCAGATACTCACGTGAACGGGCAATGAGGTTGGCCCGCTGTTGACGTGGAGAGGTTATCCGGCACTAAGCTACGCTAGCCGACGCTAGTGGGTACTGTTTCCTTACTGTTCCCCCCCCTGGGATTATGGGCGGAGGCAGTCGGAATTCCTGCTTAGTGGATCATGCTGCGCACCAATAATATCAATCAGTCTGAATTGCTATTGCCCCTAGCTGGCAATTTATGTGGGCAAAATAATGACTAATCTTGGCGGATATACAGTATCTCCTTTCTCCGAGTATCCACCAATCCTACTGCTCCGTCAGAGGCTCTGACCGGAGAAATTATCGGCGGCCATATTGTAGCACTCCACATCACCAGAACGAGTTCGCACCCGCTGTACCCAACTAAATGATGTCCTTGCGAATTCATGCATTTGGAAAGACATTTCGGAGAAAACATCGGTCAACTCGTGATAGTATGCTTCATTCCGGCGATTTAGGGCTAGCCACTTGGTGGGGATTCCGGGTTGACCCCCCTCTGCCCTAACGACCACGCTTCCTGTTTAAGATTGTTAGTTTGCTTTGTGCCTGTACGCTGCAAAGGACCACAATTATTGAAGAATTTTGCTGGCCCATTAATCTGTCCCACGTTCGAAGAAATCATGTCACCGCATCATGTCCAAGATCTCCTAACCGAGTCACGACGGGCTAGGTGGAAGGAGGCCTCGGTATACCAGACATGGCCTGCGTCCTTCAAGGACTCGACGGGGTCGGGGACCGGGGATTTGAAGGGTGTCATTTCCAAAGTTGACTACCTAAAGAAGCTGGGCGTCGATGTCATCTGGTTATCACCCATCTTCGAAAGCCCTCAAGTCGATATGGTGAGTTTCATATACTCTCGTTAGACAGGCACACGATCGTGGAGCAAGTTGCAAGTTGTTTATCATAGTTAGTTCCCTATCATGTGGTCATCAACTGATGCAAATATCCCATCCCCAGGGGTACGATATTAGTAATTACCGCGTGATTGATCCACGGTATGGCTCTATTGAGGACGTTGATGTGTCGAGGGACAGGCTGCACGAACGAGGCATGAAGCTCGTCATGGATCTTGTCATGAATCATACCAGCGACCAGCATGAATGGTTCAAACAGTCGCGGAGTTCTCGCAAGGACAAATATCGCGATTGGTACATCTGGAAGCCTCCCCGGTTTGATGCTCAGGGCAACCGACTACCACCTAACAATTGGCAGAGCCATTTTCAAGGTACGTCGAATTTCATCTTAAAGATCTACTGGCCACAAAGCGGAATGCAGAATTTACGTTCATCGTAATACATAGGAAATGCGTGGGAATGGGATGAATGTACAGGAGAGTACTATCTCCACCTCTATGGCAAGGAACAGCCAGATCTGAATTGGGAAAACCCTGCGGTTCGCCACGAAGTGCATGAGACGATGCGGTTCTGGCTTGACCGTGGCATCGACGGTTTCCGCTTTGACGTCATCAACTTCGTCAGCAAAGGCCATGATTTCCCAGATTCATCCGGCGATTTTTTCCCGGGATCTGAGTTCTATGCCGCTGGACCTCGACTCCACGAGTACCTGCAGGAGCTTGGGAGAATCCTTCAAGAGTATGACGCCTTCAGTGTAGGCGAGATGCCATGCGTTCATGACACGAAAGAGATTATCAAGAGCGTCCAGGAAAACCGAGGCGAGTTCAACATGATTTTTCATTTTGAGCTGTGAGTGCTATCAAACCCCTACTTAATTTCCTTAAGATGACATCGGTGCGGGGTCATTTTCGTATTTATTTTGCGGCAACCTCAAATTGCTAATTGGCATAGAATGGACATCGATCATGGATCAGAGGGGAAGTTCTTCCCTGGCAAATGGTCACTATCGGAGCTCAAGCGCACGGTCAACAAGTGGCAGCAATTCATGTACCATAACAATGGCTGGAACGCCCTGTACTTAGAGAACCACGACCAACCGCGAGCCGTGAGCCGCTTTGCCAATGACAGCCCCGAATATCGCGTGCAGAGCGCCAAGATGATTGCGGTCTTTCTCGGACTACAGGCCGGCACCCCTTTCGTCTACCAGGGCCAAGAGCTTGGCATGCACAATGTGCCTAATGATTGGCTCATGGAGGAATACAAGGATATCGACTGCTTGAATCGCTGGAGGTTCGTGTCTGAGCCAAGACTATGCTGCCAGTTGTATTGAAGTAGCGGCTGACTCCCCAAGCAGGTATCATGGCCAAAATGCCGACCTCGAAACGCGGGAAATATTCCGACAGGAATATCAGAAAAAGTCTCGCGACAATGCACGCACCCCCATGCAGTGGGATTCCAGCAAGCATGCTGGGTTTACCTCTGCTGAAAAGCCTTGGATGACAGTCAACCCCAGCTACACCGTCGTCAATGCCGCCGCCCAGCTTGATGACCCCAACTCGGTCTTTAACTGCTGGCGGGCGGTTCTGGAGGCGAGGAAGAGGTACAAGGATATTGTCGTGTACGGACGCTTCGACCTTGTAGACGAGAATAATGACAAGATCTTTGCGTACTCACGAACATCACCAGATGGTCGGGTCTTGGTGGTGTGCAACTTTTCAGCTGAGACGGTTGAATGGGTTAGTATCTCGGCTACCGTCCAAGAGGTGATTGTGACGACGACTGGCCGACCTCGAGAGGGTCTCCAGAGGGGTGAGATACAGTTGGATCCCTTTGAAGCCATTGCTTTGTTGGTAACGGAATAGACAAGTCACATTCTCAAGCTACCACAAAACGAAGACTCCCGATTTATAGTACATGGTTTCACATTTTAAAAGTCATGCCAAACGCTGACCTGAGTCGTTAAATCAATGGCTTTACTCTCGTGTGCGTCCCATAGTCTACGCAGCTGCCGCGTCAGAAAACTGCGAATCCAAGCTCTCAACAGAATCCCACATTGCGTTACTGGCAAAAAGCAATTCCATAGTCCCCGTAGGTTCCATATTGTTGAATGATCCTTGTAATATCTGGCTCTGGTTGAAGAGCTCTTGGTTGGAGCAGAGCAGTGTATCGGGGATGTTGTCGTCCCAGGCCACTACTTGTATTGTCGAGACAATGTCAGTGATATCCTGTGGGAATCCTTGGCCTTCAGTATTCGCCTGCCCCTCATGACCCTCGACGGATCTCAATGGTGGCGATTTGGGTAGATGCAAGGTCCTGGGCTGTTGACTGGAATCAACTATTCTTTCCCCCGAAAGTGGCTTGTAGGACAGGCCATTATCAGATATTTCATAGATGCGCGGGCTAGGGCGAAGCAGGGCATCTGAGATGCGAGCATGCAGTAGTGGCAAAAGAATCTTGTTGCCGCCACGGCACGAGGCCAGCTTGCTCTGCAGCCGGAGGAGGATTTCCCTGGGGATATCGAGCGAGACTGGCTGGCCATTGAACTCGGTGGTAACCGAATCTATCACGCCCTTTGCAATCTCGTAAATCTTGTACTCCTATATAGCCGAAAAACATGTATGTGCGCCCCCAATTAGTTATTTGATACTCGTTCTCGTCTCAATTTTACAGGTCTTGCTTCCTTACCATAGCGGGTCCGTGGGCTTCTATCGCAGAGCTAGGAAGGTGAGACATGTTTTCGAGGAACTCCTTGGCAATCTGGATCGGGTGTGAGAGTGAGGTCATGTGCTGCTGTGACGAGCCAAGTGTCGATTTGCGGCCGATCGATGCCCTCCATAAGATGACCTGCATCCACTGGGTCGTGACGCAGATATCTGCCGTTTGGATGTCGTTGGTCTCCCGCGATTGAATCGAGGCCTCTCGCAGCTGATGTTGGAGGAGACTGAAACTGTTACGGTTGAGGGCGTGCATGTTCTCGTAAGGGGGGAGTTGAATCTCGTCTGAGGTATGTAGGATATCAAAAGCTCCCGATTGGTCGAACATCAAGAAGAGACTTACGAGCTTCTTGAACGCAGGTAGGACATGAGTCTCGTCGTCGGCTTCGTCGAGGTTGATGAAGCGGGGGTTGTACCGCAGCACGACGGGCAATTTATGAAGCATCGCCACCCCTCTAAGCAAGAAAAATGATAGTAGTCAGAAAGGTAGATCCACAAAAGACAGATGGTTGAAGGAAATTTAACTAGATAGTGAGACACATTGTAGTGGGTTAGTGAAATGTGGTTCGAGCTTACCTTTCGGTGACAAACAGCAGGGACAAGATCCTCTGCCGCATCTGCTGATCGCGGGTCGTCAATGAAGAATAAGTCTCCTCTCGGTGCAAGCCCATAATCTGGGCAATGGTAATAGCCTCCCGGAGGTAAAGCAAGGACCTTGACCCCCCCGGCGACCGATTCTCATGATAGACGTGTAAAAAGAAGGACACGCGCAGGGCATTGATATTCATGGTGGAATCTTGTCCATCTTTCCGGAGCAGGGCATTGGCTCGTTGGCACTCGGCCTCCATCGAGGCTCCAGTTGCCATATCCCCGTTCTCAGGGCTATCTAGCTTAAGCTGGGCGATGGTCGCGGCCCCGATGGCATTCGCAAGGGCATAGGCGTCCATGTTCTCGGGATCGCGGTGAAGGTATCCCATAACCTCTTCGACGTCAACGATGGGCCAGACTGGAAATAACCGTAGTCGGTAGACACAAAGCCGCAGAACCAGAGACGATGTCGATGTCCGGCTGCGCTCATCGCTGCTTGGTTTGTTAGAATAGTTTCTTCTTCTTTTTGTCGTTTTCGTCCTTATTCCTCCTCTTTCACTCTGCGCCGCAGCACGCTTAGTTCATGGCATATGAGAGGACGTTACCCACCTAGTATGACTCGTTGAGATGATAGGAATTGAACCAGGGGTAATGACTTGATCGACATCGTTGGACGCGGGCGGTGTACTCGACAACCTCTCTGATGGTGTCTGGCCTATTCGCATCCCGCTAGGACTCCCTGCACTATCGTGCCAGCCATGATCATGCTGCTGCTGAGTCGCAGTGATCCGCCGGATCGTCTTAGCTCGTAAGCCTCTGGGGCCTCGCACCAATGGACGTTTGTTGAAGGTACACGCGATGCCAGCAGTCACACAACCCGAACATGGCGACTCACTCGAGCACTTGACCTTGCGAAGCTTGCAAGCGTCGCAGGCCCATTTACCTATTTTTCTCGTAGGTTGCGGCATTGTCCTTCTAGCTGCATGCGGGGAAGGGCCTGATTATTGGAGTGTACGGAGATGTAGGCTAGAAGAGCCGGCGGTGCTAGCACAATTACGGTTTAGCCTCGTTCTACTATTGAACATTTGAACGCGGGGAAGTGGCGACCTATCAACCCCCTTTACCAGGACGCCAGGCCTGCGCGGCTCCTGATTTTCTAGTATTAAAGGGGTTTAAATGGTGATTTTCTAAACGGAGACATTTTCGGGTACAAGAGGATCACACATGCCACTAGCAGTGATACCAACCATTGCAGAATACAGAAGCCATGGTAACTCAATTCGAATTGGCGTCTTGGACAAGTCAATATACAAAAGGAAATAAAGAGCCCTGCCCTGATACACCTACCAGTAGACTCGCTATCTAAAGTTGCCGATTTCAATACTTCAAGGAGACCCTAAACCAACAAAACCCATTCGTGTAACATAGTCGTGATTTCCCTGTCTTATCTGCTGCAATATCCTCCATAGTCGCTATTCTCTAATATGAGAAACGGAAGTCCAATCTTTTATTTCCTTCACTCTCCCGAGCTGGAATATCATTCTGGTACGCCGTCTGCTGGTCCACCGTCATGGCTTTCCACACTACATCCTTCTTCCGGTTCAGATGCCGTAGAAACTCACGCTGAATGATAACGACAACCAGGGTCAAGATGCAGATAGCGAGTAGCACAGCGTTGCCGCGATGGTAGTATGGCGCGTCATCGGCTCGGTAGATCTGGGAGCCGAGGAGGGAGCCGACTTGGACAATGACATTGTAGGTGGCGGCCGTGATAGCCCTCTTTTTGACGTCAAAACTGTTCTCAGAGATCCAGGAGGATACGATAGGGTGGAAGTACGGATCTGTATTTTATTTGTCTCGGTCAGCTGGTGCTCGGGCTGAAAGACCAGAGAGATAGAGCTACTGGTTGGAGGGCTGGGATCCAGAAACAAACATACAACCAGAGATGAGCGTCACCAGCGTAAAGCGAGACCAGTCCCGACCGCCGTTAGGCAGCGCCATGAGAGCGATGAGAAGGGGCATGACCCAAAAATTTCCAAAGAAGATATGAAAAGCCCGATCATTGAAATAGTTGCTGCTGAAGGCTATGGCAAGCATGGTGAAGATCTGTAGGACCGCTGACGGGACCGTCAGCATGTTGGAGTCAAAGGTCGAGAAGCCAATGCGCTTTAGCGTGAGGGTGAGGTAGCCCTGGACGGGTGTTGCAGGAATGTAGGCGACCAGGCCGATGAAGTAGAGACCCCACATAGACTTATCCAGCCAAGCCTCCTTGATGTTGCTCCAGTGAACCGGTTCTTTGAGGGCCGTCAGTCCCTTGGCCGGGTCGTCGCGAAGAATACGCTAGATGCAAATGCCGTCGGACTATTTATACCAAGTGGATATCCTGAGATAGTTGCAGTGAGGTAAACAAGAGACTTACATTGACCATGATAGCCTCTTCTCGTTCCGTGTACCAAGGCTTACGCCAGAGAATGCCCTTGGTCTGGGTCGGGCTGGCAGGAAGCCATATAAAGGCCTGTGGTGCATGGTATGAGTGATATGTTGTAAATTCATAATGTCGTTGGCACAAATAAGACTTACCACCAATGCAATCATGCATGTAAGGACGCCTTCCAAAAGGAACAACCAGAACCACCCCGTGTGGCCCCCGATGCCCCTCATCTTGAGGATCCCTGCCGCAAGGAGCGCTGAGATGACGCGAGCAACATTCAGAGTTGACCAGAAAACGGCCAGCCGGGTTGAGAGCTCCTTAGACGTGTAAAAGTATGTTGAGAACAGGATGACTCCTGGGAGCTCGGCCTTCATTAGAATCTTTCGCTTTAAGTGTTCTCACGGTGTTCACCATACCTGGAATAAATCCTCCCTCAAAGAGGCCAATGAGAGCGCGGGTAATGTAGAAGCTGGCGCGGTTCGTCATCCATGCCTGGGCCCATGCTTTTACTTGAATGTTAGCAAGTGACGTCTCGTCCTATGCGCTTCGGAAGGAAATGGACATACAAACGATACCCCACAGAAACATCATCGTCGGCAAGACTTTTTTGAACCCAAGCCTCTTCGTAATCATCTGGACAGGGAACTCAGCCGCCAGAAAACAAACGAGCTGGATCGTGGTTCCCTGTTTTGCAGGGATTAGCATTTCATTTCCGCGGGTAGGAAACCCCTCTTACATTGTTGTAATCATTGCTCGTAAGTTTCAAGTCCGTAAGCAGATCATCGGCGAGAGCATTGGATAGGTTTCCTCGATCTAGCTGGAGGCCGAAGAACTAGATTTACCAAAACATTCCGTGACTTGGCGCTACATATGTGCCATTAGGCCGAGGGAAAAGAACAGCACCCGGAAATGAGCAACGCCGACAACCTTACCATGATGCATATGCAGGAGAGAAGGTAGAAATCCGTCTTCTGGACCACTTTGCGCTCTTCATCGGCTGTCCAGGTCAAGTCGGGATCCCACCAGTGGCGGCCCTCGTACGACTCGTGCGGAGGGAGCCGATCGGATAGCCTCTCCCGACCAATCTGTACCAGCGAGACCTGGGAGACGCGTGCAACCGAGGTCTTGTCCATGTCGACGTGCTTCGTGAGATTTCGCAACATGCCCTGATTGCCACACTTAGGAGAGGCTTCAAGCGGTTGGCGAGCAACGCTTCGCGATTTAGATGGGTGAAGACCGAGAGTGAATTTTGATACTAGTGAGTTGGTCGATCACGCCAGTCTCCCCGTGGGGATCTCGGAGCATTAATGGGAGTTGAGTTGACATTCATGGGAGTCTAAGGGATGCGGTGTATCCACTTCTCGCGTTTCCCCCATGTTCATCACCTCAGGTATATCCGGGGCCCCAACGACCGCTACTCTCTGGAGTATGTCAAATAACCCTTCTGCTTTACCAACAATACGGCCGCTCGGGCATTGTTGGTCTAGACGAGCGTAATTCAAAAAACCCAGGACATAAGGGGTATTCATTTTGCATTATCCTTCGAAGCAAATGCAAAAAAATAACCACCAAGGGCTTCCATTCTCATAATTCCATTGGCCACTTCTTGTCAGATCAGATATTATTAATATGATCTGAGTCACGTGCACTCCAGTACCGGATCCAGTGTGGTATTTGCATTACCATTTGTAAATTACCACTGGCCTCATCCCGAAGTTCCTTCCGCTACATTCAGACGATGTCCCTCTCCAGCCAAGACCCCACGGAGTGAAGGGGACTCCACTTCCCAACTCCGAGAATTTCTCCGCCGCAATGCAATTGGTCTCCCACGTCTTCTGGCAGACATCGGGGAAGAAGGATTCCAGGCCATGAGTCGTTTCCTCTGTCAGAATTCGCTTGCATCTGTGGGTTTGGGAGGCTTCAACTTGGTTGATAAATGCATAGCTCCCAAGCCATAGAGACAGAAAGGTGTCACGCACAATAACTCTACTATCATACAGTTCCCTTCGAGTTTTATTACACCATGCCTTCCGCCGAAATCATCTCGACCAGTACAGGCGGGCCTAATATCGTGGGCGGCAACCCTGTAGCGAAGACCCGATGCCTCCAGCCGCTAGTATATTCCGGATCGCTGGACAGGTTCACATATGCCGACATCACACCCGTCATAGGCCGCGAGTATGAAGCTCTTCAGGTGACTGAACTACTCTCGGCGGATGACGCCATGATCAGGGATCTCGCCAGCATCAGTAAGCATCCCATATTCCACAATCCCGGCTACCCTCTGTATTAACCACTCCGGCAACTAGTCTCACAACGTGGAGTTGTCTTCCTGCGCGACCAAGTTGTCACTCCTCAGGAAATGAAACAATTCTGCCTCCGATTGACAGAAGTTGCGGGATGCGTAAGGAGCGCTTCTCCTAGATAGTACTATTTTCTGTGTAGAAATGCACCCGCTGACGAGTCTTTTATTAGCCCGAGTCGTCAGGCCTACATGTCCATCCGCTTACGGAAGAGGGTAGTGAGCTTGGAGACCAGGTCAGCGTTATCAGTAGTGAGAAGCAGAAGAAAGGGGGTGGCCTCACTCATCAGCTCAGTGATGTTAGCCGCTTTGCCAGTGCTGGTTGGCACACTGATATATCATTCGAACCGGTCCCCTCAGATTATGCAATGCTGAAAATTCACACCCTCCCCGCGACGGGAGGCGACACTGTATGTTGTTAACCCGATGCCCAATACCCAGGGCTCAAGGCGAGCACTGGTCGCTTGTGAAGAAACCTCCGTTTTGAATTCTCACTAAAAGTCAACAGCTCTGGGCATCTGGCTATGAAATATACGACCGCTTGTCCCCCAGCATGCAAAGATTTCTTGAGGGCCTGACAGCCACGCACGATGCGAGTTTTTTCCACGAGGAGGCGAGACGTCTTGGCAATCCGATCCGAAAGGATACCCGAGGCTCCCCGCTGAATACAGGCGAGAGCCTTCAAGCCATTCATCCTGTAATTCGAACAAATCGTAAGTGGTCGTGTCTTCGCAGGCCTGACGTACGTCGTCCGATCAACTGACTCTTGACAGCTGTGACGGGGTGGAAGTCTGTGTACGTCAATAAGGGTTTCACCAAACGCATCAACGGCGTCACCAAGGACGAGTCCGACATGCTTCTCAGCTACCTGTTCAATCTTGTGACCCAGAACCATGACGCCCAGGTGCGGTTCAAGTGGCGCAAGAATGATATGGCCATCTGGGATAACCGCAGTATGTGGCACTGCGCCACCTATGACTACCCTGAAGCTCGAGCAGGAGACCGAGTCGCCTCGCTGGGCGAGGCGCCCTACTTGGATCTCTCAAGCAAAAGTAGACGCGAAGCGCTAGGACTATGAACACGCAAGGAGAAGTTAATACGTCCTCCCGCTTTGGTAGAGTCTAACCTAGGGCAATTCGCTCAGCTCCGAGGCCTCTCTTTTCTGCTTCGTTCTGCGGGCCACGTTACAATAGTCTTGTTTTAATACTTATAGCAAGGTTTCTATCTGATGTTAAAACAAGTTGTTCATCGTGTTTGATACTCTGTTCGCCCTACTATTATCTCCATATAAATAAGGAATTTACTTTCGAGGAAAACCCAAGACCAATGCGTTCAAAAGACGATATACATTAGTGATTGTAAAAGATGCGATAAGACTCACCTTGCCAGGGTTCCTTTCATTGCACTTTCAACCCCCTGTTTGGTGACCTGCTTGGTTCTATTGGGAGCCCAGGTTAAACTCGGTGATTATAATCGAAAATTACACTCTCAAGAAAAAGCATAATAAGGATCACAAAGCTGCTAGGTGGTTCCAGGTCGTACAGTAACTAGAACAGACTGAATTGTCGCAGTTTGTTGTACTACAGTTAACAGTTCGATCGTGCGCAGTTCGATGGGGACTATGTAGTGCACTGTGAGCTTGTGCAGCTGAACCTAGTCAGCAATATTGGGAAGGAGAGGGCCAAAGACCTTCCTAGTGAACTATGCAGCATAACATTCACGGATTGCGTGTTGCGTTACTGCATTGACATAAGGGGGTTGATATTGGCGCCGGTGGGCTCGATAAGTTTTTTCGACACGATGGAGGGCTTTCTGCTGCCTACCGTTCTTCCATGTGTCAAGTTTGCATTCGATTTCGGGACGCATGGAGTTCATGAGCTCAACAAGGTCGTTCCCCGCTCGCCGCTCTGCAATATCGCGTTTCCCCCTTTTTTGCTTCACCTCGGCTTCTTGTTCCTATGTGCGCTCTGTGTGACTATTAGATACACAATGTTTAGGAAGTAGCTAGGTTCAGAACTAGGGCACTGGAAATATGATCTGGGAGGGCGGGAGAGGAGAAAGATAACAAAATACTACTAGACTCAAGGATGAACAGAAAGGGTACTGACCGATTCGCTGAGCTCCCCTCGACGCGAAGCTTTCCTGCTCCTCTGTGACTAGTTGAATCGACGTGTCCACGAAATCAATACACAGCTGCTGTATTAGCTGAGGACAAATCAATCTCATCTGGTCGTAGAATAATAGACCGAGCAACTCATTCGAGGTCACACTCGAAGTCGCTTGAAAATGGTGAGTATAGGGCTGGACCCAGTCTGTCATGAACGGCATCCTGTTGTGCTTATCCTCATTCTCATTGTCGTCAAACTTGGTCGGCGATGTCTGTAGTACAGGTTGAAAATAATCGAGAAGCACCACTGGATAAATTGCAGCACGAACAATGACATTTAATCGAGCGCTCGGTTCAACTTCACTGAAGATCCGCAGCTGCTCGTAGAGCATCCCCTGAACCGACTCGTCGGATAGTACCGCCGAAATTTCTGGTTGACCAAAGGTCAAATAAGCGAGTAGCTTGGAAGTGGAATTTTTTCTCCGCGGGCGGTATCATCCTCGTCAATGTGTCTGTGTCGACGATTCTTTGAAACCTTTGCAGCTGTTCCTGCAACAATAGCCGAGCCGTGTCTTTTAGTCAAACTTCAAAACTATCGGTGTATTGCTTATGAGTTCCTAGAATCAATTGCATCAATTTTGGCTAGTATCTACGAATATAAGATAGATCATCTTCATGATAACGAAGACAACTTTCCTGACTTTACGGCGGTTACCAATCGCATCATTGAATCAATTCGGGAAGCACCACCGAGACACGAGAGGAAAATCGCGCATCCAGCAACGTTCCAGGGAATACTTTTCATATCCCCCACCTGTCAGGTGGCCCTCGATGGAAGAGCTGACTGTCGGCTGTTAGCGGATATTTTGACTGTCAAAGTTATTACTACTCTGCCTTGGGTGAGATCTTTAGCGCGACAGAGAACCATGTGGCACCTTCCTGAAAGAATATTTTTAAGTTAAGGACAGGAGAAATTACTGTGACGGGTCAGATATGTATACGCATTTCAATTGGACCAGATGAAGGAGCCACCAACTAGTCAACTAGTTGGAATAAAGTTGACCAAGATTTTTCCAAGATTTCGGCTTCCGCAATACTTGCTTGGTTCCCATGGAACTCTACAAGATTGTGATCTTGCCACGCACTTCTGCCCGAGGTTCATTATATTTCGCGATCACCCGCTCGGGCATTATTTCTCTAACCGACGGCGTGTGATACGTGAGACCGGAGTGGGATCAATAATTAGTGCATCACGTAGCGACGAACCCAGCTGATTTCTTATGACAATGACGGTCCATGTATTTCGCCTGGAAAACACAACACCGTCACAGAGTCTTACCACCGCCATGTACCTTGGAAGAAATCCGACTCAACGCAGGAAGACCACGGTCGAATGTGGGTCTATTATGCGGGGTTAACCGGCACGGGGGAGAGAACTGAATCCGGGGGTTCCAGAGAGGAGATTGGGGTGGACTGTCATGTTACATTAATCCCTAGTCTCGGGTTATCAATGTGCTGCAGATTACAGAGAGCGTTGCAGTTGAGCTATCTTTTAGAGTTCTGAAGTCAGCGCCCGTGGCCAATTCCCGCCACGCTGCGGGTGAGATTCATCACGGGTACCATACTGCATTTGAAAATCAATGGTCGGGGCTACGCTAGGGCATGATAGAATGGCCGAGTATATCCGCGCCGAACGAGATTAGACGACTTCGAACCCCTGAAACTGAACCCCGACGGTCAAGTCTCTTCTCCGGCTGACCGTGGACGACGTTCCATTCACATGAGGACTGGGCTTGTGCACGGACGAGGGATGGTTATTCCCTCAACACAGTGAGCACACATGCACGCACGGATGCCTTGCTACAGGATCGCGCTCCACATTCTCCCAACATAAGCCTTTGTATTTTAAGCTCGGTATCTACGAGCCACGAGCAACGTGGAGTAGTGGCCCCTCCTATGGAACTCAATTTAGAAAATCGCCCCCAAGCTTTTCCGGAACTCTCGCGGAGCTCCGACCATCCCAAAGAAGAAGGTGCGCTATTCGGTTATGTTGAGTGGAATAGCGACCCAGCACTAGGCGATATCTAAGATTTAATAGGCGCCCTTGCCCGTCAGTCAGGCTAGTCATGTATATCTAGTTTATCTGCCCAATTTGAAACAGAACCATCCGAATATTTCAGGCTAGACGGCCAAATTTTGCGATCATGGCGAACGCAGGTGGGATTATGTCCATTGAGCCCATTGCGGATCCTCGTGCAAATCCACTTACGGAAAACGAGTTGACAAAGCCCGAGATTATGGAGCGCACCTGGGGTCTAGAAGCTCGAGTTGACGATACTGTCTCGTTCGAGGAATACGAATACTGGGCAAATATTGAGCGTGCCGATGAACTCGAACGAAACCGACAGTACATCGAGAAGCGAGGTCCGCTCACAGCCGCCAAAGTGCTAAAGGCACGGTTCTCGCATGGAATTCATCATGAAGAGAAGAAGGAGCGGGAAAGCGCTCGTCAGGAGCTTGATCAAGGCAAGGACTCTGGGAGTGAGAAGAATAATCTTTCTGGCGTCCAACACAATGAAACAGCTGTGACAGAAGAGGAGTGGAAGACTGCAGCCAGAGCTTTGAAGACAGCTAGCTGGGGAACCGTCTTCTTTCTCATCACCACTGATATCCTTGGTTGGGCATCGACACCGTACGTGATCGACTATCTCAACGCTTATGGTACCGGTTGACCACTGTTATTCTAACTCATCTATAGATACGCGTTCTCAACCGTCGGGTACGGTCCTGGGGTTGCTCTCTATGTCATCTTTTCTATTGCGGCTGGTATCAGTGGTTATATCTTGTGGAAAGTCTATTTGGTCCTTGATTCCTCTCGATACCCCATTCTGAGTTACGGTGATGCCTTTTTCCGCATATTTGGCAAAAGGTCACGCCACTTCATCAATGTTACCCAAGCATTCCAGCAATTCATGACTGTCGCTGTCCTCATTCTGGGTAGTGGTACAATCATTGCTCAGCTATCGAACGGGTCAGTGTGTTATATCGCCTGCCTTGTAATCTTCACGGCTTTCGGTATCATCGCTGGCTTGATGCGTGGCTTGCAGCACGTCGGCTGGCTGGCTAATCTCTCTGTCTGGTTGAATATCGTCAGCTTCCTCATTGTGTGAGTACTATTTCACTTTCTTGCCTTAGGTTTGATTCTAATGATGGCATAACAGCATGGTTGCCGCCGCGAAATATCCTGTCTATTATCCAGCCACGACGCAAGGCACACGTATTCACGACATTGAGCCAATTGTGAAGTTTGCAGGGCCACCCCCGTCACCGTATCAGCCTGCAGCAGTTGGTTTCGCTGGGCAGTTGAACGGTATCAACCAAATGGTTTGTAAGTAAACAACCCTAAATGCCTCGATTTTCATCTTATTGCCACCGTCTCCGGCTAACCCATGATATCAGACAGTTGGGGTGGTGCTTTGCTATTCGTGGCCTTTATGGCTGAGATGAGACACCCAATGGACTTTTGGAAGGGACTTCTTTGTGCACAGATATTCATTTGTGTCGTATACGTCTTTTTTGGGGTCTTTGTAAGTCGAACTCTTATGTGACGATGTCCAGTTTCCAGCTAATGACGTTCGTCTCCGGGAAGGTTTACTCTTTCTACGGCCAATATTCCGCCCAAGTCATCACAACTGCAATTCAACCTCTATCATTGCAGACTGTTGGGAATGTCTTTGCTCTGATAACTGGTGGCATTGCATGCGGTAAGTGTCTACTTTTCAACGTTCAAACATCTCGCACTCTCTCATCCAGATCATAGTTATGTATTTCAATATCGGCATGAAGACCGTCTATATTGAGGTATTCGAGGAGGTTTTACACTTCCCTCCAATTACGACTAAGAAAGGCCGTTGGATTTGGTTTGCTTTAGGCCCAGTGTATTGGATCATTGCCTTCATTGTTGCCGCGTCCGTTCCAAATCTGAACGGTATCTCTGGCCTTGTTGGGGCTCTTCTCATCCTCAACTTTACCTACACATTCCCTGCTATTCTGAACGTCGGGTTTAATTGCCAACTTGGTGCCAAACTTCCAGGTGAAGGATTCAACCCGACCACTCGTGTTACCACAAGACATGACAACGGCTGGAAAAGATGGGTTCGCGGATACTTTAAGAGATGGGCAGTCAACATTCCTAGCACTCTCTATTTCTTGGGCGGCCTGGCTCTTTCTGGTATGGGCGCATGGGCAGCTATCGAGGGTTTGATCATCTTTTTCAGCGGACAGGGTTCAGTCGCCACGTCATGGGGATGCGCTATTCCCGTCTAACCCCTAGTCAATTGGAGATTGTTTGACATGACTAGTGCACATACGATGAACTCTTAAGGAAAGGCTGGGGACTGCTGATGTAATTTATGTGCCCGCATCTGACCACCTCGAATTATCCATTATTCCCATGGGCCTTCCCTGAGTTTTTAGTTGCGAATCCACTAGTCTTCCAAGTTTTGCGAAATGAATCAATCAGTACAGATTCTTTTGATAATGATTAAGGTTCTAAATTTATGTCCGAAGTCATTCAAGCTGGTGAGTTTCTCATGCCTGATTAACTAGCAATCTACCCTGCAAGTAGATTCCCTTCACTTTTTCCCTCTATCATCTTCCACAGAGATTGCCTCCCAGTATCCCACCTCTCCGGAGTAGTCCATGAGGAGATTTGGAAATTTCATAGACCCACATAGCCTGGCGCGAAAACATGGACGGCGACCCAATCAGGATAACAAATGAAAGGTACGGCCGTGTACGGGTCGATCCCAGCCGAGGAAAGGCGTAACAAAAACCTCCGTGCCTGATTTAGCGGCTTTTTCACTATTTTCTTGTTTTCTTTGCAGCATTTGCCGTTCTCCATGTACGAAAGTAGATGGCCTGTGGGCCTCAGCATATCAGCGTAGTCGGCTAAACTCCAGGCAAGTGGGCCAGGCTGTGGAGAAACTTTTGGTGCTACCATATCAGGCAGGCGAAGCCACTTCTTTCAGAGATTACTTGCAACCATGCGGACCATCTAGGGTCGATGCTCCTTGCTCTGGTTCTCTCGTAGTTGCCTAGTTGTGTTTAACTTGAAAAGCTGCGGATCCGCGCAGTCCGATGAACAAATCAACAATTCTCTATTGCACATTCTGCTCCTACTCCAGCATCTTTTAACGGATAGCAACCGCAATAGCAATCTCTGCAGACTCATCACTTTCGATGAGGCCTGCAGAACGACAAGTGAGAAGCAAAAAGCGAAGAACCCTTCCGAGGTGAATCTGTAGGTAGATACAACATACATTTGTAGACTCAAATTGAGAGGATAACCTTTGCTAACCCTCCAGGTATAAAAGCTGAGACTCTCCTTCATCCAGATTTGCTATGTACGAAGATGAGACCGTCGTTGAGTTACCGTTCCAGACATCCGTAATCTTCCAATTTCTTCCGGCGATGCCCAGATCACTCAGTGAGATCGACAACTTCTGCACACCCGCCAGCGACGTACCGAAACCTCCACTGCCCTGATCTGGTCCGTAATTAACCAACAGAACATAGGCCTTATCCGACTCATCTGGTCCACCGATCCAAGCTTGCAGTTGCTGTGCCAGATTGTTACCCGTCCCCGGGTTCCGTGGTTGCATCGGATTCAGGGCGGCAAAGTTGGCGAATGCTACGCTTTGAGTGGATGTGAGCAGCTTCATGCCCAATTCATCGATGTGACGTAGATCGCACCCGAGGATCAGATTGGCGCCTGCGCCAAGCCAGTGGTTCATGATGGTGACGCGCTCCTTATCGCTCACACCCGTCAAGTTCTGCGGGTTGCATGTAAACAAACCGTCCAAATCCGGGTAAATTGTGATGGGAACATTTTGCTGCTTCTGCAGCGAGATGTACTGGCGGTAGTTGTCAATTGCACGCTGGACAACTTGCCAGGTAATGAAGGTACTAGTTCCGGAAAAGTTGATATCCTGGTCAGTCCGCATTGAATCCGCGAGGGGAGCTCCATACATGGCAGATATGTCTGGTTGCGACACAGCTTCCACGAGATATCCAGTCGGACTTGAGAGCCAGAATTGGCGATCGCCTTATGGTAGGCCTCAACTACCGCACTAGTGTCACACATCAGGTTCGCCCCATTCTGGGGGCTCCCCGGCATGACGTAGTCGAGCTTGATCATGTCCAAACCCCAGGATGTCCATAGTTCGATCAAGGAGTCGTGCCACTGCTCCACCCCATCCTTTGAAAAGTCCCAGTCACAGTGATCAAGCCCATCATTATTACCATTTAGGACATCCCCAATCTGAATATTTGTACCTTTGATTGTCCGGTTGGTTGCACCGCAGGGGACTCCAGGGATCGTGTACACACCCAGCTTCAGTCCTATCCCATGAAGCTGCTCCGCGAGCTGTGGTAGATTGAATAGTTCGTCGTTATATTGAATTCGCCCATACTCATCGACGTCGTTCGTGGACCATCCTGAATCCACGCTGCAAAGGTCGTAGCCCATTGCGCGAAAATCAGTCCCAGCAAGCACGCTGCATTGGGCAAGAACACTCTCTTGATTCAGGCCTGTCCATTCCGGTATGATTGATGTAGAACTAGGGAGCGCTTGGAGTCCCCACGAGTTCCACCCGCGGCCGGACGAAGTAAAGCCGTTGGGAGTCTTCGCGGTACGCAGAACTTGTAGCGCACCAGAGTTAGGTTCAGGCTGAGGGTAACAGCCATTGATAATCGTGTCCGCCTGGTCTTGAATACAGAATCCAGGGCCATGAGTTCCAATGGTTCCACTTGACGAGTAGCACCCTTTCTCGGCCGCAATCCAGTACCATTGCCCGTCACTCCCGTCAAACCACGTGCCCGTCATCCGTCCGCCAAGGATACAAAATTCAAGAATGTCTTCAAAGGCACTTGCATAGTCGCTGTTACTGGCCTTGGATGCCTGTTGCTGCATAGAGACGTTGCCTTCCAAATCTTGGCAATCTACCTGGCTGGCATTTACAGCAAATTGGTTGATGCATTTCTGCACGGCGTCGTAGCATGTCTGTGTGAAGTTGATTGAACCCGGGGTGTAGCTGGCCCCGCCGCATGTCCACTGGGCCGCAACTTGTGCGAAAATGCAGGTGATGCCGACTATAATAGGACAAATCATAGTGACAGAAAGCTGGTACCTGTGATTGTTGGTCCTAGAATGTCACCTCTGGGGTTGAGCTATTTATACCTAAATGTTTTAGGCCCCACTTTTCGTGGTGACAGAATTCCGACTACTGACCTTAGAACGTTCTTCCTATCAACCGCCCTAGTACCCCTGCCTAAGCTCGGGCGCATGCTACTTCCTAATTAGGTAGTTCAACTTCACTATTGTGAGAGAGGGCTATTGAGTGAAAAATGCCTCTTAGGTAGTTATAGTCTTGATTGATGATTGAGTCATTAAACATCCAATTTTCCTCTAGTTATAATCCACCTTAATAAATAGATTCAAGTGATAGTTCTAACTAATTAGTTAGGAGGATAGATAAACTTACATAAGCAGAATTAGGTTTCCCTCGTAGTTAACTAGTGATGTGACTTACCAAAAGTAGATAATGGAGATTCTCCCGGAGCGGTTAGCCAAATTTCAGTTTTATTCCTTCATCCTTCCGGGAAGCATATTTCACGCATATAAATTAGTGTGTTAATATTGGCTAATAGATTGGTAGAGCAAAAATTGTATGTATCATTAAATACTAGGGGGACTACTATCTACAAAGTCATCAACGTGTTCGTCATAACTATGCGTAACCCCTTACCAAGCCACCCGCCAAGCCACCCGCTAATCCACCCGCTAATCCACTACAGCGGCCGATGACGGCCACTGACCTAAAACCCAATTTTCATGGGCAGAAAGACCGTTAGAATCATTAAGTTGGCCAAATACAACTACTGTGCGGTATACAGAATCGCTAATATCTTGATTTTTGCCAAGCCAAATTATAGAGCAGCTAATCTCGAGTGCATAAGCGTATCAATCAATCAATCAATCAATCAACACTCTATTAACTTGATGCAGCCTAACTAGTGGCGTAATGGCTATGCAGGTGCTTCCTCCGGCGGAAGCAAGAGTATTCCGAACGCCAGACCCGCGCATGAACCAGTAAATACATAGGAAAACGGCGTATTGCTATATAAAATCAGCCCAAAACAGTATCCAAACGCCTGTAATGTCCTCAATCCGACGATATATCTCTCAATTAGCCCTCACATTGGCCCGCTGCTTCCCCTGTACCTCTATCTCTGTTGACCCTCCCTGGCATTCCTATCCTCCTGCTTCGTTCTCAATTAGTAGCGTTCATCGTCGACTGGCGTGTTGATATACTGGATATATTCTTCTAAGACCTCTCGGTCGGCCTTAGGCTTAGCGTTCCTCCTACCTATTGTCTTCACTACCTACGCTGCTAGTCTATCCTAGCTCGTTATTCCGTCGCCTCCGGGTAGTTCTAGCTCGATTTCGACGTGCCGGAATTGCCCTAGAAGGCCTATTTATAGTATAAATTTAGCTACGTAGCGGGTAGCCTACGAGTATAATATAATTATATCGTAATTAGTCGAATCCCTAAGGTTAGTAGCTCTAACCTTATTAAGGAAGGTCTTCCTTAGATTAGCGTATAACGGGTACTATATTAAGATATATCTCGGTATTTAAGACCCTTCTCTATAGTAGTACTTATCTAATTCGACTACCTTAATCTTAAATAAGAAATAATTTAGTACGATCTATATAGAGCGTATCTAGATTAGAATCGAGGTATATAGCTTTAAGAGAGACTTAAATAGCCGTAGTACCTTCTTATCTGGAGCCTTTACTAATCGCTAGTTTAGCCTACTAGTCGTCTCCTTTACCTACTCTTATACCCACCTCTCTATAATACGCCCCTATATATAGCGCTTCGCGATTAATACTAGAAGGATATAACTAGCGGATCTCTTAGGGTAGGGTTATCCTACTCTATTCGCTATATCTCCGGTTGCTACTAACTTTACTTGATCGGGCATTATACCTTGTGCCTTTTCGCGTATGCTATCTTCCCGGGACACCTAGCTGATGCTAATTTGTCAAGTATGTGATGTCTTACCTTCACAATTACTTGTATTGGTCACCTTCCCTGATTGCCTGTTTCTGCTATGCTAATCAGGCCCACAACCATTCTTGGTGCCGTGTAACTTAGTTATTAGTATTGGTACTTGGTTGCTCATAACTAGCTATTACTAGTTATAGCCAGCTACTTGACTAGCTGATTTAGCTACCTATCTGTCCGAGACTAATAGACCTCCCTCAAAAGTATTCTTTAGTTTGAACATAAATATTCTTAGCGTTTCTTATTTGTGGCGAAATGTGAGGTATTATGATTATACGCCCTTTCTTATCTGGTTTACCATGATATTCTATTACGCAAAATGGCTTTTAGAACGTTATTTTAGTTATTTCTTTACCTACAGAACACGAGTTTTGGGGTTTCATTCATGTTTTACCAACGAACATATTTATGGTGGACCGGTGGGGCACAGAGTCTCTCGGCCAAGTAAACGTCGTTCAATTGCAGGAAAATTTCCTCTGACTCTTGATATTAACTAACACTATAATATCGGCTCTAAGAAACGACAACTGGCATAAGGGGCAGGTGTTATGGCCTGCTAAAACACATGCATCGAGACAAGTGTCGTGGAAAATATGGGGGCACATGATGGTGTGAATCAGCTGGGATTCCGAAACAGTATAGAGACATATGGTCCTATTTCTTGAATTAGTTACTGTTAACCTTGCTAGCATTAGTGCAGTTACCAAATAAACACAGGATCAAGGTCTAGCAGGCTTGCCGAATGCGTAGAATCCCGCCAGGTTTTCAGTTTCTTCCTGGGCGCTACGTTGTCAAATCTTCTCAACTTGCGCATATTGCAATCATTAACAGGAAGCTGGAAGATAGTACAAATTTGAGCCTCCGGTCTTCGAATGCATAAAAAGTAGCCGTTGTAGAAAATCCTTTTGAGAAATAGACAGTGAGCTACATCAGATCCGACTAGCAGTAAAGGAAGGTCGGAAATTACAGTATCAAGACAGTAACACAAATGACTATACCATATAACGGCTGCACAGGCGCAGGACCCGCAGGGCACGTAGGACTGGTATTATTTACACTATTGTTCATGAGACAGACACTATCGTTCATGAGACTTCTCTTGCCTACATAATCGCGTTGCTGGAGAAAATATACTCTTGATAAAGGTGTGGGGCGATGGCCATTATTCGGCCAGCCAAATTGAGTTTAGCATCAACGATTGTGCATTCGGGTGTATTGGGAAATCCTAAGCGTGTCAAACACACCTCATTTGTCCTGTCTCAACGTTGAGCCAAGGATAGACCTGTATATGGTGACGTGCTACACCATGTGATAATTCCATTACCAAAGGAACACGTTTCAAGTCTAACCTTCCTGGGAGATAACCTCGGCCCAGTCGTTCGGACTTCCAAGTCACTCTCGTTCGTATATCACTCCCCAAAAATTATTTCGGCAGTTGGTTGTTCGCCGAAGTTTGAAGGGAAATGTATTAGCCTTCAAGCAATAGTGCGTATATGCGGTGCCTATATAATTTCAGTATTAGAAACACGGTATTTTTCCTAACATGTCTATCATGCATAGTCCGCTGACTAACGAATCAGTGGCGTATTTGACCTTCCTTAAAGTCAAGCTTATGGTAACTCTTTATAGTTATTTTACCCTAGTGTCTTCTTTGCTTCATTTATGCAAACTTATTCTCTACGGAATCCAGCAGTCCCATTTATCGACGAGGCAAAATCCTTAATTTGATCAGCCTGTCTCGTTTCGAGAAATCAAGCACAGAGTTATTCCCATATTTAGATGTGCTCTCGCCTTACTGGACTAGAAACCCGTGCCTAAATGGCTTGCTAGTGGGTCTGGACCGCTAGCTATCAGGCTGGTTTATCTGGTCTAGACCTCTTGGTAACCAAACAGTAGTTATCAGGAGAGCTTCGCCCCTATATAGTATAACTTGCTTCTCTCAGCGACCTATAAGATCCTGGGAATTTATACTTCGCCGTATCAATCGGCCACAGTGCTTATGATTGAAGTCCATTCCAGTCTATTTGCGATACGATAGGTGAATGCGTTTTTGCTTATGTACAACAGACACGCATGACCCTTTCAACAATGACAGAGGATCTTTTCATCAGAATATTGCAGCACTATACTGTAGGTTTCCCTTTTCTCTGCATACCAATACTCATTTTGTTGAATACTGCGAGACGGTGCCATGGAAGTCTGGGAGAGCGGAAAAGGAAAAGGCAATCACTGTTTGAGGCAGGAATCATGAGGCGGCCCCTCGTCGTGTCCTGTTTAGAAACGTTATGGCATTGATCAAAATATGCACTGCAACTGAAAGGACATCACAAGAATCAAGCGCTGCCTATTGTTTGGGCATACATGGTTTCCAAGGGAACTTAAAACCTATACCAAGTTTATGAAAGACTAGCCTTTGATGGATGGATGTGGCGTTCTGATAATCCCAGTCATTGGGCTATTCAAGCCATGATCAGCTGATTCCATTCCTAGTATACTAAATAGAATCTAGGCCTTGCGATAGATAATACCAGATGATCTCGCACCAGATTGTCCTTGACGTAAGGATGACGTCTTAGAGCTAAGAGGCAAGTCCAGCTGTTGGCACAGGAATCATGTGCAACGACGCTTGAATCTCTTGAGGTGTTGGTATTTAAGACGATTGCACGATTGCAAAGCTGGAAATGGCAGATTTAAGTTGTTCAAAGGACAAAAATGATGCGAAAATGACACCCAAACAACAACGCGACCCCAAGAATGTGCAGGCTTGGTTGATTGGAAGCGGCGTGGCATCCCTCGCAGCCGCGGTCCATTTAGTCGACAAAGCCAAAGTGCCCCCACGGCAAGTACATATCTTGGATGTGCACCATGCGTCTGGTGGAGCAATGGAGGTTTCTGGTAATTCGGAAGATGGATATATTTACCACACAGGCGCGCAGCCGTATTTCCAAGAAGAGTGTGTCCGAGATCTTCTTAGCATGGTGCCTAGTCCAGGGCGAACTAATACAACGCTGTGGGAAGCCATCAAGGAGCGCGAGCTGTACACAAGGCCAATCAATGAGGCTCACACACGTGTGATCAGAGTAAACAAGGAGGGATTGCGTACTGTGGACACGCATAAACTCCCGATCGGCGTCAAGCTGCGGATGAATCTAATTATGTTTGTTTTGGACCATGAAAGAATGTTTGATGGAAAGAAAATCCGTGATGTATTTGATTCTACATTTTTCGACTCGGACTTCTGGACTTTGTGGTCATCCAGGTGAGCACTCACGGCCCTCTCCCCTTTCGATTCTTTGGTCTAGATTGACCAACTCCTCTACCTAGGTTTCTGCTTCAACAGTGGCATAGCGCAGCTGAATTCCATCGGTTGCTCACGAAATGGCTCCCTGAAATGCATACTCATAATGATGTGCGAGGGCTGGAAAGAACCCCCTTCAATATTTACGAGTCGTTACTCACTCCCATCGCTACATACTTAAAGGAGCAAGGGGTTGACTTTCGATTCAATGTGATGGTCACAGACCTTAAGTCATACCCCTCAAGCGATCCCACAACAATCTCCGAAATTGTACTACAGGAGGACGGGCATGAGCTGCTGGTCACAGTCGATCCCATCGATATTGTTATTGTCACCCTGGGCTCAGTATCTTCGGGGATACAGACTGGATCTAACTCAACTCCTCCGCACGTACCGTCCGCTGCTCTCGGTGGCTTAGAACAAGGAGAATGGGCACTATGGCAGAAGCTTGAGAGACAGTCGACTAAATTTGGCAATCCTTCCAGTTTTTCTTCTCGTTACGAAGAGTCTCAGATTGAAACTTTTACCGTCACCTTACGCAATTCCGACTTTATGCAACACTACGCAAAGTTAACAGGAGATAAGCCGGGTACAGGTGCCTTGCTTACCGTGATGGAGAGTCCTTGGGGTCTGAACATTAGTGTTCCTCACCAGCCAGTCTTCGCTACACAGCCTAAGGCTGTTCAAGTCATCTGGGGATACGCTTTACACCCGGAAGAGAAAGGAAAATACGTCGAAAAGCCAATGGTGTCCTGCTCCGGTGAAGAGATTTTCCGTGAGGTTCTCTCCCATTTAGGGTTTCCTACTAATTCTTTACTTTCGTCATCAACCACCATTCCTTGCATTATGCCGTTAGGGACGTCGATGCTATTATCTCGTACGCACTGTGATCGTCCACGGGTAATTCCTCACGAAACCACAAATGTGGGCCTCATTGGTCAATACGTTGAAATTCCTGATGATGCATCTGGCAGCTTGGAATACAGCGTCCGAGGAGCCCAGATGGCAGTGTCCACTTTGATGAGTCTGCCACACGGGCCTCCCAAGTTTCGTAAAAACAAACTTTTGGAGGTGTTTGAACTGTTGCTGTAAATGAAAATGGAGGTTGCTTTATTCTAGTTTAATACATTAATAGTTCTTGCGGTGCGTATTTGTGACCAGAAAAGCGGGCTCGACCGTGGAGTTGAATTCCTTTCGAACTGGTCTTGATTACATAGTTGTCTGATATATTCAAAATGTACCACTGTGTTGTATGTTTTGCCAAGCTAGTATGATGGGTCTTTACCAATCCAAGACAGTTGACCTCTACCAATCCCATAATGGACACCATAAAGGGCAATGCTAATTCTTCACGACAACCGAAGTGCATGTTAAGACTGAGGATAGTAGCGATAGGATTGCGAGATACAACTGAGATTTGCAGTGAATTGTCATAAGGTCAGAGCGACTGCCTTTTGGTTGGTGATGAATTGTCAGTGGTAAAATAACAAGTCCATTCTATATAGCAAATCGTGACCTTGAGGCAACATAACACACAAAAAATTGGAACTTATAATCAACATCAATCTATAGCGCAAGGAGTAGGATCTCAAAACTGTAATTTAATTCTCTTCATCTTTCCTGGTTCGTGTTCTAAGTTAGCCTATTTTCATCGATTCAGCATTAGAGTTGGGTGGGGCGGAGGAAGGACCGTCTTTGGCGACGTAGTAGTTATTTCGTGGACCTACGCTAAGTCTAATTAGTCCTCTGCCCTATTTTCACCGAAGCTATCTAAAGCTATTTTCGTTTAACAACCTTATGTTGAATTGTTATGCGGTCTGCATAAGGATAGGACTTTGTTGTGTAGGAACAACAATAAACGATTGTGCGCATAAGCGAATATGCCACAATAATACCGGTGAAGAGTGAATTAGAAGAGATGAGAAGGAAGGACTTCTTATGCAGTTCAGCCAATATCAGAGTTGAGCAATTTGACTAAGGTGCATACAATATTCAATCTCGGATCAGAAGAGAATTGAAATTTGCTCTTTTTAACTAGTAATTACAACGATATTTATAATATGATGAGCAGTTCTAATGAAATGGAAGGGAAACCAAGGAATGGTGAGAATGTTGGGATTCTCTTTCCTTTTCCTTAGAAAACGACAGTCAATATGATTTACGAGGATCGCCATTAATTATTGTGTAGATCTATGCGGAGTTCTTATGTGGTGAACTACTTGCAGGGTAGTAAGCCTGTCGACTAGGTAGGAGAGCAAAGTACTAAGTCAGATTGCAACAGAGGCTGTTTCTTAGGGCCTCCATATCTTCTCCTCTTCTGCCAATTTATAAAGCAGACTTCTCCTTAGTAAGAAAGAGGGGGCAATCATCGGAACGAGACAGATCATATAGAGGACAGGATAATATAGTGCATATGCAGGCTGCTGAATCGGAGACGATTCGTCGCCGACTCCCCAACGAAACGGGTCTACCTCGGTGCCGGACGCCTGCTCTCGGTTTATCAGCATGCGAATAGCTTCACCCCGGGAATACCAAACAATATCATAACAGATTTCTCCTGATATATTCGTAATCTGCTATAGTAACGCTAGGCTTATTAAGATCTACCTAAACTCCTTTGGTATTAGGATATACCTAGAAAGGGAAATAGTTAGCTTAGATCTCTCTCTATTACCTATTTCGGGGATGTTACCTTATTATCTAGGCCTTAATTATCCTATCACATAGGAGTATTTGCACCGAACTTGAGCTGAATGATTTTTTTAAGACTAGAGTAGATTTATTTTTACACTTCGTACGATGCTTAAATTTTAGTAAGTTCTAAGTTGGTAATAAATCTCTGCTGGATACAAAATTCATAAGGATGATCAAAAATAAGGTTGTATGCCATGTGGTAAAGAATTACAGGTTTCCTACTATATAATTCAATTGCATCAAAGTTAAATGCATCCATCTACAGATCAGATGCATTCATCATAAAACCTGCATTCAGACCAAAGGATAATTATACTACGTATAAATACTTACATTACGGACCAATCCGAAAGGTAGTCGGGCCTAGTCTGTCGTTGCGAGACCAGCCTGATTGTTTCTGTCGCGCCCTCCAGGTAATTGATGTTTGTTGTGCAGAATCAACGGTCCTCTGAGGGCAAACGAGTAATCCTGCTTGCTTGCAAGATCCTTGCTAAGGAAGATTACTAGTTGAGCCTAATTCTTCAAAGTTCGAGACTCAAATGCTCTATCACGCTAGGGCAGGCCGCGGGCTGCCGGTTTTGTTGGCTTGTTTGATCCACCACGATCGCAAATTCCAGAGCTCATTCGGTTCTTGCGCCAGACTCAGATTCGAGTCTTTATGGTTTTCAAAAATGTGGAAAATTGGTACTCACCATGAGACTCAGGTCACTGGCGATTTTGGACTGACAGCTTTGGCTATTGCCCGCCAGTATAGCATTGTGACGACGCATTCTGTCCAAGGTGCATCCGCCTTTCGCAGATTTCTGAGCACAATCAAGAACGGAATCATATCCCAGTCGGCATTACACTTATAAGTGGTGCAAGACTTGGTGACTTTCAATAACTATCAATGGGAGCAGTTGTGCAAATATCCCGAAGTTGTATTCTCCCCTACAACTCCCAGCCAGAAGCTAGGAATTGTGCGTGAAATCCAATCAAGAAAAGAGATTGTCGGTATGACAGGAGGCAGGGTCAATGATGCTCCTGAGCTCAAAGCCGCTGATATTGGTATCAGTCTCGCCAACGGCTCAGACATAGCTATCGAACTGAGGACATAGTCTTGCTTGATTCTTTTGCTGCAATTATCGAGGCTGTGCGAGTACGGTAATGCGGAAAGAGTCGTTACTCAAGAGAATTGAATCATCTTTGCCTAATTACTAACATCAAATCAATAATCTATACATTGGCATGGAAGGCATTGGGAAAATCTGGCAACCTAGCACCAAGCCATTGGAACGACAAAATGAGTTGCTTTTCCACTGAGGAGACTTGGATTATCATTTTTTTCATATCGCTGATGATCACAAATGGCGAAAATTGAAGTCAGAAATTCGATGAGTCAAGTGACGACATGGGCAAAGAAGTTGCATTATGAAGGCACCAAAATTTCGCGGGCAGCTCGCGCAGGATAGTGACCCCTTCACTAGTTCCTCGTTTGAGGGCATCCAAAACACAAAGAAAAAAACACAATAGCCAAAGAGGATACAAAAGACTTTTCTTCTTGGTGTCAATGACCTCCAACCCAAGGAAGTCGTAATATAGCCTAACAGTCGATCAGAATCGCTTCTCCATATAATCCAGACTTAACAAGGATGAATTGTGTTAGTTCTCCCCGATAGAAACCGGAACATCTCCTATAGTCCCAGATTCTTTCCATGTTCCGATATCAACTCGGTATTTTGGATCGTGATTACGTATCAGGAATGAATTGTGTTCACCGGGCTTCATAGTTGCACGCCAAGCGAGAGTGCAAATTCTCGTATCTCTCACATCGTCAACAAGGTCGATCGCGCCGGAAGGTCCTAACATAGAACCGGGTTCACTTGCAGAACAAATCTCCCTACTGCCACCGTTGTGACGAATGCTCATATCATTAATGTCATCGGTGGTTAGGACATCATTTGGGTTACCGAGTCTGTAAAACTCGCCGCTAAGCTAATGTCAGAAATGGTATGTTTTAATGACTCAAAGCGGTTTGCAAAGGAGATACCTTTCCATTTGAGCATTTTCAATACGGATGTCATACTTCATATCATCTTGAATGATGATATCAAGGTATTGATGTGTATTCGCCATATCGACGTTTTTGACTAGGCTGATGGTTCATAGTAGAAAAGTAAGCAGTTAAGATCATTTTTGTGCCTGGGAAATGGACAGCAGTATATATACCGATAGGATAGGTGTGGTGGTAGAGCGCCTTCGCCTTTGTAGGGTAACGAAAAGGAGGAATTGGCATACAATAAGAAGACATTATCTGTCTCATATACTAAGTACTTTGGCATAATTATCTATGGGTTAGTAACGCTTCAGTTAAAACCATAGTGACGTAGACTATTTCTTCTTGTGCGTAAGGTGGCGTTCATTAAGCCTTAGAGTTGGAATGGTACAGTGCTGTGGCGATATATCATTAGACAGAATCGCCGAAGATCCGTGGGTAGGCCTAGTTTGATTGATTTGCTGGGGGCCCGGCGTGGTAGCTCCCCGCCCAGAGCCGACAGCGACGGCTATGGATTCGGTCATGCATCAAAATATGTCCGACGCTACCTAAGTCCACGATCAGCGACGCCCTGTATTGTAAAGGGTGGTCGAGGAAGACGGCTCGACAAAAAGCCAGGGAGCGAAATGCGGATTTACGTGATGGTTACTGTCATCTGATCTCGGAGTTTTGCTCATACCACCTCGTCTACGTAGACGAGTCTGGGTGTGATAAGCGGATAGGGTTCAGACGGACCAGCTGGTCTCCTCTTGGTATATCATCAGTCCAAGTGTCCAAATTCCATCATGATCAACAATATCAGACACTGCCTGTATATGTATCTACTTCTCTTGTACAAGAATCAGTTCATGTATCAATCTATTCTACTATTTCAACTCTCTGACCCATCCTGGATCTCATATCTTCCCTGAATAATAGGTGTTCTACCCTGTACAAGTAGATTGTGACATGCGAATGGGGATGCTGCTCTACCTCACAAAGTGTCCTAAACAGGTGATAGCTTGCATTAGTGCAAAGGTTGCTACGGAATCGCATATCAGAATGCCACACTTTCTCCTCATTTGTAAATCTGGCTTTGCGAGTGAAATTTAGGGGCGAAATTCAGGGTCGGTGTAAAACAGTACCAGATTGGCTAGCTCTAGTCTTACTTCTCGTCCGCCTCTGCAAGAAGGTCGAAATCCAAATACATATTGAATACTTAGGCACAAACAAATAAGTGTTACAAAGACACGCCAGAGATGTTACAACCACTGTAAATGTTTGTCCAAAATCACTTTTCTCAAAAAAGTGGAACATTTGGCTTGGGCCAAGGACGTGATCATGCCTCTGCGATATGCCTGCCTGGTATAGGCTCGGCGAGCGCTGCCCGCCACGTAGGTGCACTGAATTTATCAGTGAAGTACTGTGTCTCTTGTACCACAAGCTCGCGAGCAAACTGCATGATGGAGACTGAGTATGTTGGTACTCCGTCATAGGTGATGATGCACTCGCTCACCCATAGATGGCCGTCGCCTGAGATCCGTAGCACGGTAAAATGCCGGTCAGCCGGATGTCCACCACGCTGTGCAGAAATTGCCGCACGACCTTTTGAAACGCTCCCCTGATTGCGGGTAGTCTAGGATCGCGTCTACGGCATAGATGGCGTATTCGGCTTCGGTATCACCGTCATCCGATACCCGCCAATGTTCCTCGATTGCTTTCCTGGTCAAATTCATCGCACTCTCGTTTCCGGTCATTATGACAAAAAAAATAATATACTTTGAGCTGCTAGGGAAGGGGCCGCCAGGTCGTGTATTCCAGCGGAGTTATGGGACAGAGGCTATATCAGTTTGCCGAATGAGCTTGCTGACCAATGCGGCCAATGACACCACGACTTCCCCGAGTACCGCACAATATGCGTCCCCCAAATGGGCCCTCGCCGCTTTCGCTGGTGGGGGGCCTTCGACAGTCTAATGCAATTGTACCTTTTGTAAGAGTTTCTCGACCGCTAGCGGAGCAGCGGCTGAATATTGGCTTTCGGCAAAGCGTATAGTGATCAACGAACGAGAAGAAGCGGCAAAAACAAACACTTCCCAAATGCAGATTCGGGAGGGACGGGAGCTACTTCAGCCGCCAACCAAACCATTTAAACGCGTTCAATCCCCTCCGCCAGCTGCTGCTCAGTATCCTGTATTACCACTTCCGCTGCCCAAACGCACGCATCCTTAGGTGTAGTGGGTGCGAAAAGATTAGGCATAGATTAAATCAATGTAAAGGCAGCTAGCTACATGTGAATACCTTATAGCGTTTTGATTGAAAGATGCTAATTTAGAAAATAGTAATGAGCGAAGTGGCCGGATCAGCCGGGTGGCTAACTCAGCCGGGACTTACGTTATTGATGCCTTTGAAAACCGTCGTGACGTCCATGATTCCACATTCCAACCAATAACGCAAGACCATGGCATATCATTGAATCAGTGAATTGGTTGTCTTGTCGCTAGGCTAATACCTCCATTGAAGCATAGCTCTAGGTATTGTTTCAGAACCTGCGTAGGATCAACTACTGACTCCTATTGACCTGCTCGAACCGTACCGACCTCATATTTTGAATCAGTTAGTAGTTGATGTTTCGTCGCCCGGCTGTGCTCAACTCGCTGAAGGACTATTGCAATATGGCGACAAACTTACAGTACGAAGTCATAATTATCGGCTCTGGCCAATCCGGCACGCCCCTGGCCGCCGCATTTGCGAAAGCAGGACAAAAAACAGCGCTGATTGAACGCGAGCATATCGGTGGAAGCTGTATTAATGAAGGCTGTACACCGACAAAAACGTTAATTGCATCAGGTCGCATCGCCTATCTAGTTCGTAAGGGACTAGATTATGGTATACACACTTGTGAGCAGGAGACCGATGTGAATGTGGCCGTGGTCGACATGTTCAAGGTCCGCCAACGGAAACGCAACATCGTCGCCTCATTCCGCGGTGGTAGTGAGACTAAGTTAAGAGATGCTGGCGTGGATGCCCTGACAGGAGAGGCGAGTTTCGTGGACGAGAAGACACTCAAGTACAAAGATAGTGGTGGCAACGTGAGAACTGTCCAAGGCCAGAAGATATTCATCAATGTTGGAGCACGACCTGCACCGCCACTCCTCGAAGGGATCGGCTTGCTTGATCAAAAAGCAGTCTTGGATTCCACGTCAATTCAAGAGCTAGACGAGGTTCCTGGCCACCTCGTGGTGATTGGAGGAGGATATGTGGGAGTGGAATTTGCACAATTGTTTCGCAGACTAGGTGCACAGGTCACTATAATCCAGCGTGGAAGACAATTACTACCGCACGAGGACGAAGAAATTGCACACCTGCTGCGAAATATTTTTCAAGAGGATGGACTTACAGTACACTTGAACTCTGATCCTGTGAGAATTGCGTCGTCACCTAGCGGATTTACTCTTTATTTCCACACCAATAATGGCGATCGAACCGTCGAAGGAACGCACATTCTATTCGCTACCGGCCGCATTCCAAATACAGACCGGTTGAAGCCAGAAGCTGCAGGTGTTGACCTCGACAAGAAAGGATATATTGTGACAAACGAATACCTCGAGACTTCGTCTCCTTCTATTTTTGCAATGGGCGACGTGAAAGGACCACCGGCATTCACGCATATCTCGTACGACGACTTTCGCATCCTTCGGTCTAACATGCTTTCATTAGCACCTACGAGGCTCTCTATCAAAGACCGCATTGTCCCGTACGTGGTGTTCACCGATCCCCAACTGGCGCATGTCGGCCTCCATGAGAAGGAAGCTCGTGTAAAGTTCCCCAACAAGAGGATTCAAACTGCGAAAATGCCAATGGCATACGTCGCCCGCGCACTAGAAATGGACGAGTCGAGAGGAATGATGAAGGCTGTCGTGGACGGTGATACAGGGTTGATTCTAGGGTTTTCCTGCTTGGGCGTCGAGGGTGGCGAAATCATGAGCTGCGTGGAAATAGCGATGATCGGAAATGTTCCCTACCAAAAATTGCGAGATGCAGTCCTGGCCCATCCCACTCTAGCAGAGAGTCTGAACAACATTTGGGGATTTTTGGAGTGAGTGTAATGTGTTCTGTACATATGCCCTATACCACCATGCGCAGAAAGACCTATTCGAGTTAGGGGTGCGTGGACACTTCCAAATTGCCGCAAGTTTGTGCGAATATTTATGATCGTACCTGGCTGCATGCAGCTTATTCGGCCATTTGAGATGTGGTAAGTGACTGGCTCTCTATCATAGCATGGACGAGATGCAGCCTTGGCGAGGGAAGTCTCGGACCCATTTTGCAAGATCTAATGTGCCTTCAAGAGTGATGAATGAGTGAAGAAGCCTGTGAAATTGGTGTAGCTGGTTTTGCACTCCTCTGTAAAATCCTCAAAAACCGACACATCGGCTGAGCCCCAGAACACTTGTGACAGGATGATACCAACCCTGGGAGTATGCTGGCGGAATCTGGTACCGCCAATCGCAATGGAATTTGGAGACCTGGGCTGGTGCAATGCTGAGGGGTGTCCAACCTGTTCTTCTGAAGCTGATCTGTTTGTCACAACCAGACTGCTAGTCCGTACCGAGATTCCTGAAATTGACATGATGTTTTGTTCTGTATCCTTTGTCACAATCCAGTTATTCGGAGTAACCCTCCACCTGATCTGGTAGTGAATTCCATTTGGAGATTGTTTATCCCACACACTTCTATCTTCCTGTTCAACCACTAGAAGAAGCCCTAGTTGATCTAATGGTCGTTAATGCGAGGATGAATGTTCATCAACTATTTTCTCAGGATCAGGAGCAGGGCAGATTACTGATGGCGTGAATTTACAGTCCAGGTAACTAGGAATGGGAGCATATGAGGGAGTCCGTTCTCATAGATCAGGCAGTTTATGTCAGTAGGCACACACCATCATCAACAGGAGTGCAAGTCATCCCCCCACAGCAGAAGATGCTACTAAGGAGCCTAGAAACATTATTGCATCTAGCTAATACCAGGAAGGTGTCACGAATTGTCAAGAAAAAACTGTGGTTGACAGGCTGAGTATAGTGACGAGGAGGGTCACGAGTAGTCTGTAAGTAGTCTGTAAGGAAGGAAAGCACTGTAGGTTACCGTTTGTGCTGTCTAGTACTGGGTAAGCCCCGAGATAGTCACTTGGGCCGCGGACTGTGTTCGATGTGCCAGCATATCTCTTCATGATGATTGCTGGTGAGTCGAAAGAAAGTCAAATCATTCGTAAGCAGTCAACAAGGAACTCCCGAAGAAGTTTTAATTCTCTTTTAAGGGACGGATTTCCGACAAGAGTGAGTAGTTATCAATCACTATGTGACGACGATGTAACGCTCGCCAACGGCTTGGATCTTGAACGGGTCCATGAAGATCATGGTGCGGGATTCTTCACAGAAATAGGAGTTGCGGTAGGTATGGCACGCCGCTTCGTGGGTGACATTGGTAGATGTGTGACGGAGTTAAGGGATTAGCTATGCAGGCTTACAGTATGAATACGTAGCACGACGTTGTTGTATTAGACTTGGACATCGTGTTCAATTGCTTGCTATTGATTTATTATGATTTAAAAGCTATAATACAGTACAAAACAGCCCGCAAATCGGAGCTACCAATTCCCAGGTGTTCACTAAATCCTGAATTCCGATAAGATCGTTTTTGCTTGTAGTCTGGCAGTAAAATACTCGCAAATGACTTAAGAAGCGTGACATTCGTTGCAGAAAAAGAAGAGGCGGAAACGTTGACGACGTAGTTTTAGTCACATCAAATGAACATTGCCGCTGATTAGAGGAGCCGTTGATCCTGGCTTTTGGGAAAAGGTATATGGTTTGTAAACCTCAACCCAAGCACCTGTGGATTCGATTGCTGGAATGGATTTCCCGCTCTGTGCCCAGTCCTGTAGGAACAGATTGCTAAGTAGTGCTAGAGAAGACCGTCCAAGAAGAATGGCATTCTCATGACTACCAATAGACGTCATATTCACCACGTTCAAATAGCCAAAATCATCGGACGCATGGATCGCACATTCAGATGCAGAGCCCTGGGTGCCGACGAGCGTAGAAACTTGTATTCCCACGAACGCATAGCCAGTCACGATAATTCGCTTGGTAGGACCTTCAATACGGATGCCGGTGACAGAGGCTGCATTTCCGGATGCCTCAACGCGCTGATTTGTGTTGTTCCCCAAGGGCACTCCGGCCCCTGTAAAAAGGAATCCGACCCTGCAGTATGTAGCAAGTATATGACTGAAGACAACATTCCGCGTGTCATTGACGGTGTTTCCGAGACTTTTGATCGCGACTAGGCCGTTGTTACTAGTTTGGTAGTTGAGAACAATAGAAGAGCTATTCCATTGTGGTGAGAATTCGACTCCGTCAACACTAACATTCCCGCGGCAATTCTCGATTTGTATGCCGGTCATGAGCGGTTGGCCGCTAATGCCACCAATTTTTAGGTTCCCGCTAACTTGAAATGCTCTGATTGCAAAAGTTGGGTTCTGTGTCACACTCTTTGACAACCCCCAATAGAAGAGGAGACATTCCGAACTATCACTATGCTGCGCTACTATCTCAATCATTGTCTGTTCTCTTTATTTGTCCTCTACTCGTTTTCGTTTGGCGACTTGGACGAGTTCGGGACACAATTCATCTCTTATAATGGCAGTATCTCCGGCTATTTCAAACACCCACAATCAGCGCCTTCCAACTGCTCCACCTACTACTTCGACTCTCTTCAAAACACTATTCTCAAAGTCGGCATCAACCCACCTTGGGATACCAATCCATTCTATTTCAACATTCAGCGTGACGGTCAAACTGCTGATAAGGTAGATCCGGAGGATACATGCATTAGTCCGTGGGGTTGCACATACGACCCGATATACAATTTGTTCTTAGAGACGGCGTGTTATCTTTGTCTCACCGACGATGGATCGTCATGCGGATTTTTCGATCCAGTGGAGATTCTCGACTTAAACAAGGCAACTACCATGCAGTTTGATGGCAAAGAGAAAGGGTACAGCACCATTGGGAACCAGTCGACATTTGTTGGTAATAATGATGATCTCGTCTATACATTCGACTTCCAACGACCGCATAACTATACAGAACAGCAAAATTGTGTTGAGGGGGATTCCTTTGAATGGTATGTCCTATAGGCCGGTATTCGGCCCTTGGTCTCATCTTTTCTGCTCCAGGGATTAACAAGGAAACAGGAATGCCAAGACACCGTTTACTTACGCACTCAATTTCACTAACACGAGCGCTAAAGCACTATTCTCACTAACGAATCCTTCTGGGACTGTGGAATTCTCATTTTCTGGAGCGCGTGTCGACGGGGGTCAGCCTTCCGAATTCGACCCGTATAACAACGGTAACTATACTCCTATGGCTTTGGACACATCAAACCCGTCACATCCGAACTTTACGTTTGCGAATGGGAGTGAGATTGTTTGGAAGAACTACTCAAACGGATGGGGCGCTGTAGCGTCTTCTGCTGCCGTGCCTTCTGTTGAAATAGAGAACCTTGGGACGGCGTTGAAGTGGCTTTCGGTGATGCTGGTAGCCGGCTGCTTAACTTTCACCTGAGATATCCTTGTAAATAGCCTTTTTGCTCAGCAATCATTGGTACTTAGTGGTTGTTAATTGCGGTGGGGCATATAGCTGAATTACATTCATCGTCATAAATGTGGCGCCGAATTACCTACCGGCCCTTTTAGCATCTGGTGTGCGGCTCGTTTATCGAGAATCAACTTTCCGTCTAGCGAGCAGAGAAATGTAATCCTCTACGTACTTAAAACAGATACTCAGCGTTGTACGACGGGGAGGTACGTGGAGTTCCAGAAGTCTATAGAAAATTTAATTTTCCCTGGAAAGGTATGGCTGGTTATTGCGGGCAGCACTTGATCTGACTTTTCCTGGGTCGAGTCGATCCGTTCTTAGGAACAGGTGCTAGACCCACTCCACATGGAAGCATGATCGATCTTCTGATACTGACTTAGCGCAGGGAAGTCACATGATAATGAGGCTGAGAACACGCACCTCATTCAGCTCGTAGGAGTCCAATAAGGAGTTCTCGTCATGAACCCACGAGCGGCAATTTGTCTCATCATGGCATGGATATTATTTTGAGATAATCATGGCTCGATTAATGCTGAAATCTATCTACCACCAGCCAGGTACGTGAGGAATTGATCAACCTTAGGGCTGATAGACTGATTGCCTAGGGGCAATAGCAATGCAGACTTATTGATATCCTATTGGTGCACCCAATGATCCACTAGGCAGGATTATCCGACTGTAGACCCCGATCTCCACGTGACCAATGTCTGACATCATGGCAGGATGCGGGATTCCCAAAAACAAACGTTTAACTTGAACCTCGTGAAGTACACCAGGTGAAAACTGTTAATTGTTGCGATTTTTCTCCCTCTGTACTGTAGTGGAAGTGCGGTTGATGGTCAAAACGTGTGCTCTTCTTCACCAATATCATCGCTCTGCCAATTTTGCTCAATATTGTTTACTTTTTGCTCAATTCACAGCATTCAAATGCTCTTGCTGTTTAACGGTTAACTTGCTATGTATGTCTAATCAATTTGGCATCTTTGCCCGTGCGGTCGTTGAAAGGCTACAATATCGATTTTAGGAGTTATATATATTTGTTTTCATGATAGCTATATACGCGAAAACTTATGTTTAAATCGGAGGATTGAAGTCCTCTCTTGCTGTTCAACGGTCAAAAACGCGGCTTTCGGGCTAATGTTCGATGTATATTTACCAGTGCCAATAGACCTGCAATGTTCATGTATGACTGTTAAACCCACAGTAATCATTTGACTCTGGCGAATACACCAACAGTCATCACGATTCCACGGGTCAATAGATTTAAGCATTTTTCTAGAGATCGTTGACACGGCGATGACCCTTCGTATGGAGATTTAATGCCATTTAGTATTCTTAGGGTTGTGATGGAATCGTTGGGTCTGTGTGGTGAAATTTGTTTCTAAAGAACCTGATCTAATACCAGTGGGGTCAATTCAAGTACGACCAATTGAACATATATATAACGGCTTCTGGAATCTAGGTGCTATTCACGTATTCCGCAGTATTCGTACTCCTTTGCCCATTCGCGGGCTGAATGATAAGTAAAAAATACCTATTAGGATATTGTAACTATTGAACTAAATAATGACCACAATGTCTCTGCCCATCAACATCTCGTGCAAACATCAATCGCATTTCGGTCGAGATCAGACGAGGATCCCGGCACCTACCTTGTGGCGGCCGGCTAATAACGGCGGGCGAATGGGCGCGGTTTTCGGCCCCCCGCTTGCCGTCGTGTAGAATACTATTATTTAGATTCTATAACACTATAAGATTACCGACCGAGTATTATTAATCACGACTAATAATACTATAAATAATAATACTATAATAATTAGTATCTAGGAGATAGTCTAGTCCCTTCTTTAATCTAGTACCTGATGGATTTTAAATAGTGATCATAAAATCCGATTGCACACAAAAGGATATGTGTGTCATAAGCAGGTGAAGAAAGACTATCATGAGAGAAATAGAGGTCGGCTAATTAGACCAAAAGAAGAGTATGATCAGGTATGCCAAAGAAATCTACTCATGAATCAAAAGAGATGTCAAACTTGTTCAATTTAGATAGGAAAACAGGCAGAATTTATAACATGAGGTACATAGTAAATATCACGTGAAGGAATCAAGAATATCCGAGATTATCTTGGAGTGTTGAGCAGTCTCCGGCCAATATAGGCAGTTCAATGCGAGATCGTTGAGGATCAATATAAATCAATGTGGTGGATATGGAGGTGTTTCTTCCGGGGAAAAGATGGCGGCGGCTTAGTCATCTGCGGGAAGATCCCACATAAGTTGACAGTACCTTAATCTTTCGAGTACCCTATATTACTTATATAATTTAGCTCTACCTATAAGAGCCTCTTAGAAAGCTAAAGGCCGTGCCTAAGAATAATAAAGCCGAATCGGAGTAGTCGAGTAAGCGAAATTTAGATCTCTAGACGAAGTATTCTACTCGTTTAATCGTAAATACCCTTAAAAGGTTTCTTTAATTCTATTCCCTTTTAATAAATTTAACTAATTACTACTATAGATCTAAGGGTTTATAGTATTTATTAATATAAGCCTATAGCGGCGTAAGACTTTCCTAGAGCTATAAAAAAAGGAGCTAAAGATTATTCTAATTCAAGATATACTGTGAAGGGCTGAAGCAAGACTTAATTCAATCTAACTAGGCCAACATGCTGTTTACAAAAAGCTTAAGGAGGGGAAGTTTATCCTGCGCGTTCTCCACGTTAACATACCAAGGTCCCGTGATACACGTGACCAACATCGGGCACTGGCCCGTGACAATACCCCCTTCCTAGTCTTAACCTCATTAGGGGCACGACGGTATAGGTTTCGGTGCCGATTTGCTGGCGAATCACATCCGGAACGGCGCCGTGCTGCTCTTCAAAGGTATCTAAGGCGCTATAATCCTGCACTAAGTCCAGTGGCTGCTACGTCTGTTCTGCCTATCCTCTCTATTTCACTAACGCTTCGTCACGATATCCTCGCCCAACTTTCCTCCGTCGTATAGCTAGGATTTGCTTAACATCGTATTCCTCTTCACTATTAACTAGTAGTGGTGGTGGCTGTGAATCGTCTACTAGCTGAGATAGGAATAGGTCTGTTGCTGCTAGGCGGACTAACTTAATATAGAACACCGGGTATATACTAGTAGGTATATCAAGTCGGACTGTGAACGGCGACGGGACGTCTACTACTCGGTATCGAGTATGTAGCTAATCTAACTTCTTTAACGGTCGCTATATACGTACGTTCCGAAGATTTAGCTAAACCCAGTCATCCTTTTTATAGATAGGCGCTGCCTGTCGACGTCGGTTCGCTTGCTCTTCTTGAAGGGCCTATACAGAAGCAATAGCGGCCTAGGCCTAATCGGTAGCTTCTCGTAGGCGATTCACGAACGTTTCGCCTGCCTTTCGTGGTAGGGTCAGGGCGTCTTGTAGTTACCCTGCTTCGTCAATACTAATCGGGTCAATATAGTAGCCGTGGGTAAAGAAGAATAGCGAGATTCCTATTAAAGCAGCATCGCGATTATTAATTGCTATAGCGACTATTAGTAGTAGATCCTTCTAGTTATCCTATATATATATAGTAAATACACGTAGTGTCAGCCTATGTGGCCATATGAAGTTGGTTGACCAGCGGCCCGCCGGCCAACGGCCCGGACCGGACCATCGTTTTTCCCGCAGAAGGACCCCTCTGCATATACCTCTTCAACAGAGAGTTTTACTATGGCAAATCGGCCAATCTAGGCCACGGATTCTAACATCCAGCTCTTTCCTAATTTATCAATTGGTCAGATCATCGATATATGATCGGATCATCGATTAGATCATTGATTTGGTCTATTTCCTGCTGCCTAAACTGCCCCAATCGTGTACTTAAACACCCATTCGCTCACTAGTTTAGCAGTAGAGATTCAATGCACTTTTCAGTCTATCCTATTGATCTCGTTTGACCGTCATACCTAGAGAAGATCTTATGAATTCAAGGTCCATCCGTCTTATCTTGGTCCTATTCGCTAGAAGAACTTCTATCTTGACTGGCCATCCTAACGTCCTATGTGGATCCTTTCTCATCGGATACACTAGGATCTGTTAGTTATAAGCCCGATCGCTCTGACTAAATAGACTTCGAATTAACCGGACGGCTTCTTTCGGCCAAACCAGCTTGGCTACGCCCTCGACCGGTCGCATCCGTCTATTATCCTTGCTTTTTTACTTTTCATCGAACTATCGTTTACTTCCGTCTCACTCTTCATCATGGCTACAGAAGCTAATTGGTTGGTCTTTCATCTGAAGACCTCTGCCGATTGGATTCAGTGGTATGCAGCCGTGAAGGACCAAGCGGTTACGTGGGGTCTATGGGACTATATCAACCCTGAGGTGCTAGTTGAAAGTCTTAGGAAGCCCCCTTTAGAACCCGATTATCCCGAAATCGACCTAGCGGACCTTCCTAATCTAGCCGGCGAAGCGCTTACGAGATATAATCTGATCTCTCGCGAGTATAACCGCCAGCTAAATCGCTTCCGTTACTACCAGAAAGGGGTAGATCGTCTGAAACAGGGAATTCGCAATTCAGTTTCTACTGATAATAAGCGATTGATCCTGTCTCAGGCCAACCTACGTAACGTAATTGACATGTTTCGTCTAATATATGCGCCTACTAATTCGTCACGAAAGCGCCAGATCTCAAGAACTTGGTCTAATCTACGCACGCAAGCGCCACCTAGGTCCAATTACGATTCGTGGGTCCAAAAGTGGCTAGTTTGCTATACAGAAGCTAAAGAAATTGGCCTATCTGAATTTGACGATACTGAGCGGATTCTATATGAATTCCTAGAGGCTATCGCGCCTCTATCGCCTAGCTTCTATACGATTTAGATGAATCGAATCCATGAGCAAAGCGGTGTCTATTCAACTAGCAAATTGCCACAGTTCCCCGCCCTCATCAACCTCTATTCGGAATCAATTCGGCTA